AGCTAAGACGGATAAATAAAGGTACCTCAAACACATCGACACCTACCCACCCGCAGCAGCATTCATCTCCGCCTTCCTCGCCCCCTCCGGCGCGCGCTTCCTCCTCCTCCACCAACCCCCGCAACTCCCAACAGCCGGCTCCGCCGCCGCCGCATCAACAGGAGCAGCCGGAGCAGCAGCCCCCGGCACCGGCAGCGTCAGCAGCAGCAGCGGGGCGTCCTCGCTGCTGGGCTCCTCTTTCGCGGCGACGGCGTCCTCCTCGCGCACCTCGTCGAGCTCCATTGCGGCTAACCCGACCTCTCCGCAGACGGAGGAGGCGGTGCGCCAGTTTATGAGTGAGGTTTATGAGAATTACGTGAAGACTGTTATGAGTCCGTTTTATAGGCAGGGGATGGAGATTACGAGTCCTGTTTTTAGGGGGAGGGTTACTGCTGCGGGGAAGAAGTGGTTGTAATCTTTTCTTTTGGGAAGGAGGAGGTTTGATTGTGAGTGGTTTGTGGTTTGTGTATTTTATTTATTTTTTTTTGCTTTTTCTCCTTGCTACATGTGAGGCTAGCGTGGCGTTCTTGACGGGTTAGATAGCTTGGTTATTCCTTGGTCTATCGGTATCAGCATATTCATGTCGCTAGATTTACTACTAGACATGTCTAGTACAACATAAGATCGTTCCTCTTATGACTACGTTCGTAAGCATATGGAAGATTGTCCAATATTGACTACCTGTATATAACCAACTCACTACGCTAAGAGTGCAAACCGGCTTGTTCCCAGTCCCAGACAAAGAAACAATCACCGGGAAATGAAAGATAAAAAGAATAAGAGAAATGATAATCAAAGCCAAACTCCTCGCTCCATATCCACAGCCCGCTCTATAGCCATACCCTACTGCTCATCCGTCATCTGCGGGGTCAGCTTCTTCGCCGCGGTCGCTTTGAAATTCTCGACGGCGCCCACCAGGTCCTCGATCTTGGCCACCGCGCCGAAGATTCCTCCTTCCATCTTGACCCCCTCCAACGTGCTGACGTGCAGGGTTGATTCGCTGGCTGCCGTCCCGTCCTCTAGCACGACACAGTCGAATCCCCGGTCGTTGGCTTCCCGCATCGTCGTCGCCACGCATACGTCTGTCGTAACGCCTGCCAGGACCAGGTTCTTGATGCCCTTGTTTCGCAGGAGTAGTTCGAAATCCGTGTGCGCAAAGGCCCCCCGCCCGGGTTTGTCGATCACGGGCTCTCCTGGGATCGGGTACAGCTCGTCCACGGTGTCGTGGCCGATCTCCCCGCGGATCAGTAGCCGTCCGAGCGGCCCTTGAGAGCCGATCCCGAGTCTCGAGGAGTTGTTCTGGGATCGGTACGCCTCCCGACTAGATAGTGTAGAGAGGTCTGGTCGATGACCTGGTGCATGTTAGTAAAATGCGTGGGTCCAATCGCGGCTATGTCACGTACCTTCGCGGGTGTGATACACCGGGAAACCCGACGATCGGAAGACATTCAAGACTTGTTGGAGCTTGGGGATCAGGGCTTGGGCGGGAGAAATGTCACACCCCTGAAACTCCATGTATCCACCGGGAACGCAAACTAGAGGAAGCTGTCAGTCACGACTCTCAGCAATGCTCCGTACAGGGATCGCACAGTCTTTCTGCATGTCAATTATGACGAGCGCGGTGGTGTATGGCGTTAGGCTCGCATCGTGCGGCCAATCATACGGAAGCGCCGCGATCTGGCCCTTGCGCACCTTATGATGCGACATTTGCCGAGGTTTCTCGAGCATCGGGCCATGATTGTGCGTCGGGTTCAGAACGCTCAGCGTCCAGATACCCGGGGTGCCCGCGGCGACTAGCATGAATGGGCAGTCCATCAAGCGAGAGGTCCGCCGGCGCTTTCTCGTCTCCTCGGTCAGACCATTGCGCGGGCGATAGTGCCCGCCGCGATCGCAGCGCAGCCACACCTTGGCCGTGCGGCCCGGTTTCTTTTCCGTGGGGGTACTGGACGACTTGACGACGACGTTGTAGCCATGCGCCTTGCCATGCGCCTGCACGGCGGCGAGGAGGGAAGCCCTGCGACCGGAATACGCATGTGAGTTGGTGGTCGCGACAGGGGCGGGGAGCGGAGTGGGTTTTGGTGGGGGCGGGGGTGGTCGTCGGTGGACTCACTTGTCCGGAAAGGTGCCTTCGGGAGGCGGAATCAACTGCATGGACATCTCCGGGATATCCTGGAGATCGCTCGGGGCGTCGAGATTCAGATCGGTGGGGTCCGCCATGGCAACAGACGATCTAGACTGCGGATCAGCAGCAGAAAGCTGAAGCGCGACATCAGCATTATAGGAGGGGTGAACGATCCATGTAAACAGCCACAGGAGGGAGCCAAAAGGGAATCAACAGAGAAAAGACATCAAGGACATTCTAAGACATTCAAAATAAAACCGTGCGTGGAAGCAAAGGGGGTTTGAATCAACAATGGGTGTGCGTGGACATACGCGGTCCCTTTGGAGACCGAAGTAGATGCCCAGAGGGAACCAAGAGATGCAAGTGGAGGAAACAAACAATAACATGCAGGCCTGACACCAGACCGCAAGGCTTGTTTCAAAGGAAGACTTACACAACCAACCAAGGTGTGTCCAGGGGTGAATCAGGATCATCAACTGATCTCAGACCAAACAACAGGAGAGGAGAGGGTGATAGTTATGGAGAGACCGATAAGGACTAAGTAAAGAGAACTAAGAGTCACTCACACTGGAGCCTGGGAAGACGCACGGGTACGAGGGCGGTCAATAGTTCCATTAGAGCCGAGTAGTGGCAATATAGAGTATGTATAGTCCGTATAGTATGTGTACTCTAGTAAGTATACTGTCACCTGCACATCTCCCGTGGACACTGCCTGGATGACTTGTGATATATTATTAGATATTAGAATATGGAATACATATTATAAGATAAATATATGTTTCTCCTGAAGATGAAAAATAAAATTACAGGAGTATTGAAAGTACATCTCATACCTCAAACCGCCTAACCCTCCTAAGTATAGCAACTCTTGGCACGAAATCACCCGGGAATAGTCAGATCGGGGCCTGAGGACCAACAACAACATCAACAACAACCACTTCCTCTCCCTCTCCCTCTCTCTCTCTCTCTCCCTCTTCTCTTCCCTTTTCCCTCTGTGAGGGTTTGTTTTAAACGGTAAGTCTCACTCACGGAGGGTAACTCTCTCCGTGTACTCTCTTCTCTTCTTCTTTTCTCTTTTTTTCCTTTCTTGTTTCTTTCCCCTTTTTCTTTCTTTCTTTTCCTTTCTCCCTTCCTTGTTCCGTCGCAATCGCCGACCCTGCGACACCGCCTCGGCCCCTCCCCCATTTCCCGTCGTCATCAACCACCACCAGTTCACGCACGGTTGTTGTCACCACCAACCACCCCCCCCTCCGGCGTGGATGACCTCCATCTCGACACCCTCTGATCCTTTCGTCGGTAACTTTCAATTATTCTGTTGATTGTGATTCCGTTGATCGACGTCCCATCCGCTCTTCTGCCCTCCCACGTGGTTCCCCTAAACGTGCAGTCTCCTATCCCCTGGCGTTGGCTGCTGGGCCAGGAACCATGCCGTCGGCGGAAGTCTCTTCCTCCACCTCGCACCCCAAGGAATCTAGATCCGGTCGGGATGAACTCGCCCACTACAAAGCTCAATATGAGCAGTTAGAGTCCGAGTTGGCCGATTTTCAGGCCTCCAGCCGCGAGCTGGAGGCGGAGCTGGAGAAGGATATCGAGGCCTCGGAGAAGCGAGAGCGGAAGTTGAAGGAGAGACTGGACAAGCTGACTTACGAGGTCGACGAGTGGAAGGTATGTGAATCGATTGGGCTCTCCCTGGCCCCGCTGGAGGGTTTTAGCTCACCCCCGCTCGCCGCAGACCAAGTACAAGCAGTCCAAGTCCGAGGGCGGCGCCGCCCAGAATGCCCTACAGAAAGAGATCACTACCCTACGAGACACCACCCGCTCGCTGCAGCTGAAGCTGCGCGATATTGAAGTCACCAACGATGATTATGAACGACAGGCTCGCCATACGACTTCATCCCTGGAGGATCTGGAGTCCAAGTACAACATCGCTATCGAGAGGGGGGTTCTGCTGGAGGAGGAGATCAAGAATGGCGACAAAGAGCGCGAATTCCTGCGCATCGAAAACCAACGTCTTCGCGACGAACTCTCCGAAGTCAGGATCGAGACCGACATTGTCCAGGAGAGGCTCCGGAACGCCGAATGGCACGGTGGTGGTCGACGCAGGAAACCGACTCCCTTGCACCGCACGCCGTCCACCCCCCAGACCCCGGAGATCTTCGATCGGTCGCCGGCCACCTCGACCGTCTCCTCGCCCTTGTTCCATACACCCCCCATGAAAGCGTCGCTGGCCTCGGTCGCGGCGACGCCCCCCTCCCCACCCATGTCGGAGACGAGCAGCATGCGCAAGTCCATCAACGCCGTCCCCGGGTTTCCCCGCCAGAAGGCCTCGGGGTCTGAATCATTCGGCACCCGCTCCCTCCACGGGCCCCGCACCCAGCGGTATCAACCCCATTCCCGTGCGACATCCGCGGCGTACAGCAATGGCTGGTCCACGCCGTCGGTGACCTCCCGCCCCAGCTTGACCAAGCCCAGCAACGCTCCGGCCCAGCGACCGTCCGCGCTTCCCAAATCGGGTTCCCTCTGTCAGATCCGCGGCCTCATCGGCAAGATGCAGAAGCTCGAGGAACGCGTGCAGTCCGCCAAGTCGAAGCTGCCGCCCCCGTCGGACTCGCCGTCCCGGGGCTCGTCTCGCGCCGGGTCGCGTTCCGGATCGATCCTGGGCAGCAGCCCGATGGGGTCGACCATCACCCCGCGCGGCGGCGAGGCCCGCCAACGCCTGAGTAGCAGCAGCTTCAGCTCGTCGCTCCGGGATGGCGACGGCGTGCCGTCCTACCTCCCGCACCGTCCCTCGTTCAGCCAACGGACCCAGGGCGATAGCCGACCGAGCAGCCGCACGAGTTTCTCCAGCTCCTTCAGCCACAGTACCCACCCGAGCGTGGCCCCCTCGTCGACCCGGCCGGAAAGTCGCCAGAGTCGCACCAAAACGCCTCTCGGGCATTATTCGACGAACCCGACCACGGAAAGCCGGCGGCCGCGGTCGTCGCTCAGCAACCCCTCCGCGCAGGGGGCCCCGGTCAACGGCATGTCTCACATCGACGAGGATGAGGATCTCGCCATGCACATGTCCGTGCGCGCGAAGATCAGTGAGGCGCGCCAGACCCGTCTGCCATCGATACCCACCCCAAACGGGCCAAACGGGGTGAAGAAACGGACTCCCAGCAACATGTCGGCCATCCCCACGCCTCGTACTCTCCGGACAAGCGGCGAAATCGATCGCCGGGAAAACATGGGACCCTCCAATCACAAAGCGACCCCCAGTGATCTGGGCGAGACGTTTTAGAGTTGTCCTCGCTGGTTCTCCTTCCCCCTCTTCTTCATTCTCCTTTTTCCCGCCTCCATCCCCTGAATTCCACCATGTCCCGTACGTGCCGCCCGGGACGCGGAGGATGTTGGCCTTTACGATGTATATGTCCCATACGCAAGTGTCAGTACCAGTCTACTGATCATTTCGCTTGCGAATTATCTCTCCCCCCCTTTCTCTCTACCTCTCTATTCCTTTCCTTTCTCATGTCACGTTTTTGTAATCCACGCGATCTGGGCAAGACCTCGTTTGTTTCCTCGAAAGCCTACCTCGCTCTATCCCAACTGTTGTTTCTTCGGGCAGGGGGGCGTGTCGGTTTGGGCTGGTTTCATTAGACATATTCCGGTTTGATAAGGTATTGCCTCGCGGTTTTGCTCTCTAGTCTCGGATCGTCATACGGGTTTTTTGTTTTGCTACCATCAGTTTCGGCTGGCAGGGCGGAGTTGGCTCGCTCAGGATTTTGTGTCTGTTTTTTTTTTTTCGGTGGCGCCATCGATTTGATATCCCTATGTCGGGGGTTGTTGCACTTTGTTGTTGTGCAGGACCCTATCGACGTCCCAGCTGTATCCCAGCGAATTCTTCTTTTCTTTTCTTTTCTTTTCAGTGGTTGTATCTTTTCCCATGTATAGGGGAATAGTATTTTGTGGTAGCTGAGGCGTTTGAACAATACAATACCCAACTATCTTTCAATATCGGTAGTGAATAGTGTCCTTATGAACAGTGTCCTTCGTAATCTGTGGATGTATAAGTCAATCGGGTGTTAGGTGAACAAATAAATAACTAGATAGATAAACAGATATCACAAGGATCAGCGATTGGTGGTTGCCGTGCGAAATGATGATCGGATGTCTCTACAAATATATATTCGGGTGTGCCTCGGTTTGATTATGGAACAGTGAACGCCGAGTCTCTACTAATTATATAGAGCCTCGGGATATGTTGATTGATGAGATAGTCCGATATTATTATATAGCAGGGATGAAATTAGTGAAACGGTGTAGAACTCATACAACCCGTGAGATTGGTTGAGACAGCCTGACAGATCAGGCATGCACACTGCTGACTGGTAAGACTCGAGACAGACAAATTAACCCCCATGGGGAATCAACAACGAACAGAGGGTACAGAAGTTAAAGTAATCAATTAAAAACACGAGGTCACACTTATGCCCCAGCCAGGTAAAGATGAGAAACACCACCCTCGTCAGTGGCCAGACTAGAATCACTCCCGAATTTCTAGCCCACGATTTGGTGAGGGCGATCCCTCTCTGCCAAATTCCCAACTCCCAACGGGCCTGGTCACTTTCTAGGGCCAAGTGGCCGGTGTGGGTCCTTCAACAATTTGTCCCGTTGAGGCTTAGTCTCGGTGTGCCGTCAACAAGTGGACTTTACATCATCGGTGAGGGACGCCATAATTCATGACTAGGTAGTTTTAGTTGACTGCCGAGTTCCGATATAGTTAGTTAGCGTTCGGCGGTGGTGATGGGCAACGCCGATGGAGGTTTGTGGTTTGAATCAGTCCTGTTTGAAGGGCTTCTTTCTCGGTATATTACTGCCGACTCAATATTGTCAAGTATTTAGTCCATGAGTCTGATTGAGAGAGCAGTTGGAGATAAATAGTTCAGTCCGATACTGTACTTCCCGGTTGATCGACTCGGCCTTTAGTTTAGTGCCGTTTGGGAGACGATCGGCGGTGACTCCGTAGACGGTCAGATCTGTTGGTTGTCATTAAGTATATCTGGATTTTGACTGGGACGAATGGATACACGAATAAAAAAATTGTCGATGTGTCTAGCGGACGACCGGATGAAAAACGTCGATTCCTGATAAATCAGGCAGGGATAGGACAACCAGGACCCGAACTACGAATGGAGAGGAGGCGGCGTGGGAGTATTATGGGCACCGCCAAGACACAGGGAAATATGCATCCACATTGGAGATTCCTGTTGGTTCAAGAGTGTCATCCTTGCCCTATGGTTGAACAGTTTCTCGGAATTTCCATGGAATGAGCCCCCCTGGTTGACGTGGGACCCGAACAAGCAAGAAGGAAAAGTGGTGGGAAAGGAGGAGAGAGAAGCAGATGTTTAGTTGGGGAGATGACTTTCTCCTTTGGGTTTAGACGGCTGGTTCGGCGGTGGGTTTTCCCTCCGGTTCCTTTATTATTTATGGATTTTTTTTTTTTTCTGGGCCAGATCATTCACTACTAAGGAAGTAACTAAGTAGTCCCGTACCACTACTACTACTACTACTACCATCCATCTGTCTATCTTCTTCCTCTTCTCTTCTCCTCTCCTCCTTGGCTGGGCTTCTTCTTCTTTCCTCCCTCACTTTCACTACTATCATCTATTCTTTTTTTACTCCTACTAATCTTGATCCTCTCGAGGTGCTCATCGTACGTAACCCACCCCCACCCCTCTCTATCCAAGACCACTGTCGTATTGCGATGCACGTCCAATGGCGTGCAAGTATATCACATACGATCTTCAAGTTTCAAGTTATATCCTCGTTCATCTGACAGACGCTAACTCTGCCTTGCCGCGCTCTTTCTAGTCCCCGGATTTCTTCCGTCAGATTCCTCGTCCTTCTCCCGGCCGATTCTCTCCCCCTCAGTCTCCCCTCCATCGCTTGATGCCGTCCTTCTGATCCCCTGTATTACTATCACCACCGGGACAATCGACAGACGCCTCCTCTATCCTCAATAACACTCCTCCGTCCTAACGCCTTACTCCGTGTTCTCTACCTCCGATCACACATCTTTGCCGGGCTGATTTCGCATGGTTTTGAGATCTCGCCACACATAATTCACGGCTTGCATCATGGGCGCCCCTAACGATTCTTCCACAAATGGCCTCGCCGGCTCGCTGGCGGCCAAAACCGACATTCCCTCTCACTTCATTGGCGGTAACCACTTGGACGCTGCACCCCCGAGTATCGTCAAGGACTTTGTCGCTCAACACAACGGTCACTCCGTTATCAGTTCGGTGAGCTTCAGTTCGAATGACTTTGGAAGCAAAAGGGGGGAATCCATGTCTAACAATGGTTGTATCTAGGTTCTCATTGCCAACAACGGTATTGCGGCCGTCAAGGAGATCCGCTCCGTCCGAAAATGGGCCTACGAGACGTTCGGCGACGAGCGTGCCATTCAGTTCACGGTCATGGCTACGCCGGAAGATCTGCACGCCAACGCGGACTACATCCGGATGGCGGATAAATATGTTGAGGTATGAAATCCAGGAATGTGGCCGGTGGGATGGGACACGCTTGCTGACTAGATCGTCAGGTTCCCGGTGGGACGAATAACAACAACTATGCCAACGTCGAGCTGATCGTCGATGTCGCCGAACGAATGGACGTGCACGCCGTTTGGGCCGGTTGGGGCCATGCCTCCGAAAACCCCCGCCTTCCCGAGTCGCTGGCGGCTTCGCCGAAGAAGATCATCTTCATTGGCCCCCCGGCCTCCGCCATGCGTTCGCTGGGTGACAAGATTTCCTCCACGATTGTCGCGCAACACGCCGGGGTGCCCTGCATCCCGTGGTCCGGCACTGGCGTTGAGGAGGTCACGGTCGATAACAATGGGATCGTCACCGTCACAGACGATGTCTACAACAAGGGGTGCACTTTCTCTCCCCAGGAGGGTTTGCAGAAGGCCAAGGAGATCGGGTTCCCCGTCATGGTCAAGGCGTCCGAAGGTGGCGGCGGTAAGGGTATTCGCAAGGTCGACAAGGAGGAGGACTTCATCTCCCTGTACAACGCCGCCGCTGCGGAGATCCCTGGTTCGCCTATCTTCATCATGAAACTCGCAGGGAATGCCCGTCATTTGGAAGTGCAGCTGCTGGCGGACCAGTACGGAAACAACATCTCCCTGTTTGGTCGCGACTGCTCCGTGCAACGACGTCACCAGAAGATCATCGAAGAGGCGCCCGTGACCATCGCGAAGCCGCCCACCTTCCAGGCGATGGAGAAGGCCGCCGTCAGCCTGGGTCGCCTGGTCGGTTACGTCTCCGCGGGTACCGTCGAGTACCTCTACTCGCACGCCGACGACAAGTTCTACTTCCTGGAGCTGAACCCCCGTCTCCAGGTCGAGCACCCGACCACCGAAATGGTGTCCGGCGTCAACCTGCCCGCGGCGCAGCTCCAGATCGCCATGGGTATTCCCCTCCACCGCATCCGGGACATTCGCCTGCTCTACGGTGTTGACCCCAACACCACCTCGGACCTCGATTTTGACTTTTCGAGCGAGGAGAGCTTCCAGACCCAGCGTCGCCCGCAGCCCAAGGGGCACACCACCGCGTGCCGCATCACCTCGGAGGACCCCGGTGAGGGGTTCAAGCCGTCCAGCGGCACCATGCACGAGCTGAACTTCCGGAGTTCGTCCAACGTCTGGGGTTACTTCTCCGTCGGTACTTCGGGTGGCATCCACAGCTTCTCGGACAGTCAGTTCGGTCACATCTTCGCATACGGTGAAAACCGTTCGGCGTCGCGCAAGCACATGGTCATCGCCCTCAAGGAATTGAGCATCCGCGGTGATTTCCGAACGACCGTCGAGTATCTGATCAAGCTGCTGGAGACGCCCGCGTTCGAGGATAACACCATCACGACCGGGTGGCTGGACCAGCTGATCACGAACAAGCTGACTGCGGAGCGCCCCGATCCCATCGTCGCGGTTCTGTGCGGTGCCGTCACCAAGGCGCACCAGGCCAGTGAAGCCGGCGTGGAGGAGTACCGCAAGGGGCTGGAGAAGGGTCAGGTACCCTCTAAGGATGTCCTCAAGACCGTCTTCCCCGTGGACTTCATCTACGAAGGCGCTCGGTACAAATTCACCGCCACGCGCGCGAGCCACGACAGCTACCACGTCTTCATCAACGGATCCAAGTGCTCGGTGGGCGTGCGTGCCCTGGCCGACGGCGGCCTCCTGGTCCTGCTGGCCGGTCGCAGCCACAACGTTTACTGGAAGGAGGAGCCGGCCGCGACGCGCATCAGTGTCGACGGCAAGACCTGCCTGCTGGAGCAGGAGAACGACCCGACGCAGCTCCGTTCCCCGTCCCCCGGTAAGCTCGTCAAGTTCACCGTCGAGAGCGGCGAACACGTGCGCGCGGGCCAGCCCTTCGCCGAAGTCGAGGTGATGAAGATGTACATGCCTCTGATCGCCCAGGAGGACGGTATCGTCCAGCTGATCAAGCAGCCCGGCGCGACCCTCGAGGCCGGCGACATCCTCGGCATTCTGGCCCTGGACGACCCCTCGCGCGTGAAGCACGCCCAGCCGTTTACCGGCCAGCTGCCCGAGTTGGGCCCCCCTCAGGTGGTGGGCAGCAAGCCGCCCCAGCGCTTCTTCCTCCTGCACAGTATCCTGGAGAACATCCTGCGTGGGTACGACAACCAGGTGATCATGGCGGCCACGCTGAAGGAGCTGGTGGAGGTCCTCCGGAACCCGGAACTTCCCTATGGCGAGTGGAACGCCCAGTCGTCTGCCTTGCACTCCCGCATGCCGCAAAAGCTGGATGCCCAGCTTGAGAGCGTCGTCGAGCGCGCCAAGTCGCGCAAGGCCGAATTCCCCGCCAAGCAGCTGCAGAAGACCATTGCGCGGTTCATCGAGGAGAACGTCAACCCCGCCGACGCGGAGATCCTGAAGACCACGCTGCTGCCTTTGCTGTTCGTGATCAACAAGTACATGGACGGGCTGAAGGCCCACGAGTTTGGCGTCTTCAGCGGTCTGCTCGAGCAGTACTACAATGTCGAGAAGCTCTTCGCGTACCGCAACATTCGCGACGAAGATGCCATCCTGAAGCTCCGCGAGGAGCACAAGGACGACATCCTCGGCATCGTCCACACGGTTCTGTCTCACAGCCGCATTGGCGCCAAGAACAACCTCATCCTGGCTATCCTGGCCATGTACCGTCCCAACCAGCCGGGTGTTGGTAACGTGGGCAAGTACTTCAAGCCTATCCTCCAGAAGCTGACGGAGCTTGAATCCCGCTCGTCCGCCAAGGTCACACTCAAGGCCCGTGAGGTCCTGATCCAGTGCGCCCTGCCGTCGATGGAGGAGCGCGTGGCTCAGATGGAGCTGATCTTGCGCTCCGCAGTCGTGGAGTCGCGGTACGGTGAGACGGGCTTCGAGCACCGGGAGCCCGAGTTCTCGGTGCTGAAGGAGGTGGTGGACTCCAAGTATACGGTGTTCGACGTTCTGCCTCGCTTCTTTGTTCACCAGGATGTCTGGGTCACGCTGGCCGCTCTTGAGGTGTATGTGCGCCGTGCCTACCGTGCCTACACCCTGCAGGACATCAATTACACCGCGACGGGCGAGTTCCCGCTGCTGTGCTGGGACTTCACGCTGAGCAAGATCGGACAGCCTGAGTACGGCCCGGTCTCTTCCGCGCATCCGTCCACCCCCAACACCCCGACTGCCGAGGCCAGCAACCCTTTCAAGCGGATGAACTCCTTCAGCGAGCTGTCTCACCTGGTCAACGACAGCACGGGTGACCCCGTGCGGAAGGGTGTCATTGTCCCCATCCAGTATCTGGAGGATGCCGACGAGGCCCTGACCCGCGCCCTGGAGGGCTTCCCCGTTGCCAAGTCTAAGAAGGGCAGTGACCACACCCTCCTTGCTAACCTGGAGGGCAAGCGACGACCGGCGCCCAAGGTCGAGAACGACGACGAGCTGACTGGCGTTCTGAACGTCGCAATTCGCGACGTCGAAGATCTCGACGATGCGCAGATCGTCAAGCAAGCCACCGCGTTGATCGAAACCTTCAAGAGTGAGCTCCTTGCTCGCCGTGTCCGCCGCGTGACCTTCATCTGCAGCAAGAACGGAATCTACCCCGGCTACTACACCTTCCGTGGTCCCACCTACGAGGAGGACGAGAGCATCCGTCACAGCGAGCCGGCCCTGGCGTTCCAGCTGGAGCTTGGACGTCTGTCCAAGTTCAAGATCACCCCCGTGTTCACCGAAAACCGCAACATCCACGTCTACGAGGCTATCGGTAAGGGTCCGGAGAACGACAAGGCGGTGGATAAGCGGTACTTCGTGCGGGCTGTCGTCCGTCCCGGTCGCCTGCGTGATGATATCCCGACGGCCGAGTACCTCATCTCCGAAGCCGACCGTCTCATGACCGATATCCTGGATGCGCTGGAGATCATTGGAAACAACAACTCCGATTTGAACCACATCTTCATCAACTTCTCTCCCGTTTTCAACCTCCAGCCCCATGACGTGGAGCAGGCCCTGGCCGGTTTCTTGGACCGCTTTGGTCGCCGCCTGTGGCGTTTGCGTGTCACCGGCGCTGAGATCCGTATTTTGTGCACCGACCCGGCCACTGGCATGCCCTATCCTCTGCGTGTCATCATCACCAACACGTACGGTTTCATTATCCAGGTGGAGCTCTACGTGGAGAAGAAAACCGAGAAGGGTGAATGGATCTTCCAAAGCATCGGCGGCAGCAACAAGCTCGGCTCGATGCACTTGCGCCCTGTCACGACGCCCTACCCTACCAAGGAGTGGCTGCAGCCGAAGCGTTACAAGGCCCACATCATGGGTACCCAGTACGTGTACGATTTCCCCGAGCTGTTCCGCCAGGCGTTCCAGAACAGCTGGTCCAAGTCGCTGGAGCAGATCCCGTCGTTGATCGATCAGCGTCCCCCTGTTGGCGAGTGCATCGACTACAGCGAACTGGTCCTGGATGATACCGACAATCTGGTCGAGATCTCTCGTGGCCCCGGCACCAACACTCACGGCATGGTTGGTTGGATCGTCACTGCCCGTACGCCCGAGTACCCTCGCGGCCGACGTTTCATCATTGTCGCCAACGACATCACCTTCCAGATCGGTTCGTTCGGTCCGCTGGAGGACAAGTTCTTCAACAAGTGTACGGAGCTGGCGCGCAAGCTTGGCATTCCCCGCATCTACCTCTCTGCCAACTCTGGTGCTCGTATTGGAATGGCTGACGAGCTCCTTCCGCTCTTCTCCGTTGCCTGGAACGATCCGGGCAGGCCCGAGGCTGGGTTCAAGTACCTCTACCTGACTCCCGAGGTGAAGAAGAAGCTTGATGCCAGCAAGAAGAAGGAGGTGATTACGGAGCCGATCACTGAGGATGGCGAAGAGCGCCACAAGATCACCACCGTGATCGGTGCCAAGGATGGTCTGGGTGTTGAGTGTCTGAAGGGCTCGGGTCTCATCGCTGGTGCCACCTCCAAGGCGTACGAGGACATCTTCACCATCACCCTGGTCACTTGCCGTTCCGTTGGTATTGGTGCGTACCTTGTCCGTCTTGGTCAGCGGTCCATCCAGGTCGAGGGCCAGCCGATCATCCTGACCGGCGCTCCGGCTATCAACAAGCTGCTGGGCAGAGAGGTCTACACCTCCAACCTGCAGCTCGGTGGCACGCAGATCATGTACAGGAACGGTGTCTCGCACATGACCGCCAACGACGACTTCGACGGTGTCCAGAAGATCGTCGAGTGGATGTCCTTCGTGCCCGACAAGAAGGGCGCCCCCATCCCCATCCGTCCGTGGTCCGACAACTGGGACCGGGATGTGGCCTACTACCCGCCCAGCAAGCAAGGCTACGACCCTCGCCACCTCATCGCCGGCGCGCAAGACGAAGAAGGCTTCCTCCCCGGTCTCTTCGACGTGGGATCCTTCGAAGAGGCCCTGGGCGGATGGGCCCGAACCGTCGTCGTCGGTCGTGCCCGCCTGGGTGGCATCCCCATGGGTGTCATCGCCGTCGAGACCCGCACCGTCGACAACGTCACTCCTGCGGATCCGGCCAACCCTGACTCTTCTGAAGTCGTCAACACCGAGGCTGGCGGTGTGTGGTACCCTAACTCGGCCTTCAAGACCGCCCAGGCGCTCCGTGATTTCAACAACGGCGAGCAGCTTCCCGTCATGATCCTGGCCAACTGGAGAGGTTTCTCTGGCGGTCAACGTGACATGTTCCAGGAGGTCCTCAAGTATGGTTCTTACATTGTTGATGCGCTTGTCAAGTATGAGCAGCCGATCTTTGTCTATATTCCGCCTTATGGTGAACTGCGTGGTGGCTCTTGGGTTGTCGTCGACCCCACGATCAACCCCGATCAGATGGAAATGTACGCCGATGACGAAGCCCGCGGTGGTGTCCTCGAGCCCGAGGGTATCGTCAACATCAAGTACCGCCGAGAGAAACAGCTCGACACCATGGCCCGCCTGGATCCGGAGTACGGCGAGCTTCGCCGCGCCCTGGCAGACCAGTCTCTCCCCAAGGAGAAGCTCACCGACATCAAGATCAAGATGGCCGCTCGCGAGGAGCGCCTCCTCCCGGTCTACATGCAGATCGCGCTCCAATTCGCCGACCTCCACGACCGCCCCGGCCGCATGAAAGCCAAGGACACCATCCGCCAGGCCATCAGCTGGAAGAACGCCCGTCGCTTCTTCTACTGGCGTCTGCGCCGCCGTCTCAGTGAAGAAGTCATCGTCAAGCGCATGGTCGCCGCGGAGGCAAACCCCGCCGCTACCCACGACCGCAGCGGCGCCGTCCCCGCCGCCAACCCGGACTCCCTGCCCCCTGCGCCTGAGTCCACGCGCAAGACCCACCTCCGCACCCTCCACTCCTGGACTGGCCTCCTCGACGACGAGCTCGAAAACGAGGACCAGCGCGTCGCCATGTGGTACGAGGAGAACAAGAAGATCATCCAGGCGAAGGTCGACTCGCTCAAGTCTGACAGTGTCGCTTCTGAGATCGCACGCCTGCTTATCGGGAACAAGGAGGGTGGTCTCCGGGGTGTGCAGCAGGTGCTGGGTATGCTTCCTGTTGAGGAGAGGGAGGCTGTGTTTAAGTATCTTGCTTCGGCTTGAGCTTGATTGAATGAATTCTATAGATAGACCTATAACTACTATGCATACTCAGTATGTTATGTATGTCGTTTTTGTCTGATTTTGTTGTGTGGGAGTTGGGGAAACAAACATGTTCATGTTAGATATCTATTTTTATTTTTATTTTATTTATCTTATCTTACTTTTTTACCTTTTACTTTTTGCTTTTTACTTCTTGTTGAACTGAGTGGACAAATGGTGCATGCGCTGCGCGGTATGATTGTCTGTTTTTGTCATCCTTGTTTATACATATGATGATTGTGTGAGATGTTTTTGAACATTGATCAAATCTCATCGTCTTTTCCTATTGAACCAACTAGTTCATTTCTCTCGTTAATCATTATCGAGGGTTCCTCTTGTCGAATAATTCTAATAAGGGGTCTAACTTGGGGTATCTATATTGTCCGTTCCCCATGTCTGTTCAAGCAGCCGCTCCAATGTTTCTCAACGAGAAATGGTGTTGAAATCGCTACCAGCTATCGTGAGCTAAGATTGCGCTCTCATTCCATTAGTTTCTCAGCAGCATCACATGTGTCGTGGAACAAGTTGCATCTTGAAACCGGTAGCATATCACATATACTCCGGTCCCCCGATCGGTCCCCCGATCAGCCCCCCGATCAGTCCTCCGATCCGTGCTCCGTGTTCAACCGGACCTGGATTCTGTAATGATGATGCATGGGATTTTATGGATGCCATCGGTATCGTCAGTAAATAGTGAAGGGCAACGGCGTCGGGTCAGTTGCAGCAGCGTTGTTACCTTTTGACCAGAGGGTTTCTTTTCATGTCAGGGACAGGGTCATATGAAAGCCTGCCTACCTTGATAGAAATTCGCCAATGGTCGAAGTGGTGAGTACTCCTTGAGCCATATCCGATCACCGCTTCTATCCGCGCGGGAAGGACAGACGCATTCTCGACACCATGGGGTTAGGCGCATCCCACGAAGTCGTGGAGCCAGTGGCTCCCGACGCGACATATCTCATCGAGCAGCTCAAGCAGTTGATCAAGTCCCCCGAGGACCTGAGTCACGAGCCCCAACGCTCAGAGATTCAACGCCTCACTCGCCTGGCGTCCGTGGCTTTGGAGACACCTCAAGAATCTATGCAACGCATCGTGTTTACCCACCTTCCCCTCGTCACCACTCGCCTCAGTCACGAGTTCGGCATCCTGACCACCTTGATCGACGGTGACGACACCAATCCCGTGGCCCTGGCCGACCTCATGGAGGCCAGCGGCTTGGATAAGAGCCTCGTCAGCGCCATCATGGACTACCACTGCTACCATGGCTCCGCTATCGAGCCTCGACGGGGCTTTTACGCGCCCAAAAAGCTCACGCACAGCCTCCTCGACCCCAAGGTTGTCACCACCCTCACTTGCTGGCATGACATTGTTGGACCTGCCTATGGCTCGCTTCACCGGGTCTTGACCGGTGGTCCCGACGGGACCGTCGGGAGCGGAAAGAAGGAGAAGACGGCCTTCCAGGTCAGCCACAACACCACGCAGAGCTTCTACGACTGGCTCGAATCTCGGCGCGAGCGACACGCGAGCTTCTACGGGTACATGGCGGCGGTCCATGCGGTCACGACCAAGTGGACCGACGTGGTGCACTTCGACGAGGAACTCGCACGGGGTATGCAAGAGACCGAGGTGGTCTTTGTCGACATCGGCGGCGGCGACGGCTCGCAGTGCATCGAAGCGCAAAAGGTCCACCGGCTCGGCGGCCGGATCATCCTGCAGGACCGTGCCGCCGCCGTCCAGAAGGCGGACGTGGCGCGCGAGGCCGGTGTGGAGACGATGGTCTACGACTTCTTCACGGAGCAGCCCGTCAAAGCGGCGCGGGCCTATTTCATTCAATTCGTCCTTCTCAACTGGGCCGACGACGACTGTGTGCGCATCCTCGCATCCCAGGCCCCGGCCATGGGCCCCGGGAGTGTGCTGACGATCGTTGATTATGTGCAAGGGCACCGGTGGGAGGCCAAGGGCGAGCTCCCTGAACCGGATCTGTGGACTCCCGCGGCCGCCCTGGCGGCGCGTGCTTGCCACAATGCCGTCGGTCGGTCGGGCGCCGATTATCGCGTGCTGCTGGAGCGGGCCGGTTTGGAGTTGACGGAAATCCGGGTGTTTACCAACTTTGGCCAGGCGGTGATCATGGCCAAGAAGCCTATGATGTCCCGGTTGTAGATCGCTCTCTAGATCTGGGATGATGCTCTTGATCCGCGTAGTTTTGAACCTGTCAGAATATCAGAATAAGTACCCACCATACCTTGGCATCGATAGGTCCCTTCCCAGAGGGTTCAATAAAATTTTGTGTTTTTTGTCCGTAGGCACCGTGAGTCGCTGCGACTTGTACATACATATGCGAAAACACGCATGAGGCCCCGGGAGATAACGGAGTTAAGCCTTGAATCCGAGGAACTATAATTAGTTCACGTGGAATAATACACATCAGGTGACCCACTATCAGCAGCCCCATATATATATAGTTACGGCCCCCCTCCACCCCCCCGATCTCCGTCCCGCTTGATCCACTCGTTCCAAAAATTTCCCTCCTTGGAGATTTCCACTTCTGTCTTTATCGCGTCGCAAATTTCATTAACCAAGACCCGTTGCAATGGCCGCTCAAGCTGCCGCCCCCCAGCTCACCAAGAGCAAACCAGAGGGCATTGACCTCTATGCTCGCTTTGCTCTTGCCGGCGCATTGGGCTGCTCCATCACCCACGGCGCCTTCACGCCGGTCGACGTGTACGTATCCTGAATTCAAAATATATCCGCACTCAGTTGACTCGGGGGGGCGGGTTGGAAATTCCCGCCCGCCGATTAACTCCCGGCTTCCCCCCCACCAGCACCAACTAAAACATATCATCTTCCCACACAGTGTCAAGACTAGGATCCAGCTTGACCCGGCAACCTACAACCGCGGCATGATCGATGGTTTCCGCAAGGTCATCCAAAGCGAGGGCGTCAGCGCTCTCGCGACGGGCTTTGGTCCGACCTTCGCGGGCTATTTCATGCAAGGCGCCTTCAAATTCGGAGGATACGAATTCTTCCAGAAGAAGATTGGTGAGACGCTGGGCGCAGAGACGGCCAAAAACAACCGTACCGCGGTGTACATGGTCTCTGCGGGTTCGGCGGAGTTCTTCGCCTCGATTGCCTTGTGTCCCCTGGAGGCGACCCGGATTCGTCTCGTCTCGACGCCTGGATTTGCGAACGGTCTTGTCGGTGGCTTTGGGAAGATTCTGAAGAATGAGGGGATTGGGGCCTTTTATTCTGGCTTTGGGCCTATTCTGTTCAAGCAGTATGTTCATTCGAATGACGACTCTCAATATGATGAGAAGAGCAAAAGACTAACCCACAAACAGAATCCCCTACACGATCACCAAATTCGTCGCCTTTGAAAAGGTTTCCGAGGCTATCCTGAGCCAGTTCGACAAGTCCCAGATGTCCGCGGGTGCCTCGACTGCTGTGAACCTGGGATCGGGTCTGCTGGGTGGCTTTGCTGCTGCCATCGTGTCCCAGCCCGCTGATACCATGCTGTCCAAGATCAACAAGACCAAGGGTTTGCCCGGTGAGAGCACCGCCTCTCGACTGCTCAAGATCGGTAAGGAGCTTGGTGTGCGTGGATCTTTCGCTGGTCTCCCGACCCGTCTGTTCATGGTTGGTGGCCTCACCGCGGGCCAGTTTGCCATCTACGGCGATATCAAGAAGCTCCTCGGTAAGTGCACTTTTTGTTCGTTTGCTCCGTTTGAAATGGTCCTCATATTGACTTCACTACCTCCAGGTGCCACCCAATAGAAAGAACATTAGACATCATACCCAGATTTGTACAGCTTAGATCAAAGTGTTATGTTCCGGCTACTACATAGACTCGGTCCAATTGTATCCGCCTACGTGTTTTTTTTTTTTCTTTCTTATGCGTGAGGATATAATCTAGAGCAAATTCGACCACTGATAACATCGTTCCTACATACCTACCAAGTAACTCAGGAAACACCACCCTCTATTCTTCAGCACGCTCTCATATCCTTCGTCCGATTTTTGCTTACTGGTTCAAACCTATGGTGTGAAAGTGACTGCAATCGGTTGGTATGTCGGCTGGAACATGGGCGGCACGATCTCATCGTCTTCTGGCGTCAGGATCATGAGCGGCGTGGGGCTGAGGGCGGCGAACAGATGCTCGGGCTTCCACTTGGCGTGGCGGTAGAAACTCTGGACGGTCATGCGGTCACTGAAGGTCGGGGCGTTCTTCTTCGCGCCGTGGACCCAGACAGGCAGGTTTTTTATTCTGCTCGAGTGTCATTTTGGCCAGGTATTTGAAATGCATCAGGTGCTCGCCCTGGTCGTTGAGAAGGGGGATGTACTCCGGCGGATGGCCGCGAGCCTGGTTCGCGCGATCCACGACCGCGTGTGCAACGATGGCTGCCTCGTCCGGCGGGTTGAGGCCCCAGTCTGGCATCAGCCCCTGTGCAATGATGGCCTTGACGCGCTTATCAAATGCAGCGGCTTCCAGGGCAATTCCGGAGCTGTAGAAGAAGCCCCAGATCGCGATGCGGTCGGGGTCGACCCAGCCTCCATCCTGTAGGAACTGTGTTTTCGATTGCTGGTCAGCACAGTTCAAATCTACTCTCCGGCGTTCCAACGTCGAAATTTGTTCACGACACTCACCGTAACGGCGTCGTGGTTATCCTCGGCTGTCTTCTGCGGATCCAGATCGTTCCGAGGTAGGCCGTCACTCTGGCCCAGCGTCCGAGCGTCGAAGACCAGCGCTGTGACGCCGTTCTTTCCAAACCATTCGGCCACGCCGGCCACAAAGATCTCTTTTGGGCTGTTGAACTAGTAATAGAAAGGATTAGATTCAGTGGAGTAGGTTTGGCCCGGGGGCCGCGGGGGAGTGGGGGTTGCTGGCTCACTGCACCGTTGATAATCACAGCGGGACCGCCCTCTGGACCCACAAACAGCCAGCCTCGCAGAGTCAGGCCATACGGAGTCTCGAACTCGGATGATGACCAACCTCAACTTGTTATGGACGCGGGTTGCCCAGGGTACATCCTCTTTCCCGGAGATTTGCAAGCAAGTTGCCAGAGAGACAACATCTTCCATACCCTGTGTAGCCCCGTTGCCAGAGGAGGGAAGGAAACTGTGTGCGGCATCACCGATTTGCACGACTCGCTCGCCAGGGGAAACCAGCAAGGTTGCGGCTCGCGCCACACGAGCTTGAAATCATGGATCTGGTCCTTGGTCGTTGCCTTGATCAATCGGTTGGCGAACTCAGGCCAACCAGGAATGGTAGCCGTTTGTTGGAGTACAACTTCAGGTCCAACCCAATTGGACCAGGACTCATTGCTGCTTCCGCGGTTCTAGCATGAGATCAGTGGTTCGTTTGCGTAGGTGGGTGAGACAGGGCATTTGATTCGGCCGTACAGGGTATGTGAGTACCATAACATTTCGTCCTCCGTTCTCCCGAAAAGTGCATTTACCTCTTCTCTAGATGTAGTCAGCAAAACAAAAAAGGCTTTGGAACGGGGACAATCAGACAGGGGCGGACGAACCCCATCCATAATTGTGTGGAGGATATCCCCGGCTTCAGTAAAGAGAACTTCGCATCAATATTGGGGTCTACGAGAGCCTGTTCAATTGGCAGCAGGGCTCGATAGATGGAGTACCCTGTCGGGCGGGCTCGGACTTCGTGGCCGAGGGTGATAGTATAAGACTTGCTCGAAATCCCATCGGCTGCAACCACCACGTCTGCTTCGATCTTTTCTTGGTCTTCCAGAATCACATAAGCCTTGGCCGACCGTGGGTCCTCGTGGTACTCGACCACCTGTTTGCCATATTCGGGCGTCAGTCCCACTCGCTCAGCCAGGTCCGCGAGCATCTTGTGCATGGTCGGACGACTATGTCGATATATCTTGGCGGGTGGCTCAGCGTCTCCCCTGCTATCGTTCTTATCTGGATTTGGACGAAAAGGTGCTGGGCCCGAGAGCAAGTCTCCGTTGATTTTATGCCAGGAGATCCACATCTCGTACGAGATGCGACATGTCTGGCCACTTCTTCAAGGCACGGACCGCACTGGTCCCTATGGTGACTGCATCACCTATAGCAAATTTGGCTTGTCAGATCAAACCTGGTGTTGGAGGGCTAAAGGCACGTACCAGACAGAGTTCGCGACAGGCTTTTCTCTAGAATTCGAACGTCATGCCCCTTGCGCCAGCACTCAAGAGCGGCTAACAAGCCCGCTACTCCTCCACCAACAATCAAGACGGAGATTCCCGTTTGTGGTAGTCTCTCAGGCAGGGTGCCCGATGAGCAGCCATTTGAGTGGGACAGATCTGTGGCACAGTCGAATTGCATTTCGCTACCTGTGATGAGATCAGGCTCGCGGGTTTGACCGAAGTGAAATGATTGCGAAGCGTGATTCAGATCTTGGTAATTATTTGAAGCACTTTAGACACATGCGACCCTTCCGCCTCACACAAAGGCCAATGTTACAGCTGAGCCCACCCATAGCTCGGAGCCAGGTCGGTTCAGGTACCCGGACAGTCAACATTCACTGCAAAAGGAGCAATATCTTTTTGTGACACCGAGAGACCCCAACAATACTGAGGCATTGTATGTCCCGATCTTCCCAGCGAGGCCTAGTGTCGGAGCAAAGTGGGTCGAGTCCCTGGTAAAATCGGGAGATCGGCACCGACCCCACTGGAGCCCTCCGGTCAGCCTCCGATGCGCCCCCGAGGCTTGTATTGTATTGTCCCGTTGAGTGACAGTGTAAATACGAAGTTAATGGCCCTTTGAGTTCGCGTCCGATTGCTCCCTCGAAGTTGGGGTAATGGGCGTTTTCCGCAAGGTTTTGAGTATGGCTATCTTGTAATGATTTTTATATATACTTTTGTACTACTAGTACTGACTGATGAGAATAACTAGATATTACTTTTAGAAACTGGAAAATATGTTACTAGTTAACCGTTATCACAACACGTGGAGCGTGCTGACTCAATCCTTTACTTATTTAACCATACGTGTAGTAGGTAGTACCAAGATAATGGATGGCTTGGCTGTAGTGTAACCACAGGGCAGCGAGACAAGATACTGGGCAGAATGACCAAAACAAAGACACATAAAAGGGGTTTTCATTATTCCATGCACTGTATTGTTTCCCGGACATTCATCTCAATCGTAAGAAACCGTGCAAGGGAGTAGCAGAGCAGTACCAGGAGGGCGATGTTCAAAATGTAAGAAAAGGGGGTATAATGTGGTATCGTAACATAGAAATGGAATATCAAAAGAAAGGTAGTAGCAGATCCAGTCTACGCAAGCTGTCTTTCCAGACTGCGAGGCGGAGTCAATATCGGTGGCATGCTCCGGTAGGGAGAAGAGGCTTCGCGCAGGCCGCGGCTGGTGTGGACGGGGCCCATGTTTGCAGCAGGGTCGTCGATCCGTAGGGGACTGATGTCGACGGGGATGCGATCTGGGAGGGGCGGTGGGGCGCGGTAGCGCGGGTTGTGGGGATCGAAGTATGGATGGTGAGGATGGGGATGTGGATGGGGATGCTGCGACATGGCGTAGGCAAGAGATTCGTCTGGGTGGCCGGGGAGGGAGACGTAGGAGGCGTTGAGCGTGCGGGCGATGTCTTGTAGGAGGATCTCCATCGGGGCGATGTAGGCTGTGTGGGTCTTTTCGGACCAGGCGAGAACGTGCCCGCAGACTCGACCAGTGGACCTTTCGAAGACCCATGCTCCGGAGTCACCGGGGACTGGGTGGTGTTAGCGGTGAGATCCAAGCTGAGCAAGTTGGGGTTGCGCTGTGCACTCACTTCCGAAATTCCCGTCCACGCAGAAGCTCGTTGAGAAGGTATGTCGTCCGCGAAGCTTGACGATTGTCATAGCTTTGGATATCTGTCCGGATTGCAATCCGGTGGTCCGCCCGCAACTGTGGACCTGAAGGCCGCCTAGGTCTTCTAGACGGGCGATGTCGTTGAGGTAGATCGGTTGTCTCTGCGACATCGACGATCCCTGTTCGCCGGGTCTGCGTGCAAACCGTGTCTGGTTCTCGTATACGACGTTGCGCGCGTCGGTTCGATCCTCGTTGATCTTGATCAACGCCCAGTCGATCTCGTGTCTGAGCCCTTTCCTCGTCCAGCGTCTGACGCCCGATGAGGCATGCACATATCCAAAGGAGTGAGAGGCGAGGTGCTCGTCGTCGCGGTCTTCAGGACACGGGAAAAAGTTCTCGTCTACATCGTCGATTGCGGGCTGAGTGACAAACAAGGGAGGTTCATCACCCGGCTCAATGCCAGCCGTGTCGCCGATCGAGGCTGAGTCTTCATCCTCATACTCGCGCATACCATCCTCCTCTGAGGAATAACCGTCGTCCGAAAGGGTAAAGTCGTCATAATTGCCTTCCAGGCTCTGCGAGATAGAGATATCATCTCGGTCTTCATCCTCAGAAACTTCGAACTCGAGATCAATCTCGGACGGGTCGTCATCACACCAGCTGTACATGAACTCTGGGTCTTGAGCCACCGACCCCTGGGGCCAGTGACCTGCGGACCGGTGAGGACCGGGGTCGACTTCTTGTTCATCGGCGTCCTCTTGGTCACTGGGTGACTCCAACATGTGGTGGACGGTCATTCCATATGGTGTGCCATCCACGAGGACCGAGCCGCCGTAAGTCACCGGAGGGAGATGCTCCTCGTTGAGGAAAGCACCAATTGATGCGCCGCATAGCGGCCGTTGTTGATAGCATGGATTCGGATCATGGTATGCGGTGGAAGTCGTGTCATTCCCAGGCCCAGTCTTTGCCGGCTTGCGGCGCTTCTTGCGTGGGACCTTTGACCGTTGGATGTCTCCGCGAAGAACTAACATATCCCAATCATCCCGGTCGAGCACGAAGTATTTCTTGAGCGCTGCGCGGACTTTCTTGGCGCTGCAACAGGTCACACAGATCGTCGTCCTGGCACTGTCCACCGACTCCCCGGTCATCATCAAAGTAACACCGCAGGACTCGGATGAATCTTTTAAGATCTTTTGGAGAAGCTTCCTCAGCCGGGGCATCATGTGGAAATTCCACTCGTTGAGGTGTGCCTGGGGGATCTCGACGTTGGTGAGTTTCTTGAAAGTCCTCTTCCTCACCCTCCCGGGTTCAAAAGCGCCCATCTTCTCCCTTAGAGCCTTCATCTCCGACGTAGGGATGGCCGAGTATGGATCATCCACGGGGACAGTCTGCGTGTGAATCGGCGCAGGAATATACTCTCGGGCAGGCTCCTTCGGGCCAGAGGAATCCTGCTTGGGAACTAGCGCGAGCGGAAGACAATCGTCCAATTCCTCGGCACCCGGGGCCGAAAAGATGTCAATCCGACAACAAGACCAGACGATTTTGGACATCGTGTAGATGAAATTCATGGAGAAAGTAAAGATACTATCCGGCTCCGAGAGGTCCAAAACCGGGTAGTGGTAGGTTTGGGGGATCCTGAGATTGAAATCATCGAACGGCTGAGTGGAAAGGTGAAAGTTGGGCGCATCGAGACATAGTTGGACCACGTGGAGGTATGCGCTGCCACACTTGGGACCCAATTTCTGCAGATACACATTCTCGATCCTCTGTTTGAACATGGACATGTTGTACTTCATTTTCCAGAGACGGCTGATGGGCGTCCACAGTCCGATCTCGAGAAGCACGAGACCCAGAGAATAGAGATCAAAGGCCCAGGATGCATCATCATCGATCAGCCTCCTATCGTCGGGATGACGATACATACTCGATGACAAGGGTTCCGGAGTCGGGCCGTTGCCGGGGAATTGAGCGAACGAAGTCAGGTAGGGACGCCGCAGGTTCTCCGTGAGACCTACTTCGTCGCTGTTTGTATTCGTCAAGCCAGGAAATATCAGTACGTTGCTGCTGTTGATGTTGCCATGAACCAGGTTCTGACTCCGTAGCTGCAAAACCGCCATTAAAAGGTCGTAAGCCAGCCGGAATCGGGTCTCCAAAGTCGGGACTTGATAGTCGTCTCCGACTTGAAAGAGGGAAACCAGAGGCTTGGGCTTCAAACCCTTCAAAAGATCCGTAGGATTTCGGAGAAAAGGGAAGTAATCGATAGGCATTTGGTAGATGAAAGCGTAGCGGGAGTTTGCCATGTCGACGTAGTAGCCCAAGAACCTCAACAGGCCCAAATGAGACACCCGGGAATTTTGCACAAGTTGATCCAGAGTCTGCTGCACCCGATCCAGCCGCTTGTTCACGGGAGCGGTGTAGCTCCCAGAAGTCTCCAACATCATCGGCGTAAATTCCACCAAGATGGTCGCAGTTGAATCCTTGGTGCCGCTCAGAAGAGGAGAAGCCGCGGTGCTCATACGACCGATGGCCCGGGAATTTGAAGACGCGGCGACCATTTCATAAGGGGGCGGATTGTTATCGTGCGATGCGCCGGACAGTTGCAAGGCTGAGCGATCGATGATGTAATTCATGGACGCCATCTTGAATTTGGCCGGATCGATACCGGGCGAATGCAATCCAGATTTCTCCGAGAAAGGCGAGTAGTCAAAGCTGTCCTGATGAGACGGGCGTCGGTGCTTGAAGTCCGAGTGGCCTGTTTCGTCCGCCCACGACCGACTTCTCGCGGCTGCCTGTGCCCCATGCGCACTCCGGCGCGAACTCGAGAGGTCATAAAGGGTGTCGATACAGGCCGTCAGGTCCGCAAGGATCGACTTGGAGTGGTTAATGTCGTCGTCCGTCCAGTGGGTCTTTGCGGGCAGACTGCTGAGTACATCTTTGGAAGCAGTGTCCGCTCCGGCGCCCTTCGGGGGCAAGCCCGAGGCTCCCGTGTGCTGGAGACGCTCCGCTTCATTGAGTTGTTCTTGGATACTCGACATGACGCTGGCGACGACGTCGCTATAGCCAGCTTGGGTTAGAGACTCGTCGATATCATGCGGCTGAGCGGCGCTGGCGTCACTCCAGTCCAAACCCCATGCGAGGAGTCGATCGCGCTGGGTCCGGAAGCTCCGATGCAACGCGACGAGTTCCGGGTCGTCGACCGCCTTGGAAGCCGTGGTGACACTCTCACAGGAGGTCTTTGTATCGGTATACATTTTGGTGAGACGCCGCTGGAGGAAACCTCCCCCATGGTGGAGAACGGACATCTTGGCGCAATTGGTGTGACGGTGGTGATGGGGGGGGGGGGGGTTTGAGGTGGGGGTGGAGGAGCAAGTCACGAGAATACCTCAGGCACGGATTGACCATACACCACCCATGTTCAAAGATCTCAGGTGAATATGGGACACAACTCAGGAGCGATAACACCGAAGACTATAAGATCCGAAGCAAAAGAAGGTGATGATGATGAAAGAATAAGAATAGATCGAAAGTGGGCAGGAATTCTGTTGCCTAACCAATAGGGAGTGGCGAGTGAAGGCAAAGCCTCATGCCAAGCCACATATCACGTGGCAGGCAGCCGCCATTCGCACCCGCTTTGGTCCGTGCTCTGCAGCATTAACCGGTAGTTTATTGTGATGTGGATGGCTTTATACTACGGATCTCCCAAACCTTGCTTGAAAGGGTCCCACAGCCAGGCAGCCACTTGACAGGGTTGGATATGCATCCTGACTACGTCACAAAAATACTAGTCTTCAATACTCCAAGTTCTATTCATGATTCATCAAAGAAAGGTAAGAGAGAAGAAAGAGGAAACAAAAAGGAAAGCAGGATTACAAGAACTGAAGACACGACAAAACTATTACTACAGCGGATGGGATCAGGAGCCAAATCCACCCATCTATTCGTCCAAGTTCGTCTACCCCCTCGTTGGCTCTCACTGGTACCATCACCCCGTAGTCACCCGGCGTGGGATACCGGCAGTCCGTTTTTCGCGAAAGTTATGCAACCGCTCCCCGATCAGGTAGACTTCGTCTCTGATGTTGACTCGCCAGGTATCCACTCGGTGGTGCGCGCGATAGGCCATCCAGATGAAGACGGCCATGGATAACGTCACCGGGTACGCGTACCGGTAGACCTTGGGGTGCAGATCTGGGCTGGAGACGTACACCGTCGAGTTGATTGCAAACCCAAACACAAGTGGCACAACCACCGCAATTATAGCGAGAAGCATGATGGGAAGCAGCAAGGCCCGCGTGGCCAGTTGGGCATTCGGTTTGATCCATCCCTTGCGAAAGATGTTTTTCAACGCGGTGGCCGGCCGAGAGGCGGAGCGCCAGAGAATAAACTTGATGGCCATCTGGACATAGAGCACCCCAAGAGTCCAATCCTGCACAAAATGGATTACATGCGCCTGGACGCCACTGGAGTACGTGTGGATGGGGACCAACACATAGAGCTCCATAACCAGCGCGAAGACGGAGGGCAACAGGATCGAAAACGCACCCACGACGTAGGCAAGCCGGAGAACACCCACGACAGCAGACACCAATCCAACCAGTGCCTGACGAGGAGATTGGAGATACGGACGCAAATAGCGCCTCACGGTAGCGAAACAGGTCTGGCGGTACACCGCAAGATAGGCAGCACTGCCAACCAAACATATGCCCGTAGAGAAGGCATAAATGTCATTGAGCGGCCGATGGGGAAAATAGGCGGACATAATCTTCCGCCCAATGACCATGGGAATAACGGTGGTGCCTACGCCAGTGGCGGCCGCAAAAACCCAGATCAGGAGGATGAACGCTGCGATGCGGGATCGGAAATGAGGAGGAATGTAAACTTTGGTGAATTGGCCCGGCCAGAGTTGATCCCGGACTCCGTCGAGCCTCTGATTATCCTCAGAAACCGGTACGAATACGGGGTTCCCCTTCGGAATGCGGACTTGATCAGACGCTGGCGCTCTGACCAATTTTCCGTCTGGCACGAAGTATGTACTGATGTTGAGCTCGGCAGCACGGCGCTGATGGTCTGGGCCTGCCAGCGGCCGCTGACTGTCGCCTTTAGTCCTAAGAAGAACATCACCCCAAGTGCGTCGCACGTGGTGACCCTCCTCGTCCGGTTGTCTTTCACCGAAAAAGAAGCTCGTCAATCTTAAGAAACGAGCACACTTGTGGAACCACCAGTCATAAAGGCTATGCAAGCCATCCGAAGGTTTGAGCGACCGGATTGCAAAAGGCATGACGAAGTTGTAGAATAGTAGGTCGACCGGAAATTCGAGAACGGGGATGGTAGCAGACCAATGAATAGGGAGGACGCCATTGAACCCGTAATGTAAGCCCCAAACAACACCTCCGAGGCAGACGATGACTAAAGCACCATAGACAAGGGCACTGAAGGCAATCTTGCGCAGCTGCGTGGTGATGTTCCGTTCCAGGACATCGCGCACAGGGTGGAAGGTCGGATCATCGGGATCGCGAATGAAATCTATCATTGCATTAATACCTGGTAACAACGCTGGGTTTGGGAAAAAGGCGGGGAGAGAACTTACATAGTACACCGCTCCGCAAGATCTTCCGACACATGGACACGAACAGAGCGAAATGAAACATGTAGCATGTGCCGATGAACCAGTGTACGAAAAGCGAGGTCAAGGGGGCCGTTGATGTAAATTCAAGGCGGGATGCAATGCTGGCCTGATCAAACAGGGGCAAAAGTGCAACATCGAGCAGTGATCCACAATACAAGGGGAACACTATCATCTCAATACCGATGATGAGGATCACTTTCATCACTCCGCCGGACTGGTGGAGGATTTCTGCAACGACACCTTCGGCCCTCTGCCCACGCTCCACACCGGAAAACAGACCTGTAATCCGAAGATAAAAAAGGCCCAAAGCGGAAGCGAGGACATAACCCATAATAATGGCAATAATACGGTCCTTCGTGTCCCATACTGCCAAATCATAGTCGAGAGTGACGTCCGTTGAAGCCGCTCCAGTGAAACCCACGCCATACCACTTAGTGTTGTTTGCGAAATGCAGCAACTGGCTGAAGAACTCAAAAACTTGATCTCGGGCTTGGGCTAGAACATTGGCAACACCTTCAATAGTGTGATCCGATGAGAGATACCCCGTAGCCCCACGGGAGAGGATCTGAAGAGGAATATCGCGCAGCAACAGTTTGCCCAGCAAAAAGACTGACCGGAAAACAGTGGCTATCCGTGCCTCGTGGAGTTTTAAAGCTTGGTGAGACAGAACTGAAAACATCGGAACGTCCGACTCGTGGAATACAAAGAATGCACTGACCACGTTCCGCAGCCTGTGGCTACTCGCGTCAATGAGAGACAGCGAAGCACTGGTCACGGATTTGGTATGGGGCATCCAGTCAGCCAGAGGAATCAGGGTACCAAATGGTCTCAACAGCATTTTGCAAATCAGGCTAATCGAGTACATGACGTATCCCAAGCTCCCAATGAGTGTGTCTAGTGTAATGTCTGCGATAACGGACACAGCAGTCATGGGAACACCGAACACCAACTGTATGGGGTTGGCCAGGAGAACGAGGGCAATTTTCCCCCATAGATACGGCAGCCAAATTCCGATGGCCACGGTGAACGAGATAATGAGAGCACTGAACACGCCATTCTGCAAGAGACCAAAAATGGGTCCTTGCATGCCAATTAGTTCAAGGACACCTTCCATATCATCACCTTCATCGAGAGCATCAAGATCGTTCGCATCAACACCGAGCTCAGCTGCGAATGCTTGGTTATCCTGCTCGTCGTCGGAGACCGCAATGTCAGAATGGTCTTCCAGCGCAGAGCCATCATCTGACGAGTCGTTATCAGATGGATGATCTGGTGTGATGTCGCCCCAGAACCAGTCAAGAGTCCTCGTGGCCAAATTTTCGGGTGGAGCGGCGATGAGAGCGTCAGAAGGTGCTGTGTTGTTTCCGCTTTCAGACGATCCCAAGCCAGCGTCTGGTCTGTGATCTGGACCTGTCGAAGTCACAGCTGGACTGGGGTCCTCGTAGGCCGGTAGTACGGCAGCGGGAAGTTCTTCGACCTCGCCTTGTTCCTCTGGAGCTCTCTCTGTCGATGGGGCGTAATGAAAGCCAGCGCGGTCTTCAAGAAGTCCCGGTATTGTGTCCCGAACGAACGGATTGGAGGGTCTTTCGATATCCCAAGGTCGCGAAGCAGGCAGGGGCTGGGGACCGGGAAAGTGATGTGTATGTGCAATATCCGAAAAACTCTGCTCAAAACGCGTGGAGCCGGAAGCGATGTCGCTTCCCCGAAGTTTTGTCATTTCGGTCTCAACCCAACCTAATTCATCTCGAAGGCCTTCTTCCCGTATGATATTTATGACTTGCTCGGGATCACCATTTGCACGCGTCCAAAGGTCCCTGAAGGTCTCCACACCTGGCGAGGCCTGGCTGGGCTGATCCGAAGGCTGCGCGTGCGGGATATCGTAATCTGCTTCGTCGTCACTCGCATCATTGTGTCCAGACGGAGTCGGTCCAGCATTGTCATCCGTATCCAGACCGTCAATAACATTCGCATGATTTTCCCGAGCAAATGGGTTTCCAATATCCGAGCTTGATCTTCGCCCCGAATCTGGCATTAGAGTGCTTGGACGATCGGCGATGTCTTCGACATGCTCATGGGTCATTTCATCGTGTACTAGATCCTCACGACCCCTAGGTCCTTGGCGTTGCTCCGGTCCTCGAAACAAGGGCTCCCGCTCGTCAGGCGCCGGAGGATTGTTCGGACGATTATTCGCAATCAATTGAACGGCTGCTTCTCGCTCACCGTCGGCGATATTTGCCATCGGTTGCTGTTGGACCACCCATTCCCGGATGAGGAAGATTAGAATGAAAGAAATGACAACAAGCAGAGTGATCAGTTGACCCTCTAAGGTGTCTATTAAAATGTTGTTGATCGTAGGAGATGGTGTCAAGGTATTCAGGAACTTCACATCCGAAAGCCACGAGGGTCGCCGCTGTTTAGTAGACCCTGACGTCATATTCGCGGACCCCGCGCCCGTAGAACTTACTCCCGTAGACGACATTGCAGGGAAGAATAGGGTCCAAAATGCTTTCTTCATGAGAATAAGAATTAACGGTTCCCCAGAAGCGGAAGAGAAGTCAAACATCGATGATATGGGTGACTGCAAAGACTGTCCTTGCGCCGCAGCAGCCGCAGAAGACGCCGAAGCCATGGAGCTGGTGGCAGACGCGGCCGCAGACATGGAAGCAGTACCATTCGATACAACTTGAGCCAGGTGAGCCTGAGGCGACCCTTGTTGGGGGCTATCCCCACCCGACCAGCGGCCGTCTGCAAGCCAGAACAGGGCCCTCCATATTGCTCTCATTGACCACGGAAGCCACCCAAGCCAGACGAAGGCGACGAGGACAAACCGCAGCCAGGTTACCACCGTACGGAAGCCATGGGCCAGAAGCTGTTTCGCGAAGAGCGGGGTTGGAACTCTTTGGGGCATGTTGGGGTCGTACAGCTTGGTGAATCTGAATGGAGTCTTGCATAGCTCACAGTGTTTCTTCTGCGAGTGAGAAAGCCATTCCACCAGACAAGCCTGGTGAACGAACTTAATACTACCGCTGCATTTGCAGGGGTAGAAAAGTTGTTCATCCTCAGTACCTTCCCCGCGACATATTCGACAGGTATCGGGCTCTTCCAGCTCCCTCTCCTTTCCCTTATGGTTGGTCTCGTAGGCCGGATCGTTCATGAGATCGGGAAATGGCGCCGCGCCACCGAAAGATTCGTGTCCTGTGTAGTCGTCCATGGTTTTCTTTCGACAGTGTTCGACGTCGTCGACGAATCGATCATCATAGTATTTGGGGGGAACTAGGTTGGTATCATGGTCGTAGGGCCGTTATGTAGTGGATCAGAAGGAGGCGCTGAGTCAAGAAGATGGAAATCCTCCTATGTCTTTACCTCCCAAAGGCTGATATGTGTCCAGTAAGATCAACCTTGATCCAGGATGCGAGAGAGAAAGTAGAGCAGCAAACTGTCCCCAACAACGACCATCCAGAAGCTCGATGGAGACAGAACGATCCGAGAACCTGCTGACTGATCAAGGCTGACCGCTCTCCCGTATCATCGGCGATCACGTGGATTTACCGCAGCTTACCGCCGCCACTCGCAAATAATATACAATAATACACATTGTAGCTGACAATACATCATCATGCGTGTAATGCATCGTCAGACCCATCGGACGCCACAAGTACAATGACCTCACCAAATGAATTATAATTTGCCCTTGCGCATTGAGTTGGGACGACTTGACCTCAATCCTGTCAAGTTATAATATTTGTCTCATACCCCTCTCTTTGGATTGCCAGTTTTAGAACAGGCTCTCTTTCTTCCCAGCTACTCGCTGTCCCTCGGCTCCTCTGTCCTCTTTGGCCGTGTTGCTCACTAGCCTAGAGATACGCCAAGACTCGGGGTGTCGCGCGAGCCCCTTGAGAGTTCTGCTCTTTTCTCTTTGCTTTCTATCAGAGTTCTTTGCAAGCCCAAGCTTTGTTTTTATTATTGTTCATTTCCTTGCCATGACCTAAATATCTAGAGTCAGGTTTATGTTTGTATAGCTCGGTAATCAACCAAGTCGGTCACGCGACACGAGCCAGATACTCCACTGGTCGAATCATCACACGGGCAGTGTCCCAGCGGAGAAAATTACCTACCAGTATGGCAAACGCCGATAGTGGTAATGCCTCGGATGGCATCGATAAAGCAGTTGAAACTGGCAATTCTGGCGTGAATTCTAGAAAGACAAACCCCGTCCGATGGACAGTCGGTTTGGTTGTGCGGTATGCTTTGGACTCCTGCATCTATCTTTTTTTTTTTTTTTTTTTTTCTCTTTTTTTTTCTTTCCCTTTTTTCTGCTTTCTTTTCTTGACTCCTGCCTGTCGCATTATATCTAACACTTTCACAATAGACTTTGCATCTGGTATGCTCTTCTCACGCCATTCTTTCGGTGTCCGTCTCAACTGTCCGAATTGGACGGATTCTCCCCGCGCGTTTGCCAGCCATACCTTATCGCTCGCTCCCATATCGAACCGCATGTCCTACCTTACTACAATGCCTACGCAGCGCCTTACGTTGATACGGCCCGGCCCTACGTTCAAGTAGCCCATGACAAGATCTATATCCCTGCGGCTAGTGTTGCCAAAACGAGCTATGATGAATATGGAGCCCCGGCGTTGCACCAAGCACAAGTTTATGGCAAGCAGCAATGGGAGACGCAGGTTGTTCCTCACATAAACTCTGCCAAAGGCAGCGCGTGCGCCTTGTATCAGGCGCATGTGGCACCACATGCTGACCATGTAACGGCTTTGATCTCACCCTACCGTCAGAAGGCCAACGCTGCATTTCGCTCCGTGTGTGACCAGTATATTGTACCCTTTTACGCACACTCTAGACCTTTCATTGGGAAGACCTACACCTCCGGCCAAGATATTCTGACGACTAGCGTTCTCCCATATGCGCAAAGCACGTGGTCGTCCGCCATCTACTTGGCAAATCATGAGCTGTGGCCAAGAATTGCTGGTCTCTATTCTGAGAATGTGGAGCCTCAGCTGGTCAAAATTGGGCAGCGTCTCGCAATCTACCGGGAGGGCAAGCCACTGCGGAGTGTCGTGGGCGGAGCTGACAGGTAAATAATAGTGTGTAGCACGTTAGGTTTATTCTCAGTTGACTAACTTGGGCAAACATAGCTCCTCTGATCCCACGGGTTCTACCACACCCACGTCAATAGAAACAAGTCAATATGTAGCATCGGCCACACCCTCTTCAGCACCGATTACACCGCCAGCGCACTCTTGGTCACCCGAAGAAAAGGCTGCCGACGCTCGTGCCCGGATCGACTCCGATATCTCCACATGGCAAGAAAGATTCATTGTTGCCGCTGACCAGGGAGCCAAAGATCTTGCGGATCAGATCGAGAATCTTGTTGAAGAATACACGAAGAGCGATGCGAAGGCTTATGGCGAGAGCCTTGCCACCGCTTTGAACACCACCATTGAGAGCGAGCTGACTGCTGCCAAGAGCCGCATGAACGAATTGGCCGGATTCCTTCCCTTCGAGGACGCCCCAGAGGAGGAGGAAGTCGCGCAGGAGGAGTTCGCAAAGGATATCAGAGAAGCAGCGATTACTATCCGGGACCATGCGCATGCTCTCCGAGAATGGCATAGATCCTTCGATCAGGAGCTGGTGGGACGGGTATCTACTATCGTCAAATCCACCCTCAATGTTCTAGACAGTGTTCGGGATGTTGGCCTTCAGGAAATTGGCATTCGTTGGGCGTCCATGGATGAGGTTACCTACAAAGATTGGGCCAGATATCATGCCTTGAAAACGCGTTTCGAGGATTGGAAAGACGAGTTCAATACTGCCGGGTTGCAAAACAGCAAGCTTGAAGAGCTCCGGATTGTGGCGGATGAGATTCTGTCCTACGGAATGGATACCGCCGAAGCTGCCGCGAAGGAGCTTGCCCGACTGAAGGATGTTGGGAAGTGGAAAATAGCTGCGCGCGAAGTGAATGATGATTTCGAAACGCGGTCTGGCTCTCCGCCACCACGACCGCAGCCGATCATCGAGTCTGAACAAGTCGCCGAGGATGACGAATCTGTTGCGGGTGAAAAGAACCGACAGCTTCCTACCGATGTCGACGAGCAGGGGTCTCACACGACCGTGATTGCAGACGAAACTGATCATCATACAGATGATCAAGAAGAATTGGGATTCGACGATGCACCCTTACACGATGACGAGCAAGACACCCGTTACGATACTGAGGAGACCGCTGAAGCCTCCACTCCCCAGACGGAAGATGAATCCCCCCAGTTCGCATGGGGAGCGAATGCCGAACCGATTCCTGGCCAAGGTCAAGCTCATAAAGTCCCCGACGCTGCTAGTCAGGCCGATAACGAGCGTGCTGAGACCACGAAAGCCGCTAGCGAGACCACATCACAGTCGACCGATGCCCAGCCTTCCAGCTCTACCGCCGTACCACAAGACGACGTAGAAGCATTGATTTCCAAACTTCTTGCAGACAAAGGTTCGTCTTTGTCGGACGATGTTTTGAACAAGCTTCACGCTATTTACGGGGCAGCTGTTCCGTCTTCTTCGCCTGCTCCCGCGGAAAACATACCGAATATTAATGACGCGATGGAAAACGCAAGCGAGAAGATCCAATCTGCGACCAGCATTGTCTATGAAAAAGCGACATCTGCTGCATCGGCCGCTATTGCATCCGGTAGTGCGCTTGGCGCTAAGCAGGTGGAAGCTGCCCGAGAAGCTATCGATGATGCCTTCTCGTCTGTCGAGTCCGCAATTGATGACGCTACTCAGTCATCTTCATCTACTGTCGCCCGGTATGTTGATTCTGCCGCTGCTACACCACAGGCCGAGGATGCGACCGGAGGCGATGAAGAAGCTATCCATGGAGGCGATCTGTAAGGAATGGGATTTGGGAAGACAAAAATAATGGGAAATCAAGGGCGACAGGCTTGGGATCTACCGTGAGTTAGTGATCGGAGAAAGACACTTCAAGTGTGTTGGCCTTGGTGATGGAAGCACGTGCTTTCTCTCTCGGTGCTGTCTCGATTCTTTCTTTGTTGGGTTGGTTTTTCGTCGAGATTGATGACCTTAATTATTCCCCATATAGTTTACGATTATTGTACGTCACGACATGTTTTATTATCAGTTGACCGTTTGGCTTTTGTTCATTAGTTAGACCTATACATACACATCAACTTCTTTTGTTATCAGACAAATTTGGACCATTTACATTTCGGATTGGTAGATCAATTAACCGATGCCACTCACCAGAAGTGGTATGTAGCTCGTACCATTGGTACATTTTAGCCGTTGGGTAGAGAAAGTACATGCTAAAAAAATATAGACTAGAAGAATGCCCCAAGGGAGACAAAGGGAAAGAAATGGAGCTAGTCCATCCTACCGATGCGACATCCGCTGACCACCTCTCTTCTCCATCTTCTTCTGCCTCTTACTCTCCGCAGCAGTAGTTGATCCCTCATCCGATCCACCACCCCCCATCCCAGCCAAGCCGCTCTTCATCCCCATAACGGTCGTGTAAGCCAGCCAACCGGAGTAGAGGGGCACCACAATCCACAACCACCAGGCGCGGTCCCCAAAGAGACACACCGCGCCAATGCACCCCCACGTCCAGTACAGGATATCCCACATGTACTCCGTCAGGCCCGCAGCTCCCAGGTCCTCACCCGGAGAGCGGAGGGAGCCGTCGGCTGGGTCGTGGCGAGGCCGGCCCAGGCGGTCAAGGTAGGCCTCGATGAGGAGGGTCGGAAATGCGAGAAAGAAGTATGGCTTCAGGGAGCGAGGTCGGTTGAATGTCCAGTGAAGGAGGAAAAAGACGAGGTGGAGACCCAGTGTGATCATATGCGTGCGGACGAGGAGCGAGGCATTGCGTGCTGCGAGGGATTTGGCTGCTTTCTAAAGTGGGTGTCAATAGTCTGTTCTCATTTATTGATCATGAACCAATCGTCGAACGAAGTCGTAGTTACCTGAGCCATGGTGGGGGACGTGTTCTGATCGGGGGAACCGAATATCAAGGAAGGAATGAGCGAACAGTAGTTCAGGAATCAATTGGGGTCGATCAGGACCAAGCCAGGTAGAAGTAGACAGATATAGACGTTTGCGAAGTGAAGCCGAACGGCAGTAAGGTTGAAGTGGCCGATTAGGGAATGGCGTTGCCCACCACAACCAGACAAGCGCCCGCGCCCCGATCGGTGTCTGTCTGTCTCTGCATCGGCCAACCACTTCATGAACGGTTCGCTCCAAAACAACCTGAACTAACATTTACCTTTCTGCATCGTTGATCGACTCCCTTGCCGCTCGGTCGCATCTTTGATCGCTCGGTCTCATGCTCCTTTAGCTCGGGCGAGCTTCACGTTCTCTATTTCCCCGTCGATCTCGCTATGCACCTTGTTTTCTTCTGAGCTCTTTGCGTTTGGCCCACAGGGGCGTCACGAGTACATCCTCGCATCCTTTCCGGACGTCATTCCCTTCAGTCATCCTCCATTCTGAGAAATACTTCCTCCACAGCTTAGGATTGGGGGGGAGGAACTGGAAACCCGACTCAGTTCGCGATATCCCTCCCTTGGCATTTGGTTCTTTGACGTGTGAAGGGAACAAGGAATATCGCATCATTGTTTCCTCACCGTGGTCTGACTGCGCCACGGGAAAAGAAAACAACGCGCTCCCTCTGCCCTCGGATCCATCGACTATTCTTGACGTGTTGAATGGCTCTGGCCTCACATTTCGCTCGTTCTCCGCGAATTCCTCCATCTCCCTTCGCTATCGCCATCGCCAACACCGACACGCCCGCATCTGCCAGAATCTCCGCGTATAATCCGTTGTGCCTCCGCCAAGCGCGACTCGCCTCAACATGTCGCCATCCACTTCCCATATATCAAGCCAGCTACGACAGTTGATTTACTACCACTTGGATAACAACCTGGTACGGAACGCGCTCTTCCTCGCTGGTCGTTTGCACGCCTACGAGCCCCGGACGTCGGAAGCCTCATACCTACTCGCTTTCTGCTACCTCCAAAATGGTCAAGTGAAAGCTGCGTGGGACTATAGTCGCAACTTTGGGTCGAGAGGGACACACCTCGGTTGTGCATATGTCTATGCTCAGGCATGTTTGGACTTGGGGAAATACCTAGACGGCATCACTGCTTTGGAGCGAAGTAAAGGCATGTGGGCCTCAAAGAACCACTGGAGTAAGCGACTCCCGCCCCGGTCTCGTGAGCCTAACCAGAAGAGAAAGAAAGGGGAGAAAGAAGCGCGGTTATCTGGCACAATGAGTCGATGCTAATCACCCTTGGACACTTCAGACAAACACAGCGAAACACGCAGACAACACTTGCCGGATGCCGCGGCCGTCATGTGTCTACAAGGGAAATTATGGCACGCACACAAAGATGTCACTAAGGCTGTAGAATGCTATGTCGAGGCTCTAAAGTTGAATCCCTTCATGTGGGATGCATTCCAGGGCCTCTGCGAAACAGGTAAGTTTTGGTTCAACGTGAGGGAAGTAGCTTGCTCCAGTCGCTGACCAGTACTTCCAGGGGTCAACGTTCGTGTCCCGAATATCTACAAAATGAACTCTGAATTGCTCTCGAATTTGTCCCCCGCCTCGCAAGAGGATGTCGACCCTACCGCCGACAAGTCAATGTCGACAACAGGCAGACCCCTTCAATCTCAGGCCAATACGAATTCTAATTCCGATCCCTTCCTTTCTGCGACATCCCGAAGTGACTCAACTACCACCCACGGTAGCTCAGCCCTATGGGAGAAGTTCAACGGCAGCACTGTTAGCGTGGCGTCCACGGGTGCATCGGTACCAGTTGCTCGAGAAGGGACGGAGACCCCTGGAGGTCAAAGCAGTGAATCCGATGAGCTTCGCGGCGTGAATGGAACAGCCGTTCCCGAGCCCGCGTGGGATCCTCCATTAGCCCCTGCAAGGAAGAATCGGACAATCCAGACAATCGGTACCGACCATGGGATGGACCCGCCACCGAAAATGAAGCCCACCGGTATTCGGCAAAGAGCCCGGACTCGAGCCGAACAAGAGGAACACGGCGCCCCACAGTCGGATAGAGAAGCTATGAGCAAGATCGGAGATCGCAAACGGACGGTCTCAGGCCAAGTCGCACATCAAACGCCGCAACAACCCACAGAACCAGGGGCACCACAGCGCCGGAGCGTGCGGCTGTTCAATCAGATCAAACCAACAACCAGCAAACTGTCGAGCACTACCCTTACCACGAAGGATGGCAGGGAGCTGAAAAGAGTGAGACCTACCGGCGCCAAGAGTCGCACCGCAACAAGCACTCATAGCGGTCGTGTTGTGAGCGGCGGCCGGAAAATTCCTAACGAGATACTCGATAGCGATGGCAGGGACTACCGAACTATGTCTTCGACGAACCCTAGTTCGCGGAGCAGTGGGGCTGAGAAGTCCAAATCCGTGGAGGCTTTGGCCTGGTTATTAGATCTTTTCTCCAAGCTTGCCTCCGGATATTTTGCCCTAAGCCGGTATAAGTGCCAGGATGCAATCCAGATATTCAATGGCCTCTCGCAGGGCCAGCGAGAGACTCCCTGGGTTCTGTCGCAAATTGGACGCGCGTACTACGAGCAAGCGATGTATTCCGAGGCTGAAAAATACTTTGTCCGGGTTCGGACTATGGCTCCATCAAGACTTGATGACATGGAAGTTTATTCGACAGTCCTTTGGCACCTGAAGAATGATGTGGAACTCGCATATCTCGCTCACGAGTTGATGGAGGTCGACCGCCTCTCTCCTCAGGCTTGGTGTGCTGTCGGGAATTCCTTTTCCCACCAACGCGACCATGACCAAGCCCTGAAGTGCTTCAAGCGGACTACACAATTAGATCCCCATTTCGCTTACGGGTTCACATTGCAGGGTCACGAGTTCGTCGCCAACGAAGAGTACGATAAAGCTTTGGATGCGTATCGACACGGGATCAGTGCAGATAACCGCCATTATAACGCCTGGTATGGGTTGGGTACGGTCTACGACAAGATGGGTAAGCTCGAGTTTGCGGAGCAGCACTTCCGAAACGCAGCTAGTATCAATCCCACCAACGCCGTCCTGATCTGCTGCATTGGGTTGGTGCTTGAAAAGATGAACAACCCGAAAACGGCTCTTGTTCAATACAGCCGTGCGTGCACGTTGGCACCTCATTCGGTCCTTGCACGGTTCCGCAAGGCTCGTGCGTTGATGAAACTCCAAGAGCTCAAATTAGCCTTGGCCGAGCTCAAGATCCTCAAGGACATGGCGCCCGATGAGGCCAATGTGCATTACCTTTTGGGTAAACTCTACAAGATGCTGCATGACAAGGGCAATGCGATCAAGCATTTCACGACGGCCCTGAATCTGGATCCCAAGGTATGGACCATCTCGACAGTATTCGCAGAGACCTTGCTGACCTTTACGCTGCAGGCTGCACAGTACATCAAGGACGCCATGGAGTCCCTCGACGAGGACGAGGAAGACGACGAAGACATGGCATGATTGTGATGACTTCCCTCTCGACGGGTTCCTTTCGTCTCCGCTATTCATTGTTTTTTTTTCTTTCCCCGCAGTCCCTTACTCGGATTCCCTATCCTATCTCCATTTCAGGATGTAGATGGATGAGGGTCGGCGTTCTTTTGTTTCTCAACACCGATTTGCACAAGCATCAGCAAGCATTCCACAGGCGTTCGGGTAGGGAGTGTTGATTAGAGGGGGTGTTTCCTCTGCATCAGGCACTCGCAACGGTGTCCAGGCTGGGTTGGTTTTGTATATTAGCGTGGGTTGGTTTGCGAATGAGCGATGATGACACTCGGGCGAACGACGGACTCATGAACATATCACCGTCTGTCGAGCTTGGGTATTCCATACTTGATCTTATTATTACCGGCATTCCTAAAAGCGCATTCATCCACCAATCAACTTTTAGTATAACAACCTTGATTATAATCTATGGATAGTTTTATGGAGAGAAAGTAGACATGTGCATATAATACTTGGACATATAAGGCCAGGATGTGAAGGCGGTGAACGGGCATTCGGAGGAGGCCAAGAAAAATGTTTAGAAGAAAAAAGCATGCGACAGTTGCCATGGTTTGCTCTCCTCCTTTCGGAAACTCATCCGATTCTTTGGTCACTTTTATTTGACAGAACGTCGTGGTTGTTCTTCGCGATCTTCATTCTCATAAACCACCTGTGATACGACTGGAATTTGGTGGCTCTGTCATGTTCTCGTTATTTCCTCGGTGAAACCCCACTCCACCCACCGTCCCCCCGAGTCCTTCTCCAGTTTTTTTCGCCTGACCTCATCATCCTTCTTGGTCTTTATTGGAGATCCCTGTAAGAACCCCAACGAACCTACAGGCCGTCTCTTTGCCCGATATAAGGTCAATAAAGTCTGAAACCCCTACTTATCGGTTCCGCGATAGCACATTTGTCAGATACTGTGTGTTTAGGCGACTTTCGCTTCGTGTCCTTGTCGCCGCCATGTCCTTCCTCTCCTATCTCGCCTCGGGCGTCAGTTCCTTCGTCGTCCTGACACTCTCCCTCTTCGCGCTCGGTCAAAAAGTTCCTCGCGCAGCCTTCGCTGCTCGGTGTCTCGCGTCGTACGCCTCTCTTCTCATTTGTGCCACGTATGGCGTGATCGCGTCGATCGTCCTGCGCCTGGTGGGCTACGGACGGGTTTCGCAATGGGCCACCGCGCGCAGCTTCAAGTGGGTTATGCGGATTACCACTGGCGTGAAATGCGAGATTGTGGAGGGCAAGGAGCATCTGACTACCCGTCCGGCCGTGTTCATCGGAAACCACCAGTCGGAGTTGGACGTGCTGGTGCTGGGATACATCTTCCCGCCCTACTGCAGTGTCACGGCCAAGAAGTCCCTCCGCAATATCCCCTTCCTCGGCTGGTTCATGTCCCTCTCGCGGACGGTTTTTATCGACCGCGCCAATCGCGAGACCGCTGTCAAGGCCTTCGACTCTGCTGCGGATGAGATGCGCACTCAGCGCCAGAGCGTCTTTATCTTTGCCGAGGGTACGAGGAGTTACTCCGATCAGCCGGAGCTGCTGCCGTTTAAGAAGGGTGCTTTCCATCTCGCCGTCAAGGCCGGTGTGCCTGTCGTGCCGGTGGTTACGGAAAACTACTCCCACGTGTTGTCCCCCCGCAAAATGAGATTCGAAGCCGGCACGATCAAGATCAAGGGTATGCTCTTCTGTCGTCCCTATTTATATTGCGCGCAACACGACTAATACGACTTATAGTCCTTCCTCCCATCCCCACCGAGGGTTTGACCGCAGCCGACGTGGACAAACTCACCACGTCAACGCGGGAATCGATGCTCAAAACTTTGCTGGAGATGTCCAACGGCAGCGCAGCCGAGGCTGATACGGCACGTGCCAATGGAACCTCCACGGCTGTGGAAATCTAAATGCACCCGTTGCAATTTGATAAGAGGCAGCGGTTCGGATCGGCTAGCGACGTGCTTTGACCGTTTCAAACCTCGCCTTACCCGGCTCCCTTTTCTAACCGGCCTGAGCTTGCCATGGTCACCGGCACGGAATAACATACATTTAACGACGCACAAGACACGCCACGATAGATTCAATCACCTACACCATCCCTTTCCAATTACACTCGATGTGCTTTGGCAAGCATATATGTTTATTTCCCCTTCACAACTATAGATGGTCGCACCCATCGACTGAACCACGGACCGACACAACACCATCCCAACAGGAGGACATGCTGGAATGCGAAAATTCCCAACATATGATCGTTTGAACATCCTTGTTTGCACATCATTTCCTTTTACATTTTCTCAGCAAACTTCTGTGCCTGTCAACACCTAGCTAGAGTTTACACACCGGCGCGCCGTCCGTGCGAAAGATGGGAAACCCACATAGACATGATACATGATCCCTCGACTGCTTCTTCATTGGGGAAACAGCTAGTTGGACACGAATCAATCGACGATAGACGATATCCATTGTTTGTTTTGCTATGAAATGATTTCGGGAATGTAATACAACTCCAATTTTAATCCCCTCTCCCACTGCCATCCTCTTCACAAGTCAACTCAGTCAACCAAATCAAATCAAGGTTATGTAGACAGATAATAAACCTCTACCCTAAACAGCGACACAACCCCCTCGCACAAGGTCCTACATCCACCTCAATATCAACCGGCTTCAAACCCAACCACACATCCGGATTCACACTACCCGAAGAAGAACCAACACGTCCACCCCTAGCAGCGGTCGCAATCAGATAATCCTCCCCAAGCGCAACAACCTCAATCCTCACATCAGCCACCCTCTGCCCATAAAGCAGCGTCCGCACCCCCGTATAAGGGACCCCACACTCCAACGAGCTCGCTCCGCCTCCACAAGCCGCAGGAGGATCCGGCGCAACAACGTCCAGGAACTCCAGCTCACGTAGCCAGGGCGCTAGCAGCGCCTCGCCTGTCATTTTGATGTACGCTTCCTTCAGGGCCCAGTAGGTGTAGAAGAGCCGGAAGGCGTACGCGACTGCGTCGGACTCGGGGCGGCCTGGGGTTGGCGCAGCTGCGTTTTTGATGGTTTGGAGCTCGCGCTGGGAGAAGACTTCGCAGAAGATGTCGACGAATTCTTCGAGGGCGGGGCGCGTTTGTTGCGTGTTGTCGGTGCTGCGGCGCTCGTTGACGCAGGTTATGTCGATTCCGACTTGGGGGGTGGATGGGGTGGGCGTTGTGGAGGGGTTGGGTGTGGTGGATGCCGTGGATTTTGTTGTTGGGTCTGGGGAAGAGGCTGGGGTTGTTGTGCCTGCGAGTGCGATGAGGGATGCTTGGTGGCTGACGTTGAATTCGATGGTTGGGAGTCCCTTGGGGTTGTCGGTCGTTAGAGCGAGGGAAGGAATGAAGCAAGGTCGGTGGTGTGGAGGAGGCGTCCTGCTGATGGTGATTTTGTCCCATGGGATGCGACAGGTGCGGTGGATGAAGAGGTATTTGAGGAGGTAGGAGGCGAGGGACATGTGTTTGTCCTTGAGGTGGTAGTATTTCTTGACGGTTTCTTGATCGCTGGGTTGCAGCGTGTCGAGCAGAGGTAGGGTAGTCGTACTCGCCGTCAATGGTCGGGTGTCGATGTACCATCGTAGCAGCGATTGTGAGTCGCTTTCAGATCCCATTGTTGCTGGATGTACGGTGATGATAGGTGAAGGGCGTGTCTATAGAGGAGTGGCTGTTGTTTGTTGGAAGGTTCACTGCTGAAAAAGGGATCACTGCTGTCATAAAGTCATGCTTATCATGCGCCTTCACTCGCTTATTGTTGAGAATTGTCTATAGCTGCCACGGTGTTGCTGACGGTGTTGATATGACCGATCACTGTAAATGTCAACATTTATTTCCATGTCAGCCTGGTTGCCTCATCAGGCAAGTCTTATCGGTCAGCAACGCGGGGCAGCACGTGCTGATAGTGGCGGACTGCTTATATAATGACTCAAAGAGCATCTATAAGGTTGGCGATCGGCTGTTGTGACTCAGTTGTGAGAACTTGGTTGTATCATGAGGCAATGACCAAAATCACTGTCGGTGTTCTGGCCTTACAAGGCGCATTTTACGAACATGTTCAATTATTGAAAAAGGCTACCGCCGATCTGGCCCCCGAGGCAGGCAGCCCCGCGTCGCAATGGGAGGTTATCGAGGTGCGCACTCCGCAAGAGCTTGAGCGCTGCGATGCGCTGGTTCTTCCTGGGGGCGAAAGCACAACCATGTCGCTTGTCGCTGCCCGGTCAAACATCCTGGAGCCGTTGCGGGACTTTGTCAAGTAGGTTTCCTGTTCTCCGGTGTTGTGGCGTTGTCCTCCTTGTCTAACCGTCTCTTTCCCGTGCAGGGTCCACCGCAAACCGGCTTGGGGTACATGCGCCGGTCTAATTTTGCTCGCTGAATCGGCCAACCGGACGAAGAAAGGAGGCCAGGATTTGATTGGGGGTCTTGATGTGCGGGTTAACAGGAACCATTTCGGTCGACAGGCCGAGAGCTTCCAGGCGCCCTTGGATCTGCCGTTCCTCGGCTCTGTCGGACAGACAGACCCGTTCCCCGCCGTCTTCATCAGAGCTCCCGTTGTGGAGAAGATTCTGCCACACCAGAAAGGTGTCCAGGTTGATGAGTTGCAGAAGGACGACACCGTGGTCGCGCCAGCGAAGAACCCCCAGGGCCACGCTGCGCAGGCTGCAATGGCAGACGATGTGGAAGTGCTGGCGACGCTACCTGGAAGGGCTGCCAAATTGGCGAGTGAAGGAAGAAACATCGATGCAGACCGTGAGACCGGTGATATTATTGCTGTCCAGCAGGGGAATGTCTTTGGGACGAGCTTCCACCCCGAGTTGACCAACGATGCTAGAATACATGCTTGGTGGCTGCGGCAGGTTCAGAGTTCGGTGCATAGGAGGCGCGAGATAGAACAGAACTAAACCTGCTTATTTAGAGATAGACCTAGAAATCCTTTTGTTCGTTTTTTGTCTTCCTATCGTTGAATGGTGGATACCAGATATTAAACATGAAATACCATCTGGTGACGTACATGCTCACCCAATATAATTTGTACAAACGCCATACATGCGCCAATCCAAATCTTTCTTGTTTCCTCCCGCTTGAATCATTTACCGGCACCGTACTCTTCCTCTTCGCGTTCTCGTTGCGCGTCATATGCTCGTCCGTAACCACCACGACCGGGGTCATACTCCTCTCGGTACTCATCGCGAACCTGTCCACCGGATTTACCCCGACTGATACTGGTCAGAACTAGCCGTAAGGAAAGGATGCTATATAAAGGAAGACATACCCGTATTGTCGGCCCTCCTCAAACCCGGGGTCAAGATCTGTTCGGATGATTCTCTCATCCAGTTTGGTTCCCCCAATGTATTTCAAGCAGTCCAAAGCATCTTGATGGGTGTAGTACTCGACGAAACAGAACCCGCAGGGGGTCTTGTTGAACCGATCGAGACCCATCACCAGGCGTTTGATCTCACCGCATCTAAATTCAACCGTCAGTTCGCTTTTCGGTATGGGAGTGGTATGTGTGTTTCTGACTTGGAGAAGAGTTCGTGGATTTGTTCTTCTGTGGTGTAAAAGGAGCTATCCGAAGGTCAGCAGAAGCTCGAGGTGACAAATTCGAAGGCATGGATATCGCACAGGTTGCCGACGTATAGGGTGGTCGCATTTTGCAATGGATCCGGTGCTTCTTCTGTTGGAGGCTCCTCGTCCTGGCTGTACTTGCGTCGTTTGTTCTACACATTGGAGCTCTATTAGTTTCGTCTGCCTCAAATCAAACGCCAGAGGTGAAAGTACCTTGCTGATGTAGTAGGCACTCGGTCGATCTAATCTATCGACGGTGTTCCGTACTGAAATGGCCATTTTCGAGTGTGTCGCCCTCTGAATCTGCAGGGGGGTGTGTGTAGATGGACGAGGGAGGTCAAAAATGGAAGCGTAGACAAAGCAGTTGACGCAGGAGCTGGTGCTGGGAAAGGGAACTTGCGCCGGTCTTGGCACGCCGCCTCCGTTGCTCAAGCAGCAAACTAAAAGGTTTCCCGCCCGAGCATTGAACAATGGTTTCTTCTTCGCATTGTCTTTTTCTACCCACCGCTCTCTTTCTTCCTCGACCTCTTATCCTTCGATCGCAATAATTGGTCGAATACAGCGCATGGGAGTCTGACCCAGGCAAGACAACTCGTACCCGATAATGCCGAAGGTGATCAGCTACACGCCTCCCTGGCTGTCACGCCCTTCTCCCGGCGCTTCCCTCTTCTCGAGCACGGCTTCAAAAGGCCTCGACAAATCTTCGCAAAGCTTACGCCAAAATGACGACTATACTGGCCCGACACGGGTGCTCGCACAGAGGGGGAATGAGGTGTTCACTGTGGTAGACAACCAGATCCGTTGGTCCAGCCTCACGCGGTTGAAAGACGAATGGCAGCAGGAGAAGAGGTCGACCAACGGCTCTGCTGGCCAGAATGGAGCCAATACGCAGGATGGCAGCTATAGGGTATGGACGATTGACTGCGCAACCTGTATTATGGGTAACTCACCTGGCTGACGCTCCTTTTTTTTAGGTTTTGGTTGTCCCGGTGTACGAGCGAATCCGTCAACTCATTCCGTCTCCGAACGGCGCATTTCTGGCCATTGTCGCGGACCATACAGTCTTCATCGCGGTCCTTCCTGACGATTCGCACTTATCGACGACCGACCAGTCTCCCATTCGAATCAAAACCTACCAGCTGGGCCCTACAACGCATGTGATTCCCGAATCCCCCGTGATGTCGGCATTGTGGCATCCACTTGGAGTACACACCAACCTCGCTGGCTGTTTTGTCACCGTGACCGCAGATGCTGCGGTGCGAGTCTGGGAGCTAGATCGCAATAATCATTGGTCCTTTGACCGTCCTACCTTGGCCATCGATCTTAGAAAGCTAGTGGATGGCACGTCGTCGGACCAGGACTTTACACCCTCGGGCTTTGGAAAGAGCAAGGGATTTTCTGCGGACTTCGTCGACATGGAAGTTGCATCTGCATGCTTTGGAGGTACGGGTAGCGGGAAAGAGGATGCTTGGGCACCCATGACTTTATGGGTGGCCATGCGACCTGGCGATCTTTACGTCCTATCACCTTTGCTGCCTTCGAAGTGGCGCGCCCCCGCCACTACCGTCCCTTCGCTTTCTGCGGCTATTATCCCAAAATTGGCAGCTTTGCAGGAGGATCCCGTTGATATGGAAGACCAGTTGACCGCATGTCGCCAACAATACGATTGGTTAGCTGAGATCGATAACCAGGAGCCCTTGTTGGTCGATCTTGACGCAGACTCTGGGTCGGAAATCTTGACCCGTCCCGCTAATCCAAGCGCCATCCCCAGATTGCAGGGACCTTTCCGGGTTGACACTGGTGATGAGCTCGATGACTTGGATCTTTGTGATATCGTCGTGGTCGCTTCCAAGATCGACACCGATGCTCTCATGATGGGCGAGGAAGATGAGCTTATCCTGGAGGATAATGGGGAAGACAAGCTGTCGGCCACTGTTATTTGCCTCTCTGCCGGTAGCGGCAGGGTCCATGTCTGCCTCGAGCTCGATGGAGTTGAAGGCCAATGGCTACCTAAAGCGAAGAAGAATGCATTTAGGACTCCGGTGTCGGAACCCTCGGATCTCATCTTGGTCGAGTCGCTGGACACTCTGAAGGGCGAGCACACATCATTGAACAATTGGCCAACATTCACCAAGGATGTCTTTTCCCCTTACAGCTTTTTTGTCACTAACTTCGATAATGTCACTTCCATCTCGCTGTCTTCGTGGGTGCAGCGACTTGAAGCCGAGCTCCAGGCCGACGACCCTGCCGGCTCTGGGTTCCGCCTGGAAGTGCTCTGCGAAGGCTCGGTCTCTATCCGTGAGCGGCTGATCCAAATGGACGAGGGAGCCGCTGTGTCGCAAGAGCAGCCACTTAATTTGTCATCTTGTCTAGTCTATTATGATTACGACATTGGCTATTTGCTGTTGACCTACCACGCCAGCCATCCATATGCTGCTATCATGGATTCGCCGGAGATCACATTCCCAGAAATAGCGAACTTGCGGATCGACTCCGATCCCCACGAACTTGGTTCCGCGATGCCTCCGCCGCGAAGACCTCCTTATCAGGTTCCTTCCATATTTTATGCAGATTCGCCGCTAGAATTCTTTGTCGACAAGCACGTCCCGCACCGTCAGCGCCAAAGTCTTAAGGAGCAAGTTCGCCTGTCTCCAGCAACACTGGATCTGGTGGCTGCAGCACATCGGACATTGTCCTCTCACACCAACGCCCTTGAAAGAGCTGCATCCGATCTGTTTCGACGCTGTGAGCGGCTGCAAGGGGAACTGCAAGATCAACTCAAGCAGCTCTCCGACGTAGCCGAGCGGATCAAGTACGTGTCCAGTGAGGTTGGTGAGGACGGTGAGCGCAAAGAAGGATCCAGAAGCGGCGAGGCGTTGGAGAACAGATTGCAAGGTGCAAAGGACAGACAAACTCAACTTGTCCAGCGATATGAAAAATTACGAAACAAGGTCCTTAAGTCGGGCGGGCGCCCACTTAGTGAGAGAGAGAAATCTTGGGCATCTGAGGTGGACATGCTCTCCGGTTCATTCGAGAATCCCAAGCAGGACAGCCAGGAGAATATTCAGCAATTATCCCAGCGTCTGGATGCGGTACGTTTCTTTTTCTGATGAAATATGCAACAACACTAAACTCTATTTTTTTAGGCCAAGGAAATTGCAGCAGAACTCCTGTCTGAGGCAAAATCTGTTGCGGTGAAGTCCCCTGTGCCCGCTGAACCCGGCAGCCCAGCGTCTCCATCGAGCGCACAGCCAAGAGTACCTCACAGACTCCAACGCGCGAGAATCGCGGATGCGATGAAGATGGTTGAACGAGAGTAAGTGAAGCATGGCGCTGAGTTCTCGCAGGACAGTAACTAACTATTAACCACAGATCTGCCGTCATCGACGCAATTACGTCACGTTTGGACCGACTCACCACAAGTTTATAAGCATGAGTTTGCTCTATTTGCAATGCAGGAGCCATGTCATTGAATTCCAAGTATCCAAGTAGGTGTGAAAAGTGGATTACTACTTCGATATCGGACTGGAGAAATACTTGATCATGGGGTTGTCTTCAACGCGCATTTAGTTCAGAGATGTATCGATACCAATCTTACTTTTTTTCCATTGAAGATACAAATCTGTCAAAGTAGTTTACATTAGTTCAAAAAACAACATCTTATTTTATGCAGTTCACCTTCTACTTCATACATCAGTACATCCACACGTCATCCGCAGGATATGTTCTCCCCCTCCTCGGAAATTCCTCTCCCCTCCGCCACCTGACTGGACGCGGCCCCTTAATTAAATCACAACACTCACGCAAGAGGTAAAACCACTTTCCATCTACGTCCTTGAGTTTTGGTGGTGCTTGCGCCGTGTCCGTGTCCTGTCCATCGTGCTCCACGATTTTTTCGCCCAACCCTGCCTCAACCTGCCCGACATTCTCGGTGTTCGGCTGACCCACCTCCACCTCTACCTCCCCAACCTGTTCTCCGTCTAAACCCCGCACAATATTTGCCCTTTTAACTATCAAGTCTTGTCTACCTTGGCATTCCTCGCATATATCCAGGTACTCTCTCCGCTCAGCGGTTGCATGTTCGTCGCAGTTGGGCGCCTTGTCGCAGGGTTCTTTGAGGCCTTCTTCCACGCAGCCGCACGGGTATGTGCCGATCCAGTAAAGGAACATTATAGCTGCGGGTTTGCGGGAAGTTATGATCGTGGTTTTGGCTTTTATCGTAGATTCGAGGTGGAGTGTAAGACTAGGGGATAGAAGGGTTGGTGGGAGATGTTTTGAATATAGGTCATGGTCTCTCTCTTACCTTTTGATCTAGGCTACTTTCTACGGGATTATATAGTGCTTGAATTAAAGCTCAATCGATGTTAATCGAATTATCTTGGATATGTAGTGTGCTTTGTTTATTGTACAATGATGCTTGTCTGTGGTGGATTCACGGTTGGTACAAGGAGCAGCCCGGCAATGTTGTCTTTGTGTCTTGCTTTTATATCAATAAATTGCCTTGTCAAGCACTAAATAAGATGAACTACAATGAACGCATCTGTAAACTTTCCACACGTCAAAGCTTCATTCCAACTTATGGCCATCCAGGCATTGTCAAGAACATGTAGCGAAGCTGACCAGGTCGTGTGCATTGGCTTTCAGTATGTCTTTGTAGAGAGTTGTGGACTTTTTTGCGGTAAACCAGGAGATACACAATGTAAGGGGCACGATTCTTTGTACTTGTGGCAATATCAGTATCAGATATGTGAATTCAACGGTGACAGCTACTAGGGCTATCGGATCACGTGGTCATAGCGGGAATGTGCTAGCATATTTCGACCGAAGGATGCATGACCATCTTGTATTTGCCAGGGTCAAATGGCTGGTGGGTTTTGTTGGTTGATTATGGAGAGGTGCGTGATGTGCTTGTTTTACTTGTAGGTGTTGCAGCACTTTGCTTTGTGGTCGCCTAGACGCGCATCCCATGTGCTGAATATATTATAGAACCTAGAAGTATATACAGTTACCGTGTACTTAAACTTCTTAGGCTACATTAGAAATGTTTCTATCATGGGGTTCATCAATCAATGTCATTATGTACTTCATAGTAATACCCAGTATGTGCAATCTAGGGAAGATGGCAGACGAAACGGTATTCGCAGAATCAAACACCATTTCCCAAGCTACTTGCTCCCTCCATATCAAACCCCCAAGCCCAACCAGACGCGCCATTCAAAGAACCAACCCCCCGTGAAATCTGGTCATAAATCATAAACTCTTCAAGCATCCCTCGTCTAAATAAACGACCCATAACGCACTCGATCCTGCTCCAACGGACGCCACGCGGCAGCCCAGAACTCCTCCAGCAAAGCCCAAGGATACTCAACACGCCTCCTAATCGCCCTGCAAACCTCACCCACGATAACCTCCCACTTCGGCAGAACCAATCGATGAACATCATCCTCCCACTTCGACATCTCCCCCAAAAACGCCTTATGCCACCACCGCTTCCACTCCTGCTGATCCATCTCGCTGAGCCCAGACCTCGCCACAGCACGGTCAACGGCCCTCACAGATTCCCTCCACAGGCAGTACGGCCCCCTGATAAAGTCCGCAAACGTGCGGTTGTACTTGCGGACGAACTCCTCGTAGACACGCCGGTTGGGGTACAGGGTGAGGATCTCGGCGGGGATTTTCGCGGACGGGGCGAGCGTCGGGTTGCGTGGTTTGTGATCTTCTTTCCAGAACATGATGCGGTCCATGGAGGTGCCGTGGTCTCGGTATTTCTTGCGGTCGGTTGTGGAGCACATCACGGTGTAGCGGTGCGCGTAGCATTGTTCGATGCGTTTCAGCACGCGGAAGGCGCGCGAGGCGACGTGGCGGCAGTGGTTGAATGCTGCGGCTGGCTCGCCGGTTATGACGGTGCGGAGGTGAATGGGGATGGCGAGCTTGGTGCTATCGAAGATGTAGGTCTTGGTTATTGCCATGGTTGGGGTTGGCTTTGAGGTTGGGGGGATGTGTGTGTGTGTAGATAGATATGTGATATAGAGATGGAATGGGGATTGTAAACATGCTCAGAATGTATTCAAAAGACAGTGTCTGTCTGCCACGCTTTTCAAAAGAGCGTCTTGGTAGATAAACGCGAGAAACTGCCTCAACCGAATGGATAAGTAGGAAATGTGAAGCTCATAATTAACAAAAAGAGAAGGGCTTGAGTGAATAGTTCAAAAGGGTATTTACCCTTATAACATTTCACTGTAAGAATTATATGTACCATGATTTGATTTAACTGACTGGTTTGTTATCACTGGCTCATGTGCTGGTTTGACCTTGCTGTGACTGGACTGCTGAACATAGCAACTGGCGCAACTTATTGCGTAGGTGTGGATTTAGGGTCGCCAGCCTGCCAGTCAGTCATTGTCGTTGCTCTATATCTTCATATGAACAAAACAGAACCATGGATCTAGGGAGCAGGTCAAGGGAAATGCTATTTGGAAGAGATAATTTTATTCTTATGTCTCCGACTTCAAATACACCAACTACATGTATTGTATTGTGTTTATTGGACACTGCACACAAACCATATCATTAGTAGATGCTAACATCAAAAGTCAAAAATTTCAACCTTACCGCTCAATCAAATGAACCCCCGACGCAGTATCAACAATCCCGCTCACCTGACCCGGCTGCAGAGCAAACGCCGCATCCTCGAATTCCTTTTGCATTTCACCACGTCCGAAGAAACCACTACATAAATCGTTAATGACCCGCGTGGGAAGGAAAATCTTGCCAGAAGACATGAAGGAGGACATACAGATCACCGTGCTTCCGAGCACTGCTACAATCCGACTCTGACATGGCAATGTCTCCCAGAGTAGCCTCGCCCGACTGGATGCGCTCCTCGTGGCCCTGAAGGATCTCGATGGCCTCCTCCTTGGACCGAGTGATGTTGGCCTCCCTCCAGCTGCTGGGTCGTCGGCTATCCTTATGCTTAACCAGCAAGTGACTGCACCGGATTTTCCCATCGCCCTGGTTCGATCCGTCGGGACGGCCTGCGGGGCCACTGTGGTATTTCGCCATGTAGACCTTGAGGGTCTCGGTGTCGGTTCCGGACGGAGGCTCCCAGCGGGACTCTTTCGTCGAAGGATTGAAGTAATAAGGGAGGTTCTTGGAGTTGGAGTGTCGGACCTCCCAGCCCGATGGAAGACCGGTTTCAGCCTAGATGTGGAAATAACGTGGAGCAAAGTCAGAATTCTGGGGGAGGGGTATGTTTGAAGGCTTTGTGGGCACTAACCATGATGACGGATTGTATGAAAGAAGATGCTAAGATTAGATGCGTGTAAAGCAAAATCTCCGCAGTATAAAGATATTATGGTCAAATGTCAGATACAATTGTTCGTGGCAGGATATATAACAGCTCGATTTCCCTGCATGCAAGTTGGGATCACGTACCTCATTTGGTCAACTGCGGGGAATTGAAGATCCTATGGCAAACACTGCAAACATGATCAACACGACAAACAAGCTAAGCTGTTCATACCAGGCCGTATTCATCTGTATTTATACCTTCCTTGTAAAAGAGAACTGGAGATTTTCTATCTCGTGGGTTTAGACTAGTGCTTCAATCATCTACTCCGTACACTGACACCCATCGCATTCTGCCCCTCAACTAACAATCATCACCTACCCGAATGCTGAAACTTCAACCCCATGGTCCTCATATCCCACATACAAGTCCAAAATCGAATGTAGAAGAAACGCCAGTTACCCTATGTTGCAGACTGTTCTAGCATCTCACACTCCAACAACACATCCGTGGGCCCAACATAGTCTCGTTGGCGCCAGAACCAAAACGCCGCAATGAAGGCGGTCAATCCTCCCGTGATCAGGCACGTATAGTTCATCGAATTGGCGTCAACGGGAACGGAAGACGGGAAGCAGAAGATGACAATGAAGGTCACGGTATATGCGCAAGCGATTCCATTGACAATGTACCCCAGCGCGCCACGCATCCAGAACCAGCCGCGGGGCGTGTTTGACCTACCGCTGAGCAGATGCGGCAGCACGGCGGCAAGGTACGAGAGAGTGGTCAGAACCACGTAACTGCCGACGAAGGCACCGAAGGCAGTATCGTTGCCGACGTAAATGCAGCCGAGGAGAGTGCAGACTACACCGCACGCCAGTGTCGATATCATCGGATTTCGGTGGTGGGTGTGGACACGACAAATGACTTGGCTAAAAGGCGTGGCGTTGTCACGAGCCAGAGTCCAGAGTGTGCGGCCACAAATTAGATAGCAGCCGATGACAACGCCAAATGTAGGTATTATGGAGACAATGAGGAGACTGAGAGCGCCGCCGCGGGTGCCGGTTGTCTGACGGTATATCTCAGCCAAGGGAGACGGGAGGGGTGAGGCTAAAACCTCATCTAGGTCGTTGATGCCATAAAGAATAACGACGGCATGACAAAGCGCAGTGGTGAAGCCTATGATGTATTGGATCAGGGTGCCTAGTGGGACGTTACGGCTGGGATAGAACACCTCTTCAGCAATGTGCGAAGTGACATCCGGGGCACCGACGGCGAAAGCACCATTCAGCATTCCAAGGCAGAAGACGAATCCATCGCTGCTGTAGCCAACATGGTTCTGCCACTTACTCCACACGAAATCGTTATCCGCATACGGCTGGCCATTGACATATGGCATCACTGCGCACACGACGACCGTTACCAGGAACCCGCCGACTACCACACATCCGGACAAAGTTTCGATCTTCGGCAGCACGCGGTGGCCCAAAGCCACTGTCAGACAGCAGAACCATGAGCATATGGTGTACGTGACGAATATGTGCCATCTCTCGATGTGGAAACCCGGGTGGAATAATGCATATGCCGACATGGTCTGCGTGCTGATGATCTGTGTCATTGATGCTGCTCCAAAGATCCATGCGAGGAAGTTCCACCATCCGGCAAACCAACCGCACTGTCGCCCATATCGTCCTGCTGTCATTGACGCCCAGTGGTACACTGATTATCTACTTGTCTCAGTATCCACATGCAACCAGTCCTTGATTTGTATAGGATATGAGATGAGACCAACCTCCACCAGACGAGGGCATGGACGAAGCTAGTTCGGCGAGTGAGGCAGCGATAAACCAGTAGAAAAAGGAACTCGCTATCCTGTATCATCACAACGAGGTACTTATCAACATCTGGAGTTGTCTACCTTGGGAACATCACATACAGCTCATAGATTACGCCAGGAGGTCCTCCATTATATATGGCTGTTATCTGGAAAAGAAACCAGATTCAGCCATCGCCGTTGCAAATGGAACTGTTCACATGGATGGCATACAAAGCAGTATACACACTATATCGGTAAATCAACTTACAAGACTGCCTCCAAATGGTACCCAGGTACTTCCGCTGGCCAGCGCCAATCCACAAACGTGGAGCAAGCCAAATCTGCGGTGGAGCTGCTGTCGATATTCCGTGACATCGGCCAGGCCCTCTGGCAACTGGCTGGAGGGTGAATTGAGTGCTGCCGGAGAGTTGGGCCTTGACTTGGACTCGTGCGCTTCCTGCATACTGTCCATGTAAAAGTTTTTGGACTATTGATGAGAGGAGAAAGCAGAAATGGTCTTAGTTTTGACTTGCTGCAGTCTCTACTCTGTCATTAACAAGGAGACACCGCGCTTTATCTTATGCAGAGAGACAGGTCTTTCCAGCGAATCTAGAGCTGCACATTGCCCTCGCAGCAGCCGAGTCTCCGCTGGTAGAAGGATAATGCTTCCATGTCGTACAACGTTGCGCAAGGGCGCACACTGATCCATCAGGATGTACATGCTGTCCGATAGAATAGTGCTCCACAGACGAATGCTTGTCCTCTTTAGCCTTCGAAGTCTCTGTCTTCCACACGAGTGCTGCCTTCTTCCACCCTGGCGCGAACGCCTATTTCTGGTACCGCGGCACTGGTGCATACACCTTTCTGTCCAGTGAGCAAGGGGACTCTGGTCTTTTGCCACAGACATCAAAGTATCAATAGCAGTTGAACCTTGACCGAGATAGGGGCAAATGGTACTGCAAGGAGCACCGGTAGATTTCGGGCCCGCAATCTACCGCTCAGTCCTTGCATTTGAATTGGACCCTTGTGATACGGCTGATATTTGCAGCAATGTTGCTATCTCTAATCAATGATCCACGTCTGCACATATTGGGAAGACCTAGTTCGAAGTACAGAAAGCCATCTGCTCTTGTTCTTGGATATAGGGGTTTATCTTCTTTGTAATGCAGAAGAAACTCCGAGAAGACACGCATAATGGCAAGCTCAATCCATGCATGGTATATATATATATATACGATATGAATTAATCATTAGTAGACGGTCTTTAGATATGTCGTTCCATGACCACAGCACTATGTTCCCGATTGAGTATAGCGCGGTTGATCCGATCTGGACTAGCGTCTTGGCTGCCTGGAGTTCGGCCTGGCGGGCGTTTCTTTCCAACTTCCATCATCAAAGATAAGTCTTAATTGTTCAACTCATTCTTTCATTCTATTGTTGGCAGCTCCCTGTTCGCTCATAACCCGGACATTGTTCAATATCACAGCGATCATCTGCCTTCACCATCTCATCTCAATCAATACTACCAGCGCCAACGATCCATATCACCATCGAAATGTCTGCAAGCCCAACTCCGTCCGCCGGTGGCGACGTTAAGCAGAACGAACAGGTTCACTTTCGCTTCTGTCGCGAATGGTAAGCACTCGCCTCATACTATCCCCTGTCCATGTCTCGATACCCCTGCTGACACATTGCATAGCTCGAACTTGCTGTACCCGAAGGAAGATCGCGTCAATAACCGCCTAATGTTCACCTGTCGCACGTGCCACGTCGGCGAGCCTGCCTCCTCCTATTGCGTCTACCAGAACAAACTCAGCACACAGGTTGGAGATACTGCCGGTGTGACTCAGGATGTCGCATCTGATCCTACGGTTTGTCTCCCAGGCTTTTGCACCCACTGCGGGGATGAAATCACCTGCTTCTCCTGTGGCTCGCCCTCGGAAGATTCCCTGTCCGAGGATGACTATGAAAGCTGTTCTGCATATTCAGGAGGGGGGGACTACGCCATGGAATGGGCATCAAAAGGCCTTTGAGATCTCCGTGGCTAACTTTGCTCTCTTTCTTTCTGCGTTTCTTAGCTCCCGCGATCCAACAAGACCTGCCCTAGCTGCGGCGAATCCGAGGCTGTATTCTTCCAGTCGCAACAGCGGTCGGCCGAGACGGGAATGGTGAGACTCTCCGCCGATGCTTCTTCGCTCCTTGTTGCATGAGGACTATGGAACTGACGCTTGTGCAGAAACTTTACTATGTGTGCTGTGCGTGCGGCAATGTTTATGTGTGATTTCTGCGCTGTCTGCCATGTCTACCGTCTTTCCGATACCCTTTATCTGTTTTATTTTTCCATTCCGAGCATATCCGTGGAGTTTTCTGGTGCTTTTGTTCGTGTTTACATTGGAGGAGCGGTTCGTGGAAAACAGAAATTTCTATTGATACAGGCTATATGAGGAAATAAAACGATTCGCTTGCAAAGGTATATTTTATACATGCAACGGTGCCAAGGACAAAATCTTGGACCACTGCTTGCCCCGTAGTTCTGTAGCCACGACCCCTGTAAACCTCATGTCAGTATTCTTGCACCTACCTGTCAATCTGGAGGGCGGAAAAGCCGCGACGACTGACCGTTCATTCTTGTGCCGATCGGATCACCAGACTTGTTGATCAACACACAGGCATTGTCATCGAACTTCACGGACGATCCATCTGGACGCTGCATCTCCTTTCGGACTCGGACAATCACCGCATGTCGAATATCTCCGCGACGGACTTTGTTGCTGATACTGCCGCCGGCGCCTTCGGAGGCGAAACTTCGTTGCTTCTGAACCACCACCACGATCCGGTCACCTGCAATAATAACCAGACCATATTAGAAAAGATCGCGTCCGACAAAAGAATACAATAATAAAAGCGCACTGAGTGGGCAAGGATGACGTACCGACAGTGGCAGCCCGCTTCTTCTTCAGAACATTCACACATTCGACAACTGCGGCGCCCGAGTTGTCGATGCAATTAAGCATCGACTAAAGAAAATGTCAACAAAGTCCACTTGGGGAAAATCGCATGATCCAATAGAACACTCACTTTTAATTGAATCATCTTGTGAGCAGGCCCTGGTGGATAAAGACAGCGAGAGGGAGCAGACAAAGCGGAGCGGAGCGTGTGATTTGATGTCCGAAAGATTTCCAGCGAGGGACCCGGGCCGGAAGGTTTCGCCGACGACCGACCCCGGACTGGGCGCGCCAGTCATCACTACGGCGGTCACTGCGATTTTGTTACTGCGACAATTAGTTACGGAGGACGATGCTTGGATATCACCCGCGCTAAATTGGGGGCTGCTCTCTCTTTCTCAACCACTTTCTCTACCTGTCGTGTCTTCCTTTTCCTTTTTCTTTCTACCCTTCCTCAAGATGTCTGTTTTCTGCCTGTAAAAGAACAATTTGGGCTCTCATTCATTCGTTCTCTTCTGTTCGTGGAGACCTCCTGTTAATTTCCCATTACCCGCTTTTTTGCTTCATTCCCCTTAGACGCTGGGTTTGGGCGCCGTTCGACAACCCTTTATCCGCCCCAATTGGAGTCAATACCTTTGAATGGAAATCGTCTGATCTCGCAATACATCATGTCGCCGAAGGCGCGGTCGAGTCCCGCGGATGACCGGCGCGACCGTCTCACCCTGGCGAAACTGGCCAGCTATGACGACGTCGCAACGGATGCGCTGGTTGATCGAGTAGGCTCAACTGTACCAATTTTCCTCGATGTGCTTCTCTCTGACTCTGGTTACTGCAGGCCTATTTTTGGACCAATATACGGAAGAACCGGACCAAATACATCGCTCTTCGTGGAGTCAGTGAGGATAGTGTTGCTCACACCCTGCTTCACGATATCATCGTGGAAAAGGACGTCGCCAAGGCTGAGCGTACCCTGCTGCGGATGTCGGGGTTGAAGAGATACCTGGCCAAATTGCCCAACGACCGCGAGAAGGAGTGGTTCCGCCGCCATCTACGCAAATACATCCAAATGTACCTACCGGACTCGCCCTTTGAGGTCACCACTACCAATCGCTACACGATCATCGAACACGAAGCCGCCATCTGCGCCCGCAGGTTCATCAAACAGGGCCAGGAGATCAAGTACCTCAGCGGAACGCTCGTGCCTATGACCCGCGAAGAAGAACAAGAACTGGATCTCAAGCGAAAGGACTTCAGCATCGTCATGTCGAGTCGCCGGAAGACGCCGTCTTTCTTTCTCGGTCCCGCCCGCTTCGCCAACCACGACTGTAATGCCAACGGTCGACTGGTGACCCGGGGCTCGGAGGGCATGCAAGTTGTCGCCACTCGCGATATCTACATCGGTGAAGAAATCACAGTTTCTTATGGTGAAGACTACTTTGGTATTGATAACTGTGAATGCCTTTGCCTGTCATGCGAACGCGCTGTGCGCAACGGGTGGGCGCCAGTGGTGGACTCGGACCAACCAAGTCAAGCATCGACCCCCGCCGCAGCCGAAGGTTCCCTCACTCCCAGAAAACGGAAGCGGGCACCCGACTCTGATGTCGACACCTCTCCATCCACTCCACGCAAGCGAGGCGCATTCGTCCGCCAGACCTCAAAATTAAGATCAGAGGTCTCACAAGCCGAAGTCGATTTTGTCGAACTCGCCCAAGAGAACTCCCTCAGCTTGGCTGATCATACAAGGCTGACACCACCCGCGCCCAGCGAGGCTGCCGAGGCTGCGGGTGATCCTGCGGGACCAGAGACCAAAGAGGGCGAGAACCCTCGACCCCACCACGGGACCGACTGTGAATCGCCCCCATCTGTCACGGCCGACGACTCTCAGCGTTCGTCGGCCTCCACTGCCCCTACTTCCGTGTGCGATGGTGGGGTGACTGCGAAGGTAGAGGAGACTATCGAAACTACCGTCCACGAAAACCCTTCGATCCCCCCCAATGAGGTGGCGCAAACTGTGTCAGCCTTGTCCGGATCCACTCACAACGACCACGATGTCTTGTCCGACCTCTCCGAACCTCTTGAACTGGATGAAAAGCTCGGCACTATGACCGAACGAGTCGGAACTCCCCGGAGAAAGTCCTGTGGGAAAAACGGAGTTGTTCCCTCGGTGGAGGCGGAATCCCACGGCACGCGGGTCCCCGGAGACTACACCAAGACCTCCCGCTTACTCGCGCAAACGTACGATCGATGGGTCGACTGCCATACGTGCAATGTCTGGTTCGTCCAGCACAACTCGTACCTGACGCGGAGGGAGTGTCCCCGGTGCGAGCGCCACTCCATGCTCTACGGCTTCCGGTGGCCCAAAACCGACCCCGAGGGCAACAACGACGACGAGGAGCGCGTGATGGACCATCGCACGGTGCATCGGTTTCTGTATCCCGAGGAAGAATCTCGCGTCTCGCGCAAGGACCGCGGCGTCAGCTTCGGCGTCACTCCCACCCCGGAGCTCTCTGACGCGCGCGCCGAAACTGACGACGGTGAGGCGCCTGCCGACCGGCGAAACACGAGAGCGAGCCGCACGCGGACCCGAGCCCTGCGGATGACCATGTAATTATGACAACGGGTAGTTGAACCCACGGTTCCTACGTAATGCTGAATGTTGGGTACGGTGTTCTTATTCCCCTGGGTGCGACTGGCGTTCTGGTTCGTTATCTTCTCTGGAAATCACTTGTATGATCTACAATCGATGGGTTTATAATGTCTAGTCTTTCTGGCGTTATTATGCACACGGACTCCCTGGTTGATTTCCCACTCTTGTCCTTCAATTTTCTTTTTTTTTTTTTTCTTTTTCAATTTTTACTTCTCATCCCCTTTGCGTACTCTGTACACTGACTCCAGCATCGGGTGGCCTATTGGCGGCGAATTTCCTTTGTATTTTTAGCAGGAGTAGGTGTTGTTGGCATGGAGAATCATCAAGGGTGTTGAATTGATTACCTGGGCTACTGAGCGGTGAATGTTTCACATCTGAGGGGTAGACCAAGATCCCCATGTCATGATAAGTTAGCAGGTGGAGATTCCTAATAATATCACGTTCTGACCTCGATGGAGCTAGACGGATGTGACGGGTCCGGGTGGGATATATATATATTGATTGCCTAGGGACCTTAGCGCGGAGGTGCAATCAGCCCCTGCAGCAAGGTGTGCATAATCTCGGAGAGTAAGTGAGGATATTGCATGTAAACCGATCGCACCTGCGGATCCTAGCGAAGGTAATTATATCGGCGGGAGTGGTGCATTCTATACACAGGCCATGTTGATTGAATAGAGGAAAGACACTACCACCTATAGCACTGGACATAATATCCGTGCATGACAATCAATCACGACGTCCGGGCTTTTCCCAGGCAGCGATCCCACGCTAATGCGGATCCAGCCTAAGGCGATCGGACGACAGCCCCAGGCCATCCAGCGCATCCACCTCAAGGCCTCAGGCGCTAATGCCGGGCTGAAACCATGGGTTGCTATGGAGACTCCCGACTGGCCCTGGTTGATGTCAACATTTACTTCCCAGCTTCATCAACCAGTTCCACTGTCGATGTTTCCTTGATTTCTTCTCCTCCAGAACGAGGAATTTGATCGGAGGTACTTAACAAAGTCATTTTATCAGTGCTCGCTCTACTCCCTTGGCTTGTCTTTCCCCTTCCTCCTTTCCCCTCCTCTTATTTACGCTCCCCCTTGTTCCTTGTTGGCGAACCCGTTCTTGGACGGTGCTTTTTTATTATTCTATTTGATTTTATTTCTCCTCTTTCTTTGCAACACGTTCCTCTTCCTTCTCTTTGAATTGGAAGTTCACGAGTCTTCTTTGTTATTGTGGTTGTTGCAAGCGCCTCCGTCTCTCTGTTTATCTACAATATATGATACCTTCCCTCCGTTCCCGATCGCCCTAGTATCTTCTTCCCCTCCTCTTCATGCAGGCCACGATCCGACGTGTCTCTTAACGAATTGACAATCGCTGTTCTGGATGTTCTTTTTGATTTGTTGAATTTTTAACCTTTTGTGACGCATCTCAACGATCCTGTGAATGATTTTCATGATTATCTGGAGCCATCAGTGACGTCTTCTAACCACCCTGATATCGCTGTCGCCAGGACTCTCTTTTTGAATTAGAGAAAAGACGACAAAGAAAATCAAAGTGAGACAAGAAAGAAAAAAAGCTAAAAAAAAAAAAATTCGCTCGCAACAGTCATTGTTGTTGTTTATCAGAATCAGGTATGGTCGCGTTCCTCATGCAAGGGACATCCTTGACTGTTGTGCGATTGTTGTGATGGAAGAAGAGTCGCTGATTGATCTACTCTTCCAGCCTTGTTTCCTTTTTTCTTCCCTTCTCTTGTTTCCTCGTGTCTTCCAGCTCAGCTAAATTCGTTCTGATCGGACAAAGTCCTACCACCAACATGGGTAGCGGCCTTGGACAACGGCCACTCTCCGAAGTGAGCCCCATGGCGCAGAGACGCAATTCGCCGATTTGGAACCAAAGTAATAAAGTGAGTGTGATCCGGATCCCGCTGCCCCATGGAGAGGATCGATCGAACGGAAGACTGACCCACTACGGACAGGCGATCAAGCACGAGCCATCCCCCCACGATGCTCCGGCGTCGCCTCGACTATTTTGGAAAGGTCGTGAATCTGGGTCACCGTTCCAGAAGAGTTCAGAAAACCAGGCTCCTTATGACCCGGATTCCACCTTTTCGCCTTCTAGACGCGCATCGCTCGAAAACCTGAAGCGCCAGTCGCGGGTGCGCAACAGCAACATGCTGCGTGACTACAAGCAAGAGTACGATCCGGCCACTGTGTACGTTCCACAACGGCCCTTAGCTCCAAGACGGTCTCCAGAGCGACAGTCCCAGACGGGTGCATCGCCGGAAAAGCCCAATACTCAGGATGATACCCTGGTCGGGCCGCGACCGCCTTCCCCCAGCAAAGATCAATCGGCTCCGGCCAAATCTTCTTTATCGCGGGCAAGCCGTTTCGGAGCCAAGGATTGGGGATTTGATCCGGAGAGCGAGATCTGGTCCGATCTCGATCGCCACCCGAAGAGCGTCACCTTTGACGCGGCCCCGCCGCAGGTCAACGAGTATGTGATGACCACCCCGGATCCGTCCTCCGTTGCGTCGGACTCTCGCGATGGCAGCTACGACACCGAGGACGACGAAGGAGATATGAGCTTTGACCGTGACTCGTCCTTTGACCGTGATGATAGCTTTGATGCTTCTTTGGAGGACCTCGAAAAGACCCCGGTCGTTTTGCCTGAAGATTGGCGCTACATGAGCCCCTCCAATGCAAACGAGGCCCTCGTCAAGGAAGAAGAGGACCCTTTCACTGAAGACGAAGAAAACCATAGCCCCGATCCTCGTCCATCGTCTGCTCAAGGGTTGTCGAGGCGTCACTCCCGCGTTGAGTCATTGGACTCCAACGGGGAACGGCGTCCACTACCCCCGCTCCCGAACGGGACCCCCCAGCCGGCCGCTCAGCGACCCACTTCTCCCGGAAGACTAAGTGCCGCCTTCGAGCGAGGCACTGGGGCTCAGCGGGTGCTGCCATCCCCGCCTGCAGCAGCATCTTACACCAAGTCTGATATCACGGGGCGCAACTATGCTTCAATGCCTTTGGAGGAGAGACTGCGTCTGATGATGATTCAGGAGAAGGAGCGCGCAAGCGTTGACTCCGACCGGACCCGCACCGAGGAACCTCATCCGCGCCCAACGGAAGATGAGGAAAGCGGCGATGTCGAAACTCCCAAGGAAAAATCTCAGGAAGAGAGTTTGGCGCCCAAGGAACCGCGGGATCATACCGAGGGTTTCTCGGCCCCTCATATTTCTAGAGACTCGATCCTGCGAGACCTGCGTAAGAGTGAAAGCTATCTGGACGACCCTTACGAGAATTCCTCCCAGCCCGGATCTAGCCCTCGTCCGATGGGCTATGACCCCGATTACCCCATTCCATCATTGGAACACGATGACATGTATGATGATGACGACTTCACGGATGATGACACAGGCAGCGTGGTGATCAAGCACGAGGAAAACGACGATGACCTTTACGACGTACCTGAATATGATGGGATCATGCCTCCAAAAGACCTCTCATTCAAGAGCCTGCCGGATAGGAGCGACGATCAGAGCCACTATTCCAGCCACTCCTTAGCGGCGGATGCGGAGAAACATGCCGAGTCTCCACCGGATGAGGGGCAGACCACACCGATTCCCGCGGACCAAGCTACACAAGAGATCACCCATAATATCCCGGAGAAGACCCAAGACGAGCCCCAGGTTCACAAACAATCACCCCAGCAAATGGAACCTCTCAGAACGTCACTCCAGCGCCCAGCTACTCCCGAGATTGATAGCCCTGTGTCGGCGCCGTCTTCCCCGGACTCGGTCATTCGTCACTCGGTAGAGGACGATATTAGCGACAGTGAGATCTCTGTAGATGATGATGTTCCCCCGCCTATTGCCACGGTAAAAGCCCACGGGGCCGGCCTGAAGACGCGGCCTTCGTTGACCCCGTTGGATCTGCAAACGATGGCCGCCACTAGACGCCAAGTCAGTGGCCAGGGTCCCCCGCCCGTGCCCTCTCTTCACAAGCAATTGTCCAATGAGAAAGAGCCCGAGCAAGCCTCTGAAGATAGCCAACCCGAGGACCCGTCACCCCCCCAGCTCGGTGTTGATGTTGCCCAGCGACAGAGCAGCCTCATGAAGCTGGATATCCCGTTCAGCATTCAAGAGGAAAGTCTTGGCTTTGGCCTGGACAAAGAATTCGATCGTGTCATCGAAACCCAAAAGGTTGCTTTTGAACTGTCCCTTTCCCAGTTATACAGTCGTGTGCCCATTGGACCCCAGGATGCCCTTGCCCATCACAAAGAACAAAATGCTAACAGGCACATACCCACACAGAAGGGCTACTTGACGAGACACAACACAAAGGTTGTCATCGCCAGTAGCAGTAACGACGACGGAGTACCCCAAACCCCGGGCCAAGCACCCGCTGACGCTCGCAACCCCCGATCCGCCGGACCCGCCCAGCGTAAGCCTAGCCAGCAGACCTGGACTACCGTTCCTTGGAACAGTGGTCCTCGTCGCGCTAGCATCAGAACGCCCTCAGGCGCCATCCGTAAAAAGCCCGTATCAGGGCCCGCCCCTCCTCTCCCCGGTCAACAGAGCAACGTCCAGGATGCCCCCGCCACCATTGAGGAGACCGAGCCTGCCCTGAGCGGTGTCCTCGAGGAAGGTGAGGAACGAGGTCGTCTCTTTGTCAAGGTGGTAGGAATGAAATCCTTAGACCTTCCCCTTCCACGAGGTAAGCTCGCCCACTTCCAGTCCGTAAGAATCTTTTTGCTCATCTTTTGAATAGGCGAGCGCTCGTACTTCTCCCTTACGCTAGACAACGGCATTCACTGTGTGACGACTGCCTGGCTCGAGCTGGGGAAGTCAGCACCAATTGGACAAGAGTTTGAGCTCATTGTGCATAATGACCTGGAATTCCAGCTCACCTTGCAGATGAAGGCGGACGAGGACAAATTCCGTACCGAAGAATCTGCGCCGACGGCAACACCAGCCCGGCAAAAGGCTTCCACCTTTAGCCGTGTCTTCGCTTCTCCCCGCAAGCGCAAGGAGATGGAAATGAAGCAGCAGCTGGCTTCACAGCAACAGCAAAAGAGCAAGGATCCTAACGCCGCAGTCTGGGACAAACTGAGAACTCTCATCGCCAGAGACGGTAGTTTCGGCCGTGCTTATGTCTCGCTGAGTGATCATGAAAAACATGCATTCGGTCGTCCCTATACTGTGGACGTGGCTTGCTTCAATGAGTGGGCCGTCGAGGAACAGCCAAGCAGTGTCAAGAGCAAAAAGAGCACTACGAGTGCCGCCTCGCAGCGTCGACCTCCTTACAAGATCGGCAAACTGGAGTTGCAGCTGCTCTTCGTCCCGAAGCCCAAGAATTCCAAGGACGAGGACATGCCTAAGAGCATGAACGCGTGCATTCGGGAGATGCGCGAGGCTGAAACTGCTTCGGCTCGCACCTGGGAGGGATTCCTGTCACAGCAAGGTGGCGATTGCCCGGTAAGTTTAATTCCCTACCCCCTCAATCTGCCCACTATGACCATACTGACTTCTTGCGTAGTACTGGCGCCGCCGCTTTTTCAAGCTCCAAGGCTCCAAATTGATCGCCTACCACGAGACCAGCCGGCAACCGCGGGCGAACATCAACCTATCCAAGGCCGCGAAGCTGATCGATGACCGCAGCGCCCTCACCAAGAGGGAGACCTCCACCAGAGGCGGCGGTCGGCGTCGCTCAGCATTCGCCGAAGAAGAAGAAGGCTACATGTTCGTCGAAGAAGGCTTCCGGATACGCTTCGGCAACGGCGAGGTGATCGACTTCTACGCCGATAGCGCTGCCGACAAAGATGGCTGGATGGGCGTCTTGGCCGACACAGTTGGCAAGGGCTCAACCAGCAGCAGCCAAGCCAAGCCGTGGACAGAGCTTGTCCTAAAGCGCGAGCGTAGCATGAAGTCGTCGCGCCGTGAGACTCTGGACCGCACCAGCGGCAAGAGCATGGGGGCACCTCCCCCTCCTATTCCCAAGAAAGACGCCCCCGCTCCGCCTGCCACCGCGACGGGTCCTCCGCCCTCTGCAATGGCTTCCCACCGTCCCTCGCGACCCCAACATCGGCACACACAGTCTCAACCTGACGCTCGTGGCGCTGACGCCCGGAAGAATAAGGCGCGTTCGTTGATGTTCTAGATCGAACAACGACGAATCCTAGGACCTTTTCAGACGATAATCACAAGCAGTGAAGTCGTCCTTGTCTAACTTTCTTCCTCTAACCTCCCTTCCCTTCTCATGTCACTATGATCCAACCAAAGCAACTGATTTCTCCTCTTTCGTCCCTGTACTTGGCCATTGTTTCCCGTGTTCGCTAGCGATGATGTACTTTTGTCAGAGTCTTTCTCCTATTTTGCGTCCTTTTTTCCCTTTCTTTCTTCTCTGCCTTTCGTTTTCTCCCCTTTCTATTCTATCCTATTCTCATCTATCCTTTCCTTCGCTCGTCGTACATTAATGATAGTTACATAGCGTCTTCCGCTTCTCTTTTTTCTTTCGTGGGTCAATATTAGTTCAATCCAGTTTTTCTTTTTTGATTTCTTTTCTTGTCCTCTGTAACCTAACTACTTTAAAATGAAGTTTCGAAAAAAAGGAAAGGGTCAATCTGCTGGTGATGTAAATCTTCACTATCTGGACTTTTATTCCTCTACACCTCAGAGTATTAGAGTAGAGGGGTGAAGAAGATCAGTTTAACTAACTACATACAGTACCTACCCATTCTATATTTATTTTATCCGGGGACGTGATGACATACATGACTCCATCATACTGTCCAACGAGGATATACATACTACAAGAAGAATATAATGAAGAATAAAAAGCCTCTTAATTTACTATGCACCAGTCCATCAAAAAACACACACATCATGATCATGATTGTCATTGTCATTTATCATCACAATAGTCCAGGTAATCATCTATCTTTCTTTCATTCCTCATTTGTGAAAAGACAAAAATCCATCACCATCACCACCATAATCATCATCATAATTAATAAGACATGATATGGAATCGAAACGCAAGAAAAAAGAGAAAAAAAAAACAAACAGCCTAGGAGCACACTTCCTTTCCCCAACCGGTGGTGATTTCAAAGTAAATCAAATCATTCAGGAAAAAGCCATACCATACCATACTTGCCAATAACATAAAAACACAAGAGAAATACTAGCCAGCCAACGAACCGCAATTTGCACACCTCCTTTCCTATCCATCCATCCCATTCCCCGTTCTAGGCGTGGTTGGGGGGGGGGGGTGCGAGAAACGCCAAGCAATGCAGGTGATGTAAAGAAAGAAAGGAACCAGAAAATGAAAACACGCCCCCTTTGTCCTCATAAATTCGTTTTCCTCATGGGTACTTTTTTGGTCTTTTTTTTTTCCTGTTGTCTGTTTCAAACGATAACGTTCCGTTTCCGTGGAATTCATTGGTTTTGTCTTTTTCCAGTTCAAGGCGAACCCGCTAGTCCTATCTCCGAGTCGCTTGCCATGGCCGAGTTGTCCTCCCATTCTTCTGGAGAAGCTATATCAGACTCTGTGATCCAAGAGGGGAATTTGGTTAGACGGTGAAGCGGAGATGATAAAAAAATGAGACTTACCGGATGCCAGCTCCTCAGGTAAGTCAACAGCCAATTCTTCGACTGCGTCCAAGACAGCTTTTGTGCGAACCCCCGTTAGTTACATGGTCTACCGCACGATCTTGAACTGGGAAGGAAAACGTACCGCGTGCCTGATGAGTGAACTCTCGCTCTTCATCGTTGTCGTCAAAGTAAGTCGACAGACAGTGGGAAACCACGGGTTTGATGGTTTCTACAACCTTAGTCTCGACGTTGCCCCCGGAAGTAGTAAGGTATGTCTTGGTAAGTTTGTCGATACTGGCGTGCACGAGCTCTTTCGCAACTCGTGAATGACGCGCTTTCCAGTCGCTGCTTTCATCATCTTGAGACTCGCCGGAGAACAGGAGGTTCCGTAGGAGTTCCACCGTCGTGGACCTGACGAACCGATCCGGGAATATCAGCAGAGTTGGTGCCCAGTCGGGAACCCGGTCTGTGAGTTGAGACAAAAACCAATTACTGTCGAGACCTAGGCGTTCATTGTGGCAAGCCACGACTCTCTCCAAAAACGCGACATGTTCTCTGCCCCCGCTGTTATTGATGGTGTCGATCCCTTTGCAGACATAATCAATCAAAGACGCGATCCGATCTTCATCGGGGCTCCGTCGGCAGAAAACCAGGGTTGCATCCAAAAAGGGGGTGCAAAGTTCGGCTGGCGCGACTCGAAGCCCGTCTTCTAGAACCTTGCAGATTGGCTCCATAAGACTAGCCTCGGGTTCTGCATCCAACAACAGACCGATAACTTCTCGACACGCCTGCGGGCTGCTGTATTCTTGCAGCATCTTCTTCAAGACCAGTAGTTCCCTGTTCTTCCCGAGCGTTCGGATCAGAGTACCTTCTGTGAGCGTGAGCGTAAACCTTCCATCCGGCGATATTTGTCGCTCGTCATCCGGAGTTGGAAGCACGGTGAGGTCAACGTTCGCCAGCAATCGCGACAGAAGATCCATGAGCTTTCGGTGCGAGAATCGTCGGCCTTTCTCGGCGAGCCTGATATAGGCAGGATAATGGCGTCTCAGGCGCTTCAGATCATCTCTGTCTAGCCACATGATCTCCAAGCATTTTTGGAGGAATCCGTAGTTGAGGACTATCCCAGCCTCATGTGGCCCAAACCCTGCCAGTTGCCACAAGAACTCGAAGTAGTCATCCCAAGCTTTGTTCGCGGTTTGCATACCTGTCCACAGCCCCTCTAGCATCATGGTCACACTTTCCATACCATCAAAGTACTGTGCTAGCCAATGCTCCTTCTCGGGGCTGTTATCTTCCTCTCGATTGTGTAGGGTTCGAAGTTCCGCAAGTGCACAAGTAACGATCCTCACAACGCTGTTTCGCACGGACGGATAAGGACTTCTGAGGAGAAGATTGCGAATGGGGGACGGCCTCTCTACAATCCATTGGACGACCCGACACGCCGTGTCAGGGATTTCGTCGATTGCTTTGATAAGCTCGCCAACGATCATCTCTAGACCCACACAGTCTTTTGTTCTCGCTATCAGCTGTTCGAGGGCGTCCAAGGCAATGAAGACGACAGGCTTGACTAGCTTCGAGTCCACCTCACCAGTCGAATTCTTGCTTTCGTGCAACCGAGAAAGCATAGAGCGGATGAGTAAAGTGTGGAAGGGATCCAAAAGGCAATATGTTCGTATGTGTACCTCATTGTCCATCGCGATATGGTTTGCAAGCGGCACCGGCAATGACACGCGCACTGGATAATTGTCCGAGGCTGGTTTGTAAACCGACTTGGCGGTCTCCATACTTGACACGCGTTGGTAGAACAGCATATAAGCGTTCCAGACCTTGTGATACCGAACCTGGCCCATGGTCGCGGAATGAACGGAGTCGCCGTAGCCACCGAAACACTGGTCTGCAATCTTGGTCTGATCGAACCTGCTCACGTCAGAGTCGTTGAATTCCACCCACGAGCCACTGGCGCTAGCCGTGGGCCTTTCCCGGATATAGGAGTAGTAATGGCCAGATTCGGCCGTCCCGCTATGGACCAAGACGCCAACCAACTCAAAAACATCTTCCTTGGGATTTGAACTTTGGTCGGAGAGATGCTCGACCTTGAACGGACTCATGTCAATGTGCTCAGGAAACTGGAACTCGTCGTTGATTTTGCTCCGCATCATTGTTATCATATCGAAGTCGAAGCGCTTAAGGTGGAAAATGAGATTGTCAGGTACATCCTTCAAGCATGCTCTCTTGACGGCATCGACATGCCGCCCGCAAGAGGTACAGGAGTATTTATTGTCTCCTTGCATGATCTCTCCTTCGACGTAGGCCTGCAGGCTCTCCTCGAGGCTGGCTTTGCCCTTGATATCACACTGGATAGCAGAGAACGGCTCAAATCGCTCCGAGATATGAGTGCACTCCTTTGATTTGATCTGTTGGACCAATTGGCCGCCATAGAATGACCGGAATTTTTTCTTCTGCTCGGAATCCTCGATCTGGGCCTCCCATCGATCGAACAACAAGTTGTAAAACTCATCGACATCCATCTGTACGGTGACGTCAATGGGCTCATTATCGTATGTCCGAATCGTGTCCACCAGCCCCTGAGGGTCCACACTCTTGAGCCATGTTTCCTGCATGTGACCAAAGAGCTTCTTGGTTTCTTCAAGCAACATGTGGGATGACGCTGGGTCCGCAAGGTCAAGCTGCATCATAAAATCACGAAACCCAACGTTCATAAAGAGCTGGGTCAGAAGCGAGTTCAAATAACACGTATTAGATAGATTCCTGAGCCCCGCGTAGCCCTCTGGGGCCCGGAGAAGCTTTTGCCGCTCAAAGGGCCAACCAGGCGAGTATGTAATGTCTACGGAAATCTTGTCAGCTGGGATCAAAACCATGGTTAGGAGATGTTTCGACGGACCTTCAGGGATGATATCTTCTAGACGTGCCACAATCTTGGAGTAATTGCCGTCGAATTTGCAGAGAAGAATGATAATATTGTACAGTTCTTGACGGGTCTGGTTGTGCATGACGGGAACTTGAGGCACTATGCGATCTGATGAGGGTTCAGAAAAGTCGGGGAAAAGATATTTGTCGAAAAGACTCTCGGTGAGATCGAACGTATCAACTGGAATTTCGGTGGCGCTTGCTATGTCCAGGCAAGACTTCAGAAGACGACAGAATCCCAGAACCAGATGATCGATAGGCTCACGCCCCACAAACTCTTCTGTTTGATGCTGCAGCATGACACGGCTCCACTGCTTGAGGTAATCACTGTAGATAAGGTCCCGCGGTGACCTTTCCGCGACAGACTGGAAGACCATGTACGCGACCTCGAAGAATTCTTGCGATTGCTGAGCATAGTCCAGGCTATGTGGGAAGGTTTTGACAAACGCGTCCCAAATAGTACCAAGGATATCTACTCTGACTGGGATTTCGGGAGATGCTGCTTCTTTGGCAATCTCGTCCTGGGGCGGGGTCACCTTTCTCGATTTTTTGGGCAGGATAAGAGGACGACAGGCCATGGCCACGTTATCGGCGATACCTTTCCGGATCGACTGACGACGTTCACCCAAGAGAAAGGAGCGTAGCAAGGAGTCGAACTGTACCTCCCGTTTGACTACAGTCCAAAACGCAGGGTCCCGAACAGAACCCTCGGTGATAACGGCAAACGAGTGACAGATTAACTTGTAGATGCCAATTTCTGGCAGTTGCGCAGGCAAGATACACTGCCCTATTTGCATCAAGTGCACAAGCTGCTGGATCAGCCGCGAAGGGTGGGCAATGGAAGACGACTCGTCGGCCAAACCGGGGCGCACTATGGCAAGCGGAGAGTCAATCACAGGCTCCTTCATCACGACGTAGGAATGCTTACCGAGAAGAGCGCAAAGAAGGCATTCCACAAGGCTGGTGGCGAACATAAGCTTTTCGGAGCTTTTCTCCAAGGACTCAAACATCTCGGGACGTGTCAAAGCCGCCACCAAGACTTGAATACTATGAGAAACAAATTCTAAGTTGGGCGATGACTGATTATAGGGCGATCGTTAGCCATTATGTCGCCCACGGGCGGTCCGCGGCCTACTTACCTCGAGCGCCGCCTCCCTCAGGCATATTGAGAGAGCGTTTACTGAATAAAGGAAATTGTACGGCTTGTCCATGGGGAACATGTCTGCTTCAGTCTTCTCTGCTGATTTGACAAGCTGTAGGACCCTCTCCTGGGGCGGGAAAACCACCAGAAAATCATATATCTGCGGTGGGTCGAGTTAGCAGAGTGACCTCGTGAGCGATCTCTGGAAGCGATACACATACCTCCCGAGCTAGGCGATTCTCAAGACCAAGAAGCTCGTAAAGATCATCAAAGTGCTTCAACACCTCGGAATCCACCGAAGTCATGGATGGGCGTCGCCCACTCACGGCCACCTCTTGAGTGTCTGGCGCCTTGCGGACGATAAGCAGTGCCGAGTCCAGCTTCAAGTCCCGCACCGTGAGCTCAGGACTATCCAAGAGGTTGAACCTTGCCCCACCATGGATAGTGGTAAACTTGGAGAAACCGGTGACTTGAATCAACGCCTCAACCACCTCGGCAGCAGTCGAAAGCTCCCCAATCGGAAATGTGCGCATGTTCGAACTGTTCGGGCCGTCAAACGCCTGGTATCTGATACTGACCATGTCCCCTTTACCCGGCCGTCCAGGCAAACTTGGCGGCGAGGTCTGCGGCGGGCTGTACTGGGGTCGGCTGCGCAAGCCCTGCAAGAACTGCCGAAGGAAAAGCAGAGAGCGACTGAACCTCACCTCTTCCGTCTGGGGCCCGCCTCCAGGGACTGCTTCAAGCTTCGAGCCATTCAAATCGTCAAGGCGATGTCCAGATCTCGTCTTCAATACGGACGCAGCCGATCGGAGCTGGTCCACACAGCGATCTACCAGAGCAATATGGGTTGCGTCAATAGCCGACCGCGGGGCCCGTCTGATCGCCGGATGGTCGAGGTAGACTTGGATGGCGAAATTCGTGGCATCCGTCTCGATGGAATTCGGCGGCGCTGTCAAGATGAAATCCCAGATGCGATCCATTCCCGGAATCGAGACGATCTCACCCTCGGCCGCGATTGGCGGAGGATCGAAACGGACCTCGTAGTCGACGGTATGTTTGGCGAACGCGAGAACCTCCGTGGAATAGTCTTCTGCGGGAGAGAGTTCAGGGAGATATTCGCTCACACAGCGATCGATGAATGGGTTCCTCTTAACGGCATGCTGGACGATTCCACACAGCAGTTCCCAAAGCGTCGGCCGGCCGGGCGGAGGGAACATCTTCGACATGAAGATCCCCCGCCAGAGCACATCGGCCAGGTCCGACGTGATCGTATCGGGAACCTTGTCGATGATGCGAATCAGTAAGTAGATCCTGGAAAGGAGGCCGTTCCTCGCGAACGGGTCGGTCAAATCCGGTTGTTCCGCTTCGATGATGTGGGCTAGCTCCGCGATCACCAAACGGGTCAGATCGAAGTCCGTCGCAAGCTTCCGGATCTCCTGGGAATCGAACTGCGGGATCAGAGCGTCCAGGGCCTGCACGCTGCCCACGGAAAACTGGTTCATCTCGGCAATATCCTGAACGCATTGCTCGTACGTTTCCATCTTATCCATATCGCTGAGCCCCGTGTCCATGAAAAGGCGCAGCTGGGTGCTCGCAAACTTCTGCAGCAGCGCTTTGTGGTCCAAAGCCAGGTCCGTGGTTGCGGCACTCTCCCGGATCAGGCGCACACAGAGACGCAATGGAATGGCCTCCACATGGGTCCTCTCCAATAGGTCATGATCTGCCCTTGCGCTATGCTGCTCACGAACCTGGTTCAGAAGTTGTTCACAGAACTCCAGCATGCGGGGATCAAACCGGGAAAGGGGGAGGTCGAGAAGCTTGGAGCATAGATAGATCAGGGCGGGAGAAGCCGACGGATGCATGTGGATGGTCTTCAGCAGCATTCCCAAGATCTCGGACACCGTCCGCGGGTCGGGGCTGTCAGTCACAGCCTTCCAGATGATGTCGGTATCCATATCGGTGTACGCCGACGTCACGATCAAGAAACCGACGAAGTTCCCGCTTCGACTGATCAGTTGAGGGTGAGAGTCGACCCCGACGATATACTCGACGATCTTGCTCTCTCTCAGCAAGTGGACCACATATTGCACCACAGGATGGTCAACACCCGAAGGATCTTTCTGGATGTAATTTCTCCAGATACTGATGAGATCAGACTGGATCCCCTCGACGCCGTGAACTCGAAGCTCCATGCGGCCTTCCATGACATGTTTCTTCAACAGCGCGAACCTCCAGCCGTGGTGGATGATGGTGGGGATCTGATCAGATGGGAGACCTTCGGGAAGCCTGATGGACAGATCCTGGGCCACCTGTAGGGCCAGGTCCGAGTCACAGGTGCAGAGTTTGTGATAAGCGATTCCGAGCTGGTGAGCTACGACATCGCTGACCTCGCTGGTGACCCACGAAGACTTCTTGGTGACATGAGTCTGAAGCCACTCATCCGCGGCCCGGACCAAGCTGTAAACCAGCTCGGCCGTGCGGCGGGTCTCGGGGGACGCAACCACAGCCTGGTCCGGCTCGGACGTGCGGCCAGGCTCGATCAGGTTGTGCGCAACCACCAAGACCGCCAACAGGGAAGATGACAGCTGCGGGGAACTGGGAATGAGCGCCATGATGCAGGCACCGTACTCGGAGAGCCGCTTGGCGATGCTCAGGGGAGGCGCGGTGACCTGGGCATGCAGGCTCGCGGCCAGGCCCGAGCCCTCCCACGTGTGTGACACCCTATCCATAGCATCATACAAGGGGATTGGCGGGCCCCGGATCATCTCCGCCACCGCGGCCAAATACGGTCTCGACAACAAGTCCCCCACCGACAGGTCTACGCCCTCGAGGATTTGGTTCAAAAGTAGAGTATCCAGGTGAAGGATGTGGAGGGCCAGTCGGGCGAAGCCGCTGAGGAATTCTTGCAAACATGCGACAGGCCCTTGGCCTTCATCCGGTTGAAGGATTTGCCTGTTGCGATCCGGTCAGTGGGGGTTGGCGCCCGACAGAAGTCTTCCAGGACGTAGGATCGAGCTACATACCGTCTGTGCAGCAGGCCTTCCACCAGGGATGGCACCTCCTTCCAAAATTCACGGTCTTCCAACAATATGCCGTAGGTTAGCTGATCGAGGTCCTGGACCACTTCGTCGAGCCAATTCTTGATCGCCGCGAAACAGGTCACATCGTGCGCTGGGCCCTTCTGGATCATGAGACTGATCTGCTGCACGTTGTGGCGCAAATCGAGATTGTCCTGGAGTTTCGGGAAGAGGTCGGTCAGCGATGGCTGTTCCTGTATCTGTACGATCTCGGGATCTCCCAGCGCGTCGCCCAGCGAATTCCAGCTCGACATGTTCGGATCTTGACCCATATCCTCCAAGTCCGCCACCTCGATCTCCGGACTCTGGGCGGGCGATGACGAGACGGAGATGGCGTTGGACAGGTGGGTTCCGGTATCGTCTGCGGGGGGCGGTTCGGGGATCTCGACGGACGGACGGTCGGCGGGCGGGTCTTCTGAGACGGAGGCCATGAGGTCGGGGACGGGCGACTTGACGTTGATCGTCATGCGGCTGGCGGGTCGGGTCGACGCAGGGGTGTCCTGCGGCGACGAAGCCGGACCAGCATCGGGAGTCTGCTCGGGCATTCGAGAAACGGGAGTCTGGTCGGTTGAACAATCCTCATGAGGGGACGAACCACTATCGAGACGAGGACGTTTCCGGGTCAACTGGGGGTCGGAGTCTTCCATGGAATCGCGGGGAGGACGCGTCGAATCGGCAGGTACAGGGTCAGGCGGGGAGGTCGAGCTGTCGTCTATCGGGGCAGCTGCCATGACATTTTTTCCACGACCGATTTTTGACCAAGGAGCACCAAGAAAAGGGGGAGAAAGGGGTGTGCCTGTCAAGAAGAAAGGGCGTATCACCCAATTAGGCAGCCAGGAAAGAATCAAGGATTGATTCAAAGAAAGAGGGAAGGTCCGTGACAGTAGACGCGGCAGGAAGAGATGAGGATAAGATGGAGGGGCGAGAGAAGAGAAAGCGGTGGAGAGAGTGAGGAGGGAACAAGAAGGGGGACAGTTAACCAGTTAAATAACACACCCAGAAAGATTGAAGAGGGAGGATTGTCGGATGAAAGAAGAGGATCATAGTAAGTGAAGAATCAAAGAAAAGGAGAAACAGAAATCAGAGAGTGAAGAGGAAGAGAACCCGATAAAAACTGTGTGGGCACGACAGGCAGATCAAACACCGCTGGAGCTTCGATAAGAGCTTGATAGTGGAGTCTCTTATGTTATTCTCTTGATTCTCTTGATTGTTCTATATTAACTGGTTCAATTCAATCCTTTTGCATTCTCATATTTATTTCTCGATTTCTCTTCTCTACTCACCAGGTTCGATTTAATTCTATTTCTATGATTCAATATTTCCATCCATTGATTTGTCTTCAGGCACCTCTTCTCCCCTCAAGGGCAAGGCTTTTACACCACAAATGAATGACGCTGGGGCTGGATGAACCAGAGGGGGGAAAGAAAAAAAAATCAATGTGAATAAAAAATAGATAACCTGGAATTTCTCGAGTCTCCGGGAACTTAACGTAAAGCTACTCTACAGACCTATAGTCGAGCCCGATGGAGGCACATTCCTGTCATGCTAACGCGCTCCGGAATTGATGTACCGCGAACCATTACGTCAGTCTAGTCCATCTTTCCCGTTATCCCGATCCTATTACAAACAAGTGCCCCATGTATAAACATCGATAAGACTCCGTCCTCCTGATAAATCCTTTGTTAATTAGATACGGCCCATGAGAACCTGTAGGGGATAAAACTAGATCAAATACTTCGAGACACACATCCTGGACAGGAATGAAATGGCTTGCGTCCCCTTACTTGGGTAAAAATCCGGCTGTCTTAACTATAGAAGTATTTTTGACACCGGCGGGGGGCAAGCATTCCCCTCCACATAACCGGAGGGCTGGTCTCCATTGATGTATATACGTCTCTCTCCCAGTCATCTCAACCATCTATGCACGTCAAAAAAGTGGTCGCTGTTCTATGATAAGGATTGTGCTCGACAAAATGCTGGAATCAAACACCATAAACTATACACAATCCAGATAAGGTCCCTCGACGCAGCCGGCATTGCCCGGACTTCTAGCGGGTCGAAAGAAAGAAAAGAAAAAAAAAAAGAAAGAGTTGAATGGTTATGTCACCTGTCAGGGCGTCTTCCATGGCTCCGAACCATCCCAGCATGGTACTTTGTCAACAGTGTTCAAGGCTTCCCACTCTGCAGCGAAGGTTGAACCGAGCTCCCCCTCATTGTTCAGCCATTGCCGTTTCAATTCGACGAATGATGCGGGCTGGGTTTCCCACAGCCAGGTGGAAAGCCGGGACATCCTGTCCGTCCTGTGGTTAGCTGCTGTCTCTACTGTGCCCGATAAAACTAACAAGAGCAGAAGGGAAGAGGGGAAAGATCTGGCACGCTGAGTCGTACCTTCGTGACCACGCTCCCCGCCCCAATTACCGCCCCTTTCCCAAGAGTCACCCCAGGTAGAACGGTCACGTTGCCGGCCAGCCAGCAATCCTCACCGATGTGGATTTCCTTCCCAGTCTCGGGGCCTTTGGTGCCATTGCGCAGGGCCGGATCTAAGGGGTGGGTTCCACTGTACAGATGGACGTTGGGTCCGAAGAGGGTGCGCGCTCCGATGCTCACCACGCAGGTGTCAATGATCACGCAGCTGTGATTGATGAATACGCCCTCTCCCAGCTTCACATTGAATCCGTAGTCCATGCGGATCGGCGTTTCCACCCAGGGCTCGTTTTCAAACAACGCATCGTCCTCCTCGGGGTTCTCCTTCACCGGAGGAAGGGGAGTTGTGTCTTCTGTGATACTGGACAGTATCACGTTAGCAGAACGGTCATAATGTGATGACTCGTAAATATACAAGCGTAATATGGGTTGGGAGTGACAGATCATCGAGAAAGATTGACAGATAGGAATACACGGAAGGAGACAAATTGACCGTTATACTCTCCCCTGCTCTCACTCACTCTTTCCACAACTCGACCTGGCGTCGACGAGACACCTCCTCCATGCTATTAAAGCGGCGACAGGCACGAGTGCAGCGAGACCGAGCAGCGATGAGATCCGGGGTGAAGGCACGGTAGAGTTCCCCGCGGAGCATCTTCTCTCTCTCTGTAGGCGGGTCCATGATTCGATCAGAATTTCTGCGTGGCTTGAAACGGAAATGATCTTTGTTTGCGTCTAGAAGCGGGGGAATAGTCTCAGCTTTGTTGACGGGACCTGGCAGTCGGAGTTACTATCGTTATAAGTGGAGACACCCAAGAATTGACTAGTGTTGGAGAGCGGGGACTAGACTAGATCAATCCATTTTCATATTGTTCTCCGCCCGGACTGACATTGTTCTTTTCTTCCCGCTCTCATTTTTCTCCATCTTGCTGGTTATAAATACCTAGGTTTACCTTCATCGCAGCTACAGATACTTCCTATACATCAGTCATGAGAGTCTGAACGTATAGACTACCAATTGCCTCTCCCCGACCGATACCTCCCCAACACGTGTCACTCAACCACACACCACCAAGATGACCTCCTCCGCCGCAGACTACCAGAGTCAATCCCCAGGAAACCCCAACATATCCTGGCCGATATCTCGCCCAACGGACTCCTCCTCCAGCCCCGAACCCACCTCCACTCCCAATAGCAACAACACCGACACCAACAACACCTGGCACCCGCGCCGAATCCGACTTCAAGAGCCCTCCCCCCCAGCCCCACCCCCCTCCCTCGACCGCAGCAACTACCCCAACGGGCCCAAGTCCCTCTCCGGCATCTCTCTGCGCGCATTCCTCCTCGGCACAACCCTGGGCCTCACCCTCTCCCTCACAGCAGTCATCCTCACCACCACTACCGCCGCCGCCGCCGCCGCACACCCCCTCTGGCGCGCCCCCTTCTTCCTCGCCGCGCTCAGCGCCTTCCACTTCCTCGAATACTGGGTCACAGCCGAATACAACACGCACTACGCCTCCATCTCCGCCTTCCTCCTCTCCTCCAACGGCTGGGCCTACAACCTCGCCCACTCCTCCGCCCTCCTAGAATGTCTCCTATCGCACACCCTCTGGCCTACCCTCTTCCCCTGGTCCCTTAACCCCACAGCCACAAAAGCCCAAGTCACGCTGGGCCTGGCCCTCATGGCCATCGGCCAGATAACCCGCACCCTCGCTATGGTCCAGGCAGGCAGTAACTTCAACCACACGGTGCAAGTCGAGCGCAAGGACGGCCACACGCTCGTCCAGCACGGGATCTACGCCGTCCTGCGCCATCCGAGCTACTTTGGCTTCTTCTGGTGGGGCCTCGGCACGCAGCTGGTGCTGGGTAATGTGGTCTGTTTTGCGGGCTATGCGTTTGTGTTGTGGAACTTTTTCCACAATCGGATTTATAGTGCGTTCCCCCCTTTCTCTTCTCACATCGTGGGACCATTCGGCGCTCTATACTGACTAGTGCTTATAGGAGAGGAAAAGTTCCTGATCGCTTTCTTTGGGGATGAGTACCTTGAATACCGCAAGCGGTCGTGGGTGGGAATTCCTGGACTCCGGTAATTCCGGGGTCGTGTAGTGTGTACAGTTAGCAATATAGATAGAGTATGTATGCTTAGTGTCAATTCAAATCCCAGCATGAAGTAAGTGCCTTGCCGCCTGTACGATAGGGTAATTATAGTTATAATGCTCACATTCATGCTATGTATACACGCTCCATGGTATAATATATCGAACTAAACACAAACAACGCTAACAAAGACAACTCAACCTAGAGTTTACTCTCCGGCGCAACACCACCAATCGCACCGCTCATATACGCACCCTGATCCGACCCCGCGTTCGAGTGCTCCATCTCAGGCCCAAACAGCACAAGCTCACGTCCGCCCTTAGTACTCCACCACGTGACACAGTAATTCGCACGCTCGACATCCATCTCGCCATTACTGAGCGCATCCCAGAAGCGCTGGACGCATTGCGCGCGCATGTCAGGGTCGCGGATCATGTTGAGGAGGGAGGCGCTCAAAGGAAGCCACTCTTCGAGGTCGTCGACGCGCAGGAAGCAGAGGCCGTCGATGAGGGAGAGCGTGAGCGCCGCTTGTTCGGATAGCGGGATGGATTTGCCCATGTCTTCGTTGGAGTAGCCTTGAGCGGACTCGGGGAGGGCGTCTCCTGAGGCGCGGTGTGCGCGGTCGTAGAGGACTTCGAGGAGGATGGAGGGGAGGAGGCGGTTGGAGTTGGCGATTGGGGAGGGTGGGGCTGTTACTTGAAGGACGGTTTTGAATGCGAGGCGGAATTGGCGGATGGAGAGATTATTTGGGAAGACCTGTTTGGGGGGTGTTAGTGGGGGGTGGGGTTAGGATGGGGTCGGGGGGTACTACGTACCGCGAAGAGGTTGTCGACGTAGAATGGGAGGTATTTGGCTGCGATGGATGCGTTTGTGGGGATTGCAAACACCGCGAGACAGGTGCTGTGGGCGGCCTCGAAGATATCAAGTAGGTTGTTGTTCCCTCCTGCGGGGAGGTATGGGAGGGCGGCTGAGATGAGGAGTTCCTCGCTGCATGTAGGCGACAGAACGATGGTAAATAGCTCTGCGGTGTTTAGGAAGTACAGGTCGAGGGCCCTTTCGGCGGGGTGGGCGGGGATCTGGCCCACGTCGCTTGGCTTGATGCTTCTCATGAAATTCTCCGCCAGGTCGGGATACTGGGAAAGGATGTCCACAGCTGCTAGAGTCACGAACATGTGCTGCGAAGACACATTCTGCCCAATGCGGGAGGTGATAAAGTACATGTTTCGAAGAACATGCAGTGCTTGCATTGACAGAAACGGTGCGTCTACATCAGTCAGCTGGACAGCACTGGACAGTACAGAGTCAACCTGTAAAAGTGGGAGTACTCACTCTTGTTGGCGGCCAGCACCTTATCATTCATCACTCTTCCCAAGACAGCCCGGAGGACAATCACCGTCGAATACAGACTGTTGCGGAGCAGCTTCCACAGGCCCGGAATCGTGTTCTGCAGCGACTCCGGGTCCAGGAAATCGGTCTCTTCCGTCTTGTCCACTTCCGACAACTTGTTCTGCCGCCACTGGACCATCAAAGTGCGCGCGAATTCCGCGATGTAGTCGACTGTCCTGACCACCAAGCTTGGTTCACGGGCGTTCTCGACCGCGTGAGCGATGAGCCGCGAGAGCGGGCCCAAAGCTGACACGAGCGGGCTCGACGAGATCCCAACTACACGGTTGAAAGTGAGAGACTGCGGCGACCACATGAATTTCTTCGCAGGGCCTTCCACAATATCCTTATCAACCGTCCCGAGGAAGTATCCCCGCTCGAGTCCCTCCGGTGAAGAATAGACCGCATCAACCATGACGGGCAACAATCGATCGTAATCAAGGTGGCCCCTCTCAAAGTCCGACAGGAGCTCAAACGAATAGTTCAAGACCATTGTCACGCAAAGGCCGTCGATCCCGCCGTTGGGATCCAGCTCCTCGAGAGCCAGCTGGGCGGCCGTCACCAGAGCCGACTCGAGCTTCTTGCGCACGCTCCACGACAGACCTTGTCTGTTCTGTCCCTCGAAACCGAGAAGCACACCCCCGATCAACAGCAAATGCCTCCATCGCGGTGATTTATCGTCCGCCCCGGTGACGATCGCCTTGACCCATTCCTCTCGCCCGAGCTTTGGAGGCCCCGCGTAGGGGATCCTTGTATCCTCGGTTGTGTCGTTATGTAGAACGGTGATGGCGGCTGTATTGAACACGCTGAGTATCTTGCGACAGGCGTGGAGATCGACCGGATGATCCCAAATCGCGGGTGCCGATAGTAATTGCGATGCTAGGAGACTGAGATTCAAGGGGTTTCCTAGCATAGACAGGAGGCTGGTGGCTGTGGGCAGCAGGCTAATCATGATCAAACCAGTAGTCAGTATAAGCCGAGGAGCCGGAGGGGAACGGGAACAGCTCACGCGAAAGCATCCTGGATTTCCGAAGAAGTCTGCAGGGATCGCAGAAGAGCGCCCAGTGAGCGCTCTGTTGCCATGATCGAATCAGACGTGGTTGAGCGAGGTCAATATAAGAAGGGAAAGAGACTCCGGAGTAGGGGAGAGAATGAAGTTGTTTAGGATGACTATCGCTATTCGGCCCCAACCGCGGAGACCCCAGATCACCTGCCGAGGTTTAAGCATGCCGGGGAACAAACAGTGCAAACTACGGGTCGTCATCACACCTGAATAGTAAGGTGTAAGTCTTGTCGTCCAAGCTCTGGAACCCTCCGAATAAGGTACTTACTCCCCCTAATCCTCCAACTCCGACAACACGTCCACTTCCACTACACTGGCATGTTCTCCGCCCCGATCACATCCGGACCGTGCGGTTGACAAGGGGAGACAACCATCCCTCGCTGGCCCCGGGCATGAAATGAACTGAAATGGCCACCAACCGTGTTCCGATCAATTACCAGACGCCGGCGTTCCCGTCGCTCTACGATCCCTTTCCGCGACCCAACACGCAGGCCTTCTACCTCTACTACACCCAAGATATATGGCGCTTCACCCTCTACTGGACGCTGATATTTTATTCGGCGAGCCACCTTGCGGTTGCGGCTTTTGCCCTGCTTATGCAGGGTCGCACTTGGAGGATATGTGTTGCTGTTCCACTCGTCTATATCGTTATTGCTGGGTTGGAGGCGCTCCTCGCTGGGAGTATTATCGGTCTTGTGTGAGTTTTTTGCTTCTCTCTTGCGGTTCATGTTGTGGCAGATAAGTGCTGACGTGTTCGTCAACAGTCTAGGTGCGGTCTACGAAGCCGGTAACTTTCGCATGTCGACCTGGATCCCGATCATTTGGGGCGGCATCAATGTGCTGGTCCTGATACTTTCCAGCTTCCCTATGCAAGGTGGACTGTGATACATCGACGACGGGCACGAGGATGAATATATTACTAAGCGTGCACAAGGGATACAGACCCTCCGTTCATGCTAAACCTCCCTTTGAGATTCTTGTTCACGATCGCCTTATGATACATGCAAGGAAGAAATTATAGCAGCCACTAAATGTGTGCCACAATGCTATCAGAGACCAGAAGATTCTAACAAGTCGTTACCTGCCTTGACGCCAGTTTTCCCAGGGACCAGTTGACCAAATGTGATGTTGCCGTTACCTGCCGTACGCATTGTCGGGCGTGCCGCTCCCCTGGAGACCCGGAAGACCTCCGCCACCCATCTGCATGGGGAAGTTAGGTGGTGGGAACCCTTGAGGCATCGGGAACCCTTGGGACATCAGCTGTTTCTGCAGCTCCGCAAGGTCGACATTGACTGGGGGGGTCCCTGACATAGGGGGCATGGAGAATCCGGGGAAGCCAGCGTTTTGAGGAAGGTGGTTCGATTGTGGGGGTTGTTGGGTGGATAGGAGCGCAGCGAGGCGGCCAGGGTCCATTTGAGGCATGGAGTTCGGTGGTCCACTCTGCGGAGGGGGTTGAGGGGCACCGATTCCGGGTAATAAAGAACCCGAGTTATCATGAGGCATACCGGAGCTCTGGATGCCGGGGAGGCCTGGTCCCGTGGATTTTCTCTGGTCGACCAAGCTGTCGGCCTCGTCTTGGATCTCCAGCTCTTCCTCTTCGCGCATTTGTCGCTTTCCGAAGCCTCTGTTCCACGTGCCTTGTGCCTCTGCGGCCTCTTCCCCGATATGGAATCTATCCTTCAGATAGCTAGTCTCCCCGGGCCGCGGCCGCGACCAGAACCGCGTGAAATTATCTTTCGACCCGGATGCAAGGATATGCCCGAGAGGATGCCAGTCCAAAGACCAAATCGTCGCGCCATGCGCATATTGAACGCGATGAGCCGGGTAGATCACCTGTGCCGGTGTATTGGCAGGGTCTGGGCTGTCGTACGGTGCCATCGTAGGAACCTGTCCCGAAGGGACATTGGGCTCATCAAGTAGATAGTGGTACAACGATCCGTCCTCACTCCCAGTCGACACCAATGTCGTATGGACGGGATGCCAGGTCAGCGAAGAGATGGGCTTCTCATGGCCTCGAAGGATGCAGATGTCCCGCATCATGCGTAGGTCAAACACTCGTGCCGTCTGGTCGCGCGAGGACGTCGCAAGAAGGTTCCCATTCGCACGCGAAAATCGTGTTGCCGTGACCGTATTCTTGTGGCTGTGGAGCGTCGTCAAGCATCTCGCCGTGCGCGGATCCCAGAACTTGACCTGGTGGTCCTTGGACCCGGACACCAACAGTCCCTTGGTCGGGTGCCAATCACAGGTTTTGACGTCCCAGTTATGCCCAGTAAGAACCGTGTCCGGGGTCCGAGAGGTGAAATCGAAAATCTTGAGTGTGGTATCATCGGATGCCGAAAGGAATTTGCTGTCGCTCGGGGACCACGCCAGATCCCTCACCGCATCGTGATGCGCGTCGTCGATTGTCTCGACATTGTTGAAGTTTGGCCGCCAGTACTTGATGTCGCCTTTCTGTCCGCCCGATATTAACCAGTCTTGGCTGTGCGACCATCCGAGCGACGTCACTCCAGCTTGCAATTGGTCATAGTGGGCCTATCCACGAAGTCAGTACCACCTTCGAACAATGGGAAATGGTCCCCTCTGGACGTGCTCAGGAAAGAAGCGCAGAGCCAAGGTGCATACGCACATCCATCACAGTTTCGAAATTAAACGCCGTGCCATTCCACAGCATGAATTCACCCGTATGACCACCGGTCAACAGACGCCGACCTTCGGGGGTCCATCTAACGACTGTAATAGGCTTCTTCGACTTGCCGATCGACTGGTGTAAATGCCGTACAGGAATGCTATCGGCAGGCGAATGTACGCGCGCCATCGGGGGGGGCATCTGTTGGGAGAAAACAAAGACAGGCGGTCAGTCATCAGGCCATCTCCAAGCTCACGGTCATGATTCGAACCCACATCAATGATATAACTGGCACTGGGTCTCTCAACTTCCATGCGATTGCCTCCCTTGTAAAGCGGCCGCCGGTTGCGCATCCACTGTACCATCGACGAGCCATAATCCGTGACCAGCCCTATGGGAACGCGATTAGTGAGTTTTGATCATCCCGATCTCTATCGCAAGCCATCCCACATACTCGGTCTTCGTGGTCCCACTATCCCACCCTCAAAGGATTTCGGAGGTCGCCCAAAAGGCTGACCATCACCCCCATGTTCATCGTAAAAGGACATTGTAGCGTAGGCCTAGATTAGGCTGTCGGGGAAGAGGGAATGAGGCTGACGGGGAAACAAGTCGGAGCGGGTCGCGACCATGACAGGGGGGGAGAAACTAGGAAAGATAGTCAAGCAATTCCTCGGGCAAAAAAACAAGAAAAAGGATAGATATTAACAAAGACAAAGTCAAAGACAACTAAAATGGGGCCATCATAGCGTGTATGCCGTGACTGCGAAAGAGAGTTAAGAGTAAGGTAAGTCTAGAGGTGAGACTGAACGAACTAACTAGCCTGGAGTCCAACTTAGTCTTTGAAACTGCCCGTCTTTTGGGCCGGATGATTGCGGGCGGTCGACCAACAACCGGGCGACATTGGCTGCTTTGGCGTTCCTGTGGCTCCTCTCTAGGCTTCCGGCTTCCTCCCTCTTGAACGCCTAAACGCCCCCCCCCGGTCACCCTGGAAAATACTGTACTATAGCTAAAACTACGGAATACCTAGGTACCAGGGTGGGTAAGGTACTGTACCTAGTAAGTAGTAACCTTAGCTAACGGAAAGAGAAAGAGGCCTTTGCTCCTCGCTCGACAAACGTTTCTAATCTCCAACCCCGCCATGTTGCCCTGGACCTTCTTCTCTCTTATCTCACCCTTTTTCTCTCCTTCTTCTTTCTCTGTCACTCTTCTTGATTTTATCTGGTGTCGATGGTGTGTTATGATTGAACCAGCAGGGAGTCAGGTCGCAAGCAGTTGTCCCCTCTAGCAGTATTATACCTACTGTGCCGAGCTTTTCCTCTCCAATTTGCACATGATAGTCCGCCTTTCACGGTCGCCACTAGTCTCCTGTCGCTCCAGTTTCACTTGGATTTTCTCAACTGTTCAAGCTTAATCAGGGTATTTGGGAGAAGATGAGTGAAGATTCATCGCCGGCGACCGCGTCAAGCACCGCCGTCGACTTGGGAAACCATAACCACCCTTCCAATTCCAATGGAACGGTTCAGAACGGGGGCGAGTCCCCGCCCGATGAAGCTTCCCCGGCACCGACCGGATCAAGGCGCAGTAAATATCGTCATGTTGCGGCCTACCACTCTGAGATACGGCATTCGTGTCTGACCCGGGATTCCAATATAGCCACGAGCTTTCTGGGGTTCCGGAATCTGATGGTCATCGTCCTGGGTGAGACTATTCCCTTCTCCGCGAATGCGCGGTCGACGATGCGATCGATGGTCTAACGTGGCTGTATTAGTGGCGATGAACCTCCGATTGATCATTGAAAATTTTATGAAGGTAAGTCTGTCCGTGGTGGAATCAGAAACCGACCAGAGCCTAACTGCGCTCTGTGGAACAGTACGGAGTGCTTATCTGCATCAAATGCCACGACTACCGGAAACAAGACGTCGTGCTGGGGTCGATGCTCTTCGCGCTTATTCCTTGTCAGCTCTTCGTTGCCTACGTCCTGGAGCGAGCGGCGGCGGGGTTGGCCAAACAGACGGTTGGTCGGAGTAAGAAAGACGGCCAGACGGGGCAGGGTGAACGGGACCAGCAGTTCAGGATCTTCCGGACCATCTGGCGGTTTGCGCTCCCTTTACATATCCTGAATGATGTCGTCAATCTGGCTGTGACGAGCTTCGTGGTCTACTACTACATCCATCACCCAGGCATCGGCACGCTCTGTGAGGTCCATGCGATCATCGTAGCCATGAAGAACTGGTCCTACGCTTTCACCAACCGTGACCTACGCGAGGCGATGCTGAAGCCGTCCGTCGAATCGAACCTTCCGGAGATTTACTCTTCCTGTTCGTATCCGAACAACATCACGCTAGGCAATCTAGCTTACTTCTGGTTTGCCCCGACCCTGGTATACCAGCCCGTCTATCCCCGGACGGAGCGCATCCGATGGTCGTTCGTGGGGAAGCGCATGTTTGAGTTCTTCAGCTTGCTCGTTTTCATCTGGCTCCTCTCGGCGCAGTATGCGGCCCCGGTTCTGCGCAACTCGATCGACAAAATCGCTACCCTGGACATCGCGTCCATTATGGAGCGGGTGATGAAGCTGTCCACCATCTCCCTCATCATCTGGCTTGCCGGGTTCTTCGCCCTCTTCCAGGCTTTGCTGAACGCCTTGGCGGAGGTGATGCGGTTTGGCGATCGCGAATTCTACACGGACTGGTGGAACAGCTCCAGTCTGGGGATGTACTGGCGGTCCTGGAATCGGCCTGTGTATCTCTTCATGAAGCGCCATGTCTATTCACCCATGATTGGACGGGGCTGGAGTCCTCTGGCGGCCAGCTCTGCGGTCTTTACCATTTCCGCCATTCTGCACGAGCTGCTGGTGGGCATTCCCACTCATAATCTCATCGGTATGGGTCCTCGTCTGTATTCCCCGCGTATCGACTTGTGTCGTGCTAACTGGCCGTTAGGTGTTGCGCTCGTGGGGATGCTATTCCAGTTGCCCCTGATTGCGATGACGGCACCAATGGAGAAGAAGCAAGGTCCTGCCGGTAGGGCCATGGGGAACTCCATCTTCTGGATCAGCTTCTGTCTGGTGGGCCAACCATTGGGAGCCTTGCTGTACTTCTTCGCATGGCAAGCTAAGTATGGCAGTGTGAGCCGAATGTGAGCCAGAAGAATGTAGGAGAAATAAGGGGTCTAGTGTAATCAGCCGGCGTGTTTTTTCTGCCAAATCCTCCGGATCGGCCGCAGAGAAGCAAGTCTAAGCTTCGCTAGAATTGGTAATCGAATGTTCCTTGACAGCCTGTGATAACACAACACGTATGCGCCTTCTGGCTGATTGTGTATAAGCACTTCCCGAGATGTAAGCCTGGACGTCTGAGGGAAGGGAATGGAATCCTGCAAACGTACGGATGATCTGAACCAAAGAGCCACTATGCATCTGGTGTTTCCAATAACCTGCTAGCCTTGGTGAGACCCAAGGAAGCCACGGAGTAGGCCGCCGGCGATTGGGGTGATCAGGCACCGGCGGGAAGGAGCTGGCCCGTCTTCCGGATGATTACCTGAGGCACCTTAGTCCTTGGCGTCGACGCTATGACACCAACACATTTTCCTTAAGAAGCAGCTGCACCTTTCCCCACACCCATCTTCTCCCCGCACAGCTCACCACCATCAATCGCTTTATTACACGTTAACCTATCCGTATATATCCATCATGGTCGCCATTCCTGTTCCTGATAACTACGGGTGAGTGGTGGGATCCTGACTATCTTCCACCTTCCGAGCCATTGACCATCTACAGGGCCGTCATTGCCGTCGCCCTCGGCGCCATCCCTGTCCTCGGCTTCATTCACGGCGGCGTCACCACAGGACTGCGCAAGGAGGCCAAGGTCCCTTACCCGCACAGCTATGCCACCATTGAGCAGTGCAAGTCCAACGTATGTTTGCGCGCTCTCGATACCACCCCCTAATTCCATCTCCCCGCTTCGTGAAGACCCCGCTCAACACCCCATCAACAGGCCAAAGCCGAGCAATTTAACTGCGCCCAGCGCGCCCACTCCAACTTCCTTGAAAATGCCTCTCAGACTATGCTCTTCACCCTCGTTGCCGGCCTGAAGTACCCCGAGCTGGCGACCGGCCTCGGCGCCGTTTGGCTTGCTGCCCGTGTGCTCTTCCTGTACGGATACGTGTACTCGGGTAAGGCCCAGGGCAAGGGCCGCATGCTTGGAGGGTGGTTCTGGTTGGCCCAGGGTGCGCTTTGGGGATTGAGCGTGTTTGGTGTGGGCAAGAGCTTGCTTTCTCTTTGAGAAGTTTGACTGCTATATATAGCACTGCTGTGCATTCTCTTGGTCGTGTTCTCTGGGTTCATATTGGATACCTGAATCTATAAGTGCGACTTGTATAATGTCAATATATATATATATTTATTCATTTCAAATGCTCTACGGAGTACTTCCTTTTCATTTATACACCTGCTTGATGAGTGGTGCACGTGGTGAGAGCCTCCTTTCTCAGGCCATCCTCGTGGTTCAGACCTTTCGCCGATTTGATCTCTCCGCCTTCACTCCAGCAACACCCAGACCACCAGCACAGAACTCGCATCCACCCTACAGCCACTACATCCATCCAAGGACAAATGAGCAGCTTGAAAACTCTTCCAACGCGGGAACCAGAACCTTCCGACCCACTCAAGCTGTCGCTAGCTAAATAGAGTAGGAGGATGCGGGGTTTGCGTCTCTCGACAGTCGATCATATCGACCTGGCACTACAATACCACCCAGGAAACAAAAATAATGGCAAGCCTAGATAAGGAACGGCGTATCCTTTACTGGCCGGAGGAATAACCACAAATAAGAAGACCAAAGTGGGTCGTTCCGAGCCTGTTGCTTGTGGAGCAATCCAGCTCCCTAGAAGGCTAGAAGCCCATGGCCGTCCTTGCCACGATCATTAATCATTGTGTGCCTGTGTCTATCACAAGCTAAATTTTTGAACGGACCTCCATCACAATCAAATTGTGCCTGAAAAGCAGGAGGGCAGAAAATTCGGATGTTAGACCCAGAGAGGAAGGTCAAGAAGCAGATCATCACTAGTTAGCAGGACGGTCGATTAACCATGGGTTCTTTTTATCTCATAGTTCTGCCTGGCCACCGATGCACGCATTCTTAAGCTTGAGACATCTGTTCTCCACTTCCTATATTCCCTTGCCTCCTTTATTCCATTTTTCGTGGACCATATATCCCTCCGATTGCTTTCCAATTGCCGGCACCCTTGTCCATTGCACAAAGATAACCTCGATGCTTGTTTAGCTTTCTTCGAGGACCAGCCGAGGTGCACGACTGACGTCATGTCTAGAACTGGCTCAAATCCCGCCCGCCAGCAGCTGGTAGCAGAGACCCTTCGGAATGCGTCCACGGCGCAGAAAAAGCGTCGATTGCCGGCCTTCCTAGATCATTTCAATGGGCGCGACCTCAAGATCTTTTTCCGCTGTTGGGTCGGTGCCTGGGTAGCCTGTCTTCTGATTTTCATCAGTCCTTCTCTTCGTAACATCGGCACTGCGACGTTCTTTGCATGGTATGTGCAGTCTGCGTTTGTGGACGGGCCTGTTATGTGGAACACATACTAAAACCTAATTTTAGTCTGGTTCAGTTAATGCTCCCTCCGTCGGGCATCGTCTTGATTTATCTGCTTGGGGCCCTCTCGCTCTTCCTTGGTATCTGTCTTGCTTGGGCATGGGGCTTGATCGTAATGAAAGCTGCCATGGCAGCCAGGCCGGCTGCCGACAGGCAGGCACGGTTACAGTCACTGCAACAGCTGGCAGCCGCGCAAGCCAATGCAACAGGAATCGCACCCGGTGCAGCTGCGCAGCGATTAGTCTACGATGGACACATGCTAGATGCGCGCGTGTCGGCAGTGACATTCTGCATGGTTTGTGTATTCATCTATCTCATGGTAAGGACAATCCAACATCGCAAGTCATCTTTCTCTAACCGATCCTAGGCCCGCTTGCGAGCAAGTAACCCAAAAATGGCATTTACCCAAATCTTCAGCACGATCATATCCGATCTCTTTCTCAATTACGTGCCGCTACTCCCGTCATTTTCGGGGACAATGCCATTGGCACTCGTAAAGCCCGCTGGTATTGGTGTCGGCCTTGGACTGGCATCCTCGATCCTTTTCTTTCCGCGGTCTACGTCGCACGTGGTCCTAGACAGCATGGAGGATATCGTAGAGCTTCTCAAAATGCCCCTCGCCCTCACGTCTCTTGCTCTAGACAAAGATGGGGAGGAGCTAGATATCAAGCAGCTGCAAAAGACCCGGTCCAGAACTATTGGACTATATCAGAAAATGGAACCGGCGCTTGCCTTCCTACCGTTGGATTTCTCGGTCGGTTGTTGGGGAGCTCGAGATGTGGAGACTTTCAAGGAGCCGATGCGACAGGCCATGGCGTCGATCCTGTCGCTGTTAGAGCTTCACATGAACCGGATATACGGGGATGTCCGATCGGCGGATGCCTTGAAACGGCACGAAGAGCGCAAGTCCATGCAGAACGATGACGAAAAACGTCCCCACCAAATCGGAAACCACCAACTGTCGCAGCTGGGAGAGATGCTGGATGGATTCCGCTACCCCGACAGCCAGCCTCTCCACGACGAGATGGTCAAAGAGCTTCTTGGAACGGGCACAGAGGCAATAGCTGCCTGTATAGAGGGCTTGGATGTCGTCAAGTCTTGTATCCACCTGGTCAACTGCCGCCGTTGGTTCTGGCGCCCGTCCGCGGCAGAACGGGAAGAACTGTACCAACGCAGTCAGGCTGCACTGGAATCTCTGCGCGCGACCCATGTCTCTTTCGTCCATGAAACGACCGAGTTCCTCCACGCAGAGTATGGCCCTTTCCTCGACGATATTAGTGCAATGCCGCCCATAGACAAGATCGGCCGATTTCGAGGCCTCATGGTCGGCATGGCCTTCGAGGACCAAATGTCCAAAGTCCTGGAGAGAACAGAAGCGCTCCTCACCCAGGTGTCCAAAGTTTTCCACGACTCGCCTCACACCCGGCTGTGGTTCCCGACCGGTCTCCAACATGCCTTTTCGTGGGTCGCAGGGAAAGGAGACAAAGCGCCAGCCATGGAGCAGACCACAGACAACGACCCCGACGACGTTAGCGATCTGACCAAGGCCGCGCAGGAAAAGCTCCGCATAAGCCGCAAATACCGCGGTAAACAGCGCAGCTGGCTCGGCCGTGCGATTCTCGGAACCTACCATTGGTTCACGTCGAATGACGGGCTGTACGCGATGAGAGTGGTTGTGGTAACCATCGCTCTTGCTATTCCCGGCGTGCTGCCCCATACAGCCGGCTTCTACTATCGCGAAAAGGGCCTCTGGGCCCTGATCATGGCGCAGACAGGAATGCTGGTCTACATGGCGGACTTCACCTTCTCCGTGATCTCACGAGTCGTGGGGACCGTCGTCGGCGGCGCCCTCGGCTTGCTAGCCTGGTATATCGGCTCCGGCATGGGACCTGGCAATCCCTATGGGCTGTCGGCTATCGTTGGCGCGATGCTCCTCATCTTCATGTGGGTTCGACTGTACCTGCCGCCCAATCTACTACAAGGAGGGATCATGGGAGGCGCGACGTTCCTTCTAGTCGTGGCCTACAGCTACGATGACACGTGAGTCCTCTCCCACTCCCTTGTTATTCATATCCAATCACCATCAATCACCCCATCTCTCAAAAAAAAAAAAAACCACCACTAACCAGAACCCCATAGCCACCTCCCCCAATACGGCAGCCCCGGCCTAGGCTACACCGTCTTCTGGCGCCGTCTCCTCCTCATCCTAATCGGCGTAGCAGCAGCAACAATCGTGCAAATTATCCCCCACCCGCCCTCGGCCTCCAAACACATCCGCAAATCCCTCTCCAACACAATCCGCACAATCTCCGACCACTACGCCCTCCTCCTCTCCAGCTGGTCCTCCCACTCCCAAACCCACACAGAAGGCCAACTCCTCGCCGAGCCCATCTCCCTCCAACTCGCCCAATCCCTCGTCACCCTAGACAGCCCCATTCAACTCCTCCGCTTCGAGTTCTCCAGCTCCCGCTTCGACAGCGCCTCCCTCGACCGCGTCAAGCGCCTCTGCCACAATCTCAACCGGAACCTCGGCCGCCTGCTGCTCCTCTCGGGATCCCTGCCACAGGAACACCGCGATCGGCTCGCCCGCCAGACGGGTCTGCTGGATCATCGCGCGATCGGCGAGGTCATGGCTGTGTTGGGTGTTTGCGAGCAGGCGCTGCAGTCGGAGGATGCGCCGCCGGAGATTCTGCCTTCGCCGCTTGTGAGGCGCTCGTTTGAGTACTGGCGGTTGCATCCGGAGGAGGTGGGTGCGTTGAGGGCGGAGCGTGTGCGCGATGAGAATGAGAGGAGGTACTGTGTGGCGCTGAGTGCTTATTTGAAGTTTTTGGGGACGGTCGATGAGTTGGTGTTGGTTATTAAGGAGGTTCTTGGTGAGGCGCACCTCGTGTCGAAGGATTTGGTGGCGTTGGTTTAGATGTAGACTTTATAGACTGTATATGTTGTGCGGTACCGGGTGAAGGAGTGTATATAATGCGAGGAGCTTGTTTGGCCGTGTCAAAGTAGTATTAAACCACTACTATCGATCAGACAGTCTACAGTGTGGTCCGTTACTGGTGGTGGAGAGAATATTGATTGGTATGTACAGGCCTTGCTCATAACATTATGTGGCATACCAACCAACGGTAGAGACTAGCCCATCAATACCCTGCTCCACACATTTCTTCCATATCCAGTACACAATGATACTTCCATCTCTCCATTAAGGCCAAAACATGTTGATCGGTATGTACAGGTCTTGCTCATAACATGATATGGCATACCAATCAACATACAGACTTGTCCATCAATGCCTTTAGCTTTGCATATTTCCATCACGCCCAGTACACCATGATAGTTTCCACATATCCACAAAAGCCCGATATCACAATGCGTCAACAGGAAGTCCACCGACCAGTATATATATTCCTAACACAATATCAATAAGACTACCAACCCTGAAGAAAAATATAAGAGAAAGAGAAGAACATACCAAAAGCCACTATCAATATCTCATAACCCAGGCCCAACCCAACCACCCAACCAAGGGCCCAGAAAGTGTCTTGCCAAAATAGTCGTCCCTAAGGACCCAATCAAGATGTCGGTGATATGGAGGCATACAGTTGGTATTAGCCATGTCTTCCCCTGTTTCAAGAGAAAGGATAGAAAAACATACCGTACGGCCTCCGCCGACATCTGATGACCCAGGCCCAACCCAGCCACCCAACCAAGGGCCCAGAAGACGATATCCTAGAAAGACAGTCAGTCTCAGCCCCGAGGGGGGAAGAATTGAATTCCCCGCAGTTAGGTTCTGCTCTTTCTCTGCAGTTTGATTGCTCTTTGATTTTCGATCAAGTTCTTTTTTTTTTTTGCCCACCCGATGTTTTTTTCTGATCGTTGTTCCCGTCCGAATGAATGTGAAGGATGCTTGGGTGTGTGTCTAGCTAAATACAGTGGGGGATATATGCCTGCCATGGTTGGGCACGACGATGGAAGTCCTTCGTGCCCTCGATGGTTGGCATGTGTTGAGGATGGATGCAGATATATGGTAAGGATACAGGATAAGAATGGATGATAAGAATAGAGGATAAGAATAGGGGATAAGAATAGAAGGTAAGAATAGGGGATAAGAATAGAAGGTAAGGATAGGGGATAAGGATAGAAGGTAAGGATGAAGAATAAGGATAGACGGTAAGAATATGGGGTTAAAAACAGAGGATAGGAACAGGGGGAAGGATACAGGAAGTATATGGGGCAGGATGGGGAAGGATTTGGCAAAGAAAAAAGAGTGTAAAAGAAGCGAAGGGATGAAAGATATGGTAAAAGGTGATGATGAAGGTGATGATGAAGGAGGTGATGAAGGTGATGATGGTGATGATGAAGGAGGTGATGGTAAAGATGATGGTAAAGATGATGGTAAAGATGATGGTAAAGATGATGGTAAAGATGATGGTAAAGATGGTAAAGATGAATATAAGGATGAGGCTATAGATATATGGAAAGATATACGATATGGATAGAAACGGTATGGAGAGGAAGGGTGGACAAGACAGGTACAGAGACGGGAGATGGATGTAGGAGAGAAGAAGAGAGAGACGCTCAACGGGGGGAGGATGGGGCATTTATACCCTCTGGCAGGCAACCTTCATGTCCCAATCTGGCACTCCTTCACTGCCTTCACCTCCTTCCTAAACAGGGAATAGTGAGGTCATGTTGTTGACGGGTTGTATTCACTCGCTTGTGTTGATTTCCTCCCTATCACTGCAGGGGCAGCCTCTCACCTTGCCTGACAAGTACTGAGCAGTGAATGGCAGCTTGGACTCATTCTCGGTCCCATGGTTGGGTTGGGAGAGTGATTCTGTTGATGGTGTTGATGTGCTCGTGGGGAGGTCCCTTTGGTTGTGAGTCACTTATGTAACTGGGACGGTCACTCTGAGCAGGCCGGCTCCTTCCCAGAGGAGGAAGATACCCATCCTCTGTATGAGAGCATATGTACTCAGTGAAATCAAGATCTGTGTCAGTCTTCGAGAGTACTTTAGAGCTTTATTAGTGCTAGGCATGAAAACGGAACTTGCATGTACTTACCTAGAGCAAAGGATCTAGCATCTACAAGCCCCAGGATGTTGACTGTTGTGGAATCGAATCATCTGTTTGCTACAAAAGATATCATCCACCTTTGCGCTCTGTAAATCAATGGTCTTATATTGCAACAATTGTCTTGTGGCTTTGAACCCTGGGGTTTCCAATCCCCAAGGTCTACAGTCAACGGCCATAGATCCCATGTAACTCTGATTGGATGTTACTTTAAACTCTGGACTACCCAGTCAATGTATCTTACAATTACGTCTTCAGTACCATTGATGCTGTATTTTACACAAGGTCAGCATTAGCGCGCACGCCATGTTGGAGACACAGATGTAGCTATACCTTTCAGTCCTACATCCCAAGCATCGGAGGGACTGAGTCTAGAATGCCTGTCCATAAGCTTGACGACCAACAACCCAAACAGCCACCCTGGGGAGAACTTCCATTGGAAGTCTACTTCCTCTCCGAATGGGAATCCCCTCCCCCAGATCCCCTCCAGTCAAACGAATCCCCCGCAGACCGTCGCAAGCGGCTTGTTCGGCAATTTCTCGCATTGGGGTTCGAAGGCAGACAGGTATATAACCCCTATCACACGGATCATACACCGCAACTGACCCCGGGTCCATTTCACCCTGACAGCCCTACTGCCAGGAATCGCCACCCATTCCAACTGAAGATCAAATAGACGAGATTCTTCGACCTATACGCCCCGAGACTCTACGCGCCTACGCCGATGACACCGCTTCTTTATCGGGTCTTTGGCTTCGTCTCTGCTACACTGATGAAGAGGCGCATAAGACCCTCTGGGCCGAAAATGAAGATGCGGAATGGGTTGGTGATGAGGGGATAGTCCTCGACGATGAAGGTATCTTCAGTGGCTTGGATTTGGCAGCTGCCCTGGAAGTTTTTCCAGAGCGTGTGACGAATGAGCCTGTCGATCTTCGATTTAGAGAGGCACAGTTCCGAGAAATGGTGGATGCCGCACTGGAAAGTCCATGTCCTAGTGCGGAGAACTACTCCGATGAGGTTAAAGAGTTGTTAGCGAGAGGCCAGGCGGAGTCGGAAAAGAACCCATTGAATAGGCATTGGCCCTGGCACGCTGCCAGCGTTGTTACTCATGTGTTTGTGGAGGATAAGGTGGCGCTCAGCGGTGGGGGTTTATTGCACGTGTTTTTGGATGATTATGGGAATGTGGTGAGACAGTGGAGGGATGAGAATGATGGATCAGAAAGTAACTATGACGGGGCTTGGTTCGAGGGTTGTTATAAGGAGGCTTTTGCCTGTGGTATGGGGGGTAGTTTGGAGGAAATTGGGCCTGCTTATCATGAGGGTGGAAGCCGGGGACCTCCATATTATTAGCATTCGATCATGGAGTGAGTGTAGACAAAAAAGACTTGCTTGATGTTTCAAAAAACTAGGGCCCTTGGAAATGTAAGGTTTCTGGGGGAGCCAGTTTGAGTCAAGACTGGTAACGAGTGAAACGCGCTGCAAGCGACAAGAATCCATAGACAACCAGGTAGGTATATATATCTGGAGTGGATTTCCACCTCCACAACCTCCACAACTCACCCCACTCCTTCCATCTAGAAGTAGATTGCTTGTTTACCATCAACACCACAATCCATCATCATCAACATCCCAAAAATGCCATCGATCTTTGAAACCTCCGTATTTCCCATTATATTGGTAGGCGCAACCGACAGACAAAAGAGTCCCGTAAATCAACGAATCCTCTCTAACCTATCCTTGTGTTCCAGTGTCTAATACTATCTCTCATCCTCGGCGCGTAAGTAACCCATCTAACCATCATGAAATCACCAACCATCCATACTAACCAACTCTCCCATCCAAGCATCTCCTGGTCACGCACCCTATCCTCCTTCCTCCCCACCCCCCAATGGCTCCCAGGCGCAACCACCCTCCTCTCAGCCCTCACCCTCCTCGCAGTGAGCCTGCTAGGATTCAAGCCTGAAGGAACCCGAACCAACCCCTATCGCCAAAAGCTCGCCACCCTCCTCGAGCAACTCTACACAATCCTCGTAACCATTCTCTTCACCGCCACCCTGACAATACTCTTTCCAGACAGCCTCCTCATCTGCCGCCTAGAATCCTACTGGCAAAGCCACTTCCAAGCGAAAGACGCTCACACGATCCGCTCCATCCAAGACCGCTTCCAGTGCTGCGGCCTGCACAGCACGCGCGACCGCGCCTGGCCGTTCAAAAACCGTGACCATGGCGACGACGCGTGCGAGGCTCAGTTCGGTTATGGGCGGAGCTGTCTGGTGCCGTGGAGGGAACAGACGGTGTCGACTTCGTGGACGATGTTTGCTGCTGTTGCTTTGATCTTGGTTGTTAAGGTAGGGCTGGATGGCTGTTTCACTACGAGAACTGACGATGCTGATGGTTTGTGCTTAAAAGGTCGGCATCACTTGCTTTGGCTTCCGTCGACGCGCGAATGCTAGCTGGATGCGTGATGTGTTCTCGGAACGTGCGAATGGTGATTATCAGAGACCGGCGCGCGCGGAGATCTTGAATGGGGAGGAGGAGGCGGAGGAGAACCATGACCAGGAGGCGGAGCCGAGGAGAGTCATGCTGCCTCATGCGGAGTCGGCTCCTGCCAATGAGTGGAACCAGTAGATGGTTTCTATGCTTGGTTGCTGTATGAACTATTGGTGGTTATCATTTGGTACACTGGTTGAGGTTCTATACTTGATGGTTAGAAACGTAGTGGTAAGGACTGGCTGGTTTGTCTTATGGAATAGTTCGTAGGAAATAAACGCATGTTATGACTGGGACAGTATAGTTCTGAGTCTCTTACATTTCATCGATTGTCTGAACCTACTTGCTTTTGTACCAGTTTAACTTTAGTCTATGGTAAATATTTTTGTTGTCTCTCATCATATCGGTAGTCAAGAAATATGTATGTGTTTCTCTTTGGAGGATACTGAATAATACTTCCTTCTCTATTGACTGCATTGACCAAGCAAAAACACCGCAACGTTGTTTATACATAGATATTTAGATAGTGACTACAAAACCAAACTACATATATATCACGGTGGCAGAAAGCCATGGGAGTAATCACAACATCAACTTGAGTCTGTAGAAGCATTAGCCACCCACAACCCCACCTTTCTACCTCAAAATCCAACATCTCAAATAATAAAGAGCATTTCCTATATATTATAGAAAATTGTAAATCTAAACCAAGTATCTCAAACCAAAACTCCTCCCGGACATGCAGACATTCTATCTTTTACTAGGTAGGTACTAAACTAAATCTAAACGGAACCGTTTACTCCATCTCGATCGTGGCAGGAGGCTTGCTGGAGATATCGTAGAGCACGCGAGACACTATCAATTGAACGATGTATTAGCATTGAATCTCCAAAAACAGAAAGGGGGGGGGGGAGAGAAGACATACCACCATGCACTTCGTTGATGATTCTGGTGGCGGCGCGGCTCAGGAACTCGTTGTCGAAGGGGAAGGCGCGAGCGGTCATGACTGTTCATATCATTAGTGGGGATCTCTAGATTGTGGATGGAAGAACTCACAGTCGGTGGTTTCAACGGCGCGCAGGATGATGATCTCTGCGTAGACGCGCTTGTCGCCCTGCTTGGGGTTAGTCACTGCTACTGAGTGGGATATTATATCACATACCATAACACCGACAGCCTTGCTGGGATCCAGAGCGGCGTAGGCCTGGGCAATCTGGTCGTACAGACCAGCCTCGCGGATCATCGAGATGAAGATGTGGTCGGCCCGGCGAGCAATCTCGACACGCTCGGGAGTCACCTCGCCAAGGATGCGGATGGCAATACCAGGGCCAGGGAAAGGATGTCTCATGACGAGCTCGTGGGCAATGCCCAGCTGCTCGCCCAGAGCGCGGACCTCATCCTTGAACAGCTCACGGAGAGGCTCGATGAGCCTCATGCCCTGTCCGTCGATCATGCGCTCTGTGTCACCGTTAGCTGGGAGCTCTGCAGAGATACCTTCCGGGAGAACTTACGCGGCAGACCACCGACGTTGTGGTGGGTCTTGATGGTGGCGGAGGGGCCCTTGAAAGAGATGCTTTCAATGACGTCGGGGTACAGGGTTCCCTGGAGGAACCACTTGACCTTGGCGCCGGTGGTGTGTTGGGCCTCGGCTTCGATCTTCTCGGCCTGCTGCTCGAACACATCGATGAAAGTACCACCGATGAACTTACGCTTCTTCTCGGGGTCCGTGACGCCCTTGAGGCCGTCCAGGAAGAGCTTGGACGCATCAACGACCGTCAGGTTGATGCCCAGGTTCTTGGTCAGTCGCTCGTGGACAGACTCGCATTCCTGCCAGCGCATGCACCCGTTGTTGACCAGGACAGCATGGAAGCGGTCACCGATCGCCTCCTTCATCAGCTTCGCAGCCCTAGTACACATCAGCTTTGGACGATATTATCTCCAGAAGGAGAAAAAAGAAAAGGAACACCTACACGGTGGAGTCAACACCGCCGCTGACGGCACCCAGCACATGATCGGTCTCGCCGACCAGCTTGCGAATGCGGGCGATCTCCTGGTCCACGAACTTGGACATGGTCCAGTTCTGGTTCGCGCCGCAGATTTCCACTGCGAAGTTCTTCAGAAGCTTGATGCCATTGGGAGTGTGGGACACCTCGGGGTGGAATTGAACGCCTGTTGGTATTCGTTTAGTCACGCTCAAAAACGTCCGTACATCACTACTATGATGACTCACCATAGACGGGCTTGGTCTGATGCGCGATACCGGCATACTCCGAGTTGGAGGTCGTCGCAATCGTATGGAAACCCTCAGGAAGACGAGCCAGCTTGTCACCGTGACTCATCCAAACCTTCATGTGATCCTCCAGACCGGCGAACAGACGGTCGACATGGCCCTGGTCGTCGAGTCTCTTCGCGTTCAGGTCCGCGTGGCCATACTCGCGGGCGACACCAGCCACGACATTATCCTTGCCCAAGCGGTAAGCCAGCTCCTGCTGGCCGTAGCAGATACCAAGGACGGGAACTCCGAGGTCCAGGAAGGCGGGATCAACGTGAGGCGAGCCTTCCTCGTAGACACTGTAGGGGCCACCGGAGAGAATGATACCCTTGGGCTTGAAGTGGAGATCGGCCAACTTCTGGGTACACGGGAGCATTTCACTGTACACATTGAGCTCACGGAGACGGCGCGTGATCAAGTGAGTCTGCGACAGCGTTAGTGGACTGTATGTTGATGCGACGATCGGGTTGTATGTCTCACGTATTGCGACCCGAAATCCAGAGTCAGGATGGTGTCGAAAGTGGCCGAAGGGATCTCTGCGTCCGCCATGGTGAAGGTAGAATTAATTGAATTGGAACGAGAGGTCAACGAAAGAGATTCGAGAAACGGTTATCCGGTAAGAAGGCTACCTCGTCCAAAGTAGAAATGAATCTATCGCGGGCGCGGAGAAAAAAATTTCAGACTCAAGCGGGGGAAAGAGTCATTTCTGACAGGCAGAACACTCTCCCCGCCTCGGGCGGTCAGGAAGGCGGTGGGACTCTTATCGGCCCATCGCGAAAGCGGATCATCTCGTTCTTTACCACGTCGGTCGATGGTTCTTCTTCCAGGTTTAGTTCCAATATCTACTGGGTCATATCATCTGTGTCTCTATGGAGATTCCATCAGGGAATGATTGACTCCTGTGGCAACACTGTCAGGCAAACGGTGGCAAATAGTTCGTGTTCATCCTTCCATCTTGGGTCATGTACATTTGGCAAATCTGCCTTGTGTGCCGGATATGTCAAACGCGTTGACATCGATCGTGAGCTCAGCTTCAGACATACGAAGTCTGATGTCTGTCGGGTGATCTGATACCTAGTGACCTGGATTACGGCTGGGTTATAGCGAAGGAACATATTCCCTAGTCCTGATACAATCCAGGTGTTGGAAGGATCATATCCGGCTTGGTTGCGGGATTTTTATCTGGGGAGGGGTGAATTCCTAATCCAGGCATCCATAGTGGACTCAAGGGTTTCCAAGCTTCCCACCATTCCAGAGATCTCTTGGCTGGTTCGCCACGGCAAGAAATATCCGGATTCCATGAGTTCCTCCACCTGCAGGGACTGTATGACTCGAGACAAAATGCCAGGGGAAGCGGGGTCTGCAACGTCTAGACCAATAATGTCTCTCTCAAATCATCGGATACGATCACAACGTGTTGACGAGGGTCTTCCCAACAGGTTCCTGACCATTGGACACTCGCCCACTTGGTCAGACTCTTAACGCTGCGTTAATCCTGCCATGGCAGGATCGAGAGGAGCCCAGGGTTAATCGTTGCTGCATCTAGACTAATTCCCCTCCAAGGCGGCCACTATCCAAGCCTCCCCGCTATCCACCCTTCACCACGACGCTCCACTCGGCGGTGTGGAGGATCAAAGTCGGTGTAAAACCCAAGAAAAAAAGGGAAAAAACGAAAAAGAGCAGGAAAAAATCGTCCGACGCAAGAATATTAATACTCGAGGGGTGCGAGAAGAGCGATCAATGGTTGATGTCTCGGAATGATACATCATACAGTTCTCCCCTGACAGATGCTCTCTGCAGCATGACCGCCTGACCATCGCCCTCGTTATCCCTTCTTTCTTCCTGTCTTTAAGTCCTTACTGTGACTGCTTTCAACCGCCTGATTGACCCGTTTATTTCTTCATTGCATTCGTTATCTCTTTGTCCCGAGTCCACCATGCTTCAAACCACCAACTGAACGTGGGAGGACGATCAGCGTCTTTGTACCCTCTGGATTATTTCCCCTCATTGCCGGAAACCCTAATCTGATTGCCATCTCTTTTATTGAGTTCCTATCGTTGCTCACTCACTATCAACCTATTTATATTTTCTTTATTCTTATTCTTAATCAAAGAGCCTCTGCTATTCGTCTGATTTAATTATCCGCCCTACGGACCTGTCCCACCAACTGGTGGTGCCTATCAATTGATCTGCGACACTACACTAAGTCTCACTGGTGCCATTTGGCAGCGCATGTGAAGGTCGGACTAGGATCATAGGATACTTGAGATTTTCCTGATTCTTTTCGTCGCACCTGACGAACACCTAATCTGTCGGCCTAAAGATCATCTCAACGGAAAAGCTGGTCATGGTGACCGTCACATGCCACGGTCAACTACCGGGCGCCTATTCATATTCCGGAGGGAATCAAAATAGCACCCATAGCCGCCCACTCGATCCAGTCTTACCGGCCCTTGCAGCGGATCCACTCCAGGCCAACCCAGATATAAAACGAGATCCCTCAACTCCTCACGTCTCGCACATCTCACCGCTCAACATCGGTTCTCCCGTCCCACCTGGCGTGCACGGGGACGCAAAGACTTCCAGCCGCGCTGAGGTTACCGAAATCACCGTGGCTACGACAACACCATGCAAACCCATCGGGCTGGACCTGATTCCCGATGAACCCTGGGACGAGATGGTGGAATGCGTGGAGCACCCGATGCAGAATCAGGGCTCGACATGCATGACAACCACGCCGCCGCTATCTCCACGCATCCCAAAGCGAAAGCGTACCGTTTCTCCGTCATCGTTCTCCTCGAAACCCCCTGCAGATCACCGCCGCTCGGCATCGTGCAACACTCGCCGCTCCGCCCCGAGCAGCCGACGAAGCTCCCTCCACTCCCACAGTCGCATCCCAACCGGCACCTCCCTCACCCCTGGGTCTACGGCACCGACCTTCCCCGAATTCCAGCGCCAGAGTCTCCTCGCTCTCCACCGAGAATCCTGCCGGCTATTCCACAACCCTGAGCCCCAATCACAACAACCACAACTACTGGTAGCCCTCCCGTCAAAACCGCTCTCCCCACCACCCTCCACCCCACAGTCCCCCACCCGCCTCTCCTCCGAGACCCCCGCACCAGCCGTCCACCCCGGACGCTTCTCACACGAACCGACCCCATCCCGCCCGGCAGCATCACGCGCCGGACCGCCCATTCGCGCATACTCCATGCCCGCCCGCCCGCACCACCTCGACGGCGTCGAGAAGAACCCCTCAACGACCGTAATCGACTGGACGACCCCATCGACACGGCGGCGCGAGTACGAGAAGATCGACCGAGCCAGCAGTGGCGTGCGCGGCCTGTGGCGCCGTGTTGCCCCCCGTTGGTGTCGCTCCAACGAAGCCCGCACGCCATTCTTCGAGGTCAAAGACGGCAAGGCGAACTACGAGGGGAGTGTTCGGCGGTTCCGAATGGATATTCCGGAGGAAGGGGGTCCGGGGCGGAAGATGGGGGGGAAGATTAAGAGGCGGTTGGGGGTGCGGAGGTAGTCACCTTTTGTTATTTCTGTCGTTTGGAAGATGCCCTGAGCTGTGCTTGAGGGGTTGATGGATTGGGTGGCGCTTGGCCACCCTGTTTGAGTTACTAGGGGATGGTGACACTTTTGACAAGTGATTTAGGGCTGTGGATTATGATACCCGTAATGAGATAGACTGATAACCTCATCGTCATTATTTTTTTACCATAGTTTATTCATTTCTCTATTCCATCTTGTCCCAGACTGAGACATAAACCAGCAGTAACTTTTACCAAACAGCCATATACAACCAAAACCACAACTCCAGCCCGACCCAAGTCAAATAAAATCCACCAAGAAACACAAAGAAACCGATAAAATAAAACCAAGGGTATCTATCTATCTACAACCGCCCTTAACCGGTAAACCTCACAGCAAATCATAATCATCCAGATTATCCCGATACTGCATGATACTCCGCTTGATCTTGCTGCTATCCACCCAGGTGACAAAGTCTTCCATGTTGCGGGTGACGAGGAAGGCCGGGTCGGTAACGACCTCCGTCCCGACGCGGACGTGGCCCTGTTCGATGAACGTGATTGCCTTCATTATATCAGTATCAGCATGCATGCATTCTTGTCCATGGACCAAACATCACCAAGAGGAGGAGAAGAAGAAGAAGAAGAAGGGGAGAAAAATACAGTAACAACATTCTCCACCATCCCCGCCCTAGCCATGTAAACGCCCAACCGCCGCCTACAAAACGCCGACACGGTCACCTCGCGCTCCACCCGCGACAGGCCCGCCCCCTGCTCGCGGCTCTGCTTCAGGATCCCCATGTTCCACAGCTTGTCCAGCACGTCGGCCTCGATCTGCCGCCGCGTGGGGTCTGTCTCGGGGTCGAGCTGGGAGAGTTTGTGGGCGAGTTGCCGGAGCGAGCCGCAGAGGGTGTTGTATTTCTTGTAGTCGTATTCTTGGAGGTGGTAGCGTTGGCGGACGGTGTGTTCACGGTGGGAGCCGTCGGATTTGTCTTTTTCATTATTAGTTTGGAGTTTTTTTTGGGAATTTTTTTTTCCCTTCTTCTTCTTCTTCTTCTTCTCTCGGATGGGAGAGAGAAGAGGGAGGAAAAGAGAATGGAATGGAACATACAGGTGTTGAAGTCGACCTTGCGGAGGAGCTTGCGCTCGTGGTGCTTGAATTGACGGACCATTTTGGTTGGTTTTGTATTTTTCTTTTTCTCCGTCTGCTCTTTTTGCTATCTTTCTTTTTGACGCTTGGATGGAGAGAGAGAGAAATTTTGGCGGTGAGGGGCGGTGGGATTCTGCCGGGGGTTCTTCTTTTTTTCCTTTGGTTGATTTGGTGTGGAGTGCAAACTGGTCAAACATGTACTTGACTATACTAACTAGTTTATGCTTTGGATATCGGTTGAGGAAGGACTGGAAGCAATATGCAGGTAGTTGATTGTTTCGTCTGATAGATCGAGTATAGGTCATGTTAATTATGAACACTACTAAGAATCAATGATCCCGTCTGGTCAACGCATGACGCTGCAGCCAGGTTTGTATCTGGACTTGCTCTTGGCTGAGCAGACATGACTAGTTGATGGTATTCGATGCAGTCATGCCATAGATAGCATGACACTACGGTATTGGTTCAGTGAATATGCCTCAATATTATATACTCTTGTGTTGGCTGACTCGAGTAATTATAGCCAGACGAGCTGCATCTGCAGCGTTAGAGATCACGGCCACCAACGGCTGACAAGCTAGACATGGTTACATCCATTTACATCCCGCAAGGCTATGAATGAGGCTGGACATCGTACAGGGGCGGATTGACTAATAAGCCAATGAAGCTACTTGACTCTTCCCCCTACGAGTTGAAGACACAATGAGAAATGGCCGCCCTTGATCAGGTCGATGAACTCAGAGTAAAACCATAAGACGTCAAGATGAGGTGATCAAGTATGACAGATGACGCCTATCTGGCGAGATAGCAGCAATACCAAGCTGGTCATTCTCTCAAGGGATACATATGTGCCAACATGAACAGGGGTGGTCTGCCTTATCCATCGAACCATCTAGTAAAACCTTTTATGAATGCAGGGGTCCGGTCGGGAAAGGACGACAACGAGATCATCCAATAGCGCGTGGGGATGGGAGTCTTGGCGGTCTGGACTCGATCCCTTTCTTCTTATCGTCCTGAGAAGACGACGGCCTTCTTCAAGGCGGGAATATTTAGGGTTGTTCCGGAGGGTTGCCATGCAAGAGATGGCCATGTGACCTACCCCGTACTAGTAAACGAGATAAGTAAGTCCCCCCCCCCTTGCTGTAAGGTAATGTCAGGGATGGCAGAGGGGGGATAAGTGTCTAAAGCTTGAGTGATGAACCAAGGCTGGAGGGGAGGGAAAACCGGGGGGTAATGGGTTGATCCAGTCCAGGAGCTACGATGGGTTGTCACTTCGTTCCATGTAACTTTGACTGACAGTTCGATTGGAGGGGAAAGAGGTCTGGATCCGACGGGGAATTGATTGGTTCCATCCAGGTTTGAAAGGCGGGTAAGGAGAGAGTCAGCCGATGGAAGCGAGGGAAGAAAGTACCAGGGGTCCCTGACTCCCCATACTCCCCATAACTACGGAGTACCTACTGAGGAAGGTGGTATAAGGATGACGATGCACTAGCGGTGTCTCCGCAGGGTCACGGGACCGATGGACGAGATTGGACCAATCATGGGGGAAAGAGTTAGGTAAGAATTGAAGGGAAGGTGGCTAGTCTGGGGTATCCTTCATCCTATGATCCTTCATCGTGGCGATCATCTTGACGAACCATTGATTCTGTTTTGGTCCATTGAATTATTCTATTCTAGTTATTATATGAGAGGATCGTAAAGAATGGCATGATCTTAGAAAATAAAAGAGACGGTCAGCAGAGAGACTTCGATCGAGAGAGAGAGAGAGAGAGAGAGAGAGAGAGAGAGGTCACGGGTGGTATTTTCCATTATGTCATAGAATGTCGGCGACGATCCCGAACCGGGTTTAGATCAGTGGGAAATCGCATCGACGCACGTCCATGTATCACACTGGGATTGAGAGCAGGGTGGATAGTACGGACTACGGAGGTCAGAGGAGACTGGTTCATCTCCACGGAGACATTAATCATTCATTGATTGTTATTGAATGTCCCATCAGTATAGGAGGTCCCGTGACTGATCGATCATTGATTGATAACTTCTTTTTCTTTTTCTTCCCGCCCCGGTTTATTTTTAAGGACGCAGATCCAATCAGAAAAAGCAAATCATATCAAATAAAAATTATAGTCAAAATGGGATTGGCAATCAAATAATAAAATAAAATATCATCAATAAAAGAAAAAAAAAAAAAGACTCGACTAGATGTACCTAGAATATTAGCTATCAATTGACCGGCGGGATTTACATCCGATTTTCTTCTAGTCTGGAAAAAAATGCATAAAAGAAAAAGAAGAAGAAGAAGAAGAAGAATAATGAACTGTTGATTTACCTCCGATGGCCGCATTCATCAGTGATTTTCCGCCATCGCTATTTTTATGCCCCGAGTCTTGTTGGGCATTATTCTCTTTTTTTGCCTCCCGTGGCGGAAATCTCATCCCACCTGATGACTCTTGATCTTGAAGAATCTTCTAATTACTGTATACATTACAACCTACAACCTCCAAGAGACAGTAACAGATTCAAAAAGGAAGAAAAATAAGAGAATAAATTAATAATAATCACAACAAGATAAAGAGAGGTCCATGGTTCCGGCCCGACCAAAACCTGCCAGCTCTTCCTCTCCTTCCTCCGTTTTCCGCCTCTCGATTCTTTTCTCCATCTCATCCATCTCCGTCAAAAAGAACCTTTGCTTCCAACCACGGTCTGATCTTGATCTCTCTTCCTCTCTCAGCTCTTCTGACAGCGGATCCGCTCTTCTGACTACCACCTGACTATTCCCCAACTACGCTTCCCATACTTTACTGCTTCGGTCTTCCTCTCGTCCTTCCTCCTCCTTCGACCTTCTCCCTCTTCTCGTCACTATCGCCTCCATTGGCTTCCATCCTCCCCTCACTTCATCCCCCATTCTTGTTCCACGGGTTATCTCCCCTCTCCCTCTACTGGAAGATCCCACTTCCTTGGATACCAGCATTCTTCCCTCTTCCAGCGAATCATCGCGGTTCACCATCCTCGTCTTCTCTACCTCTCCATCGTGCGCCCGTCGGGGGGCGCGGCCGTTGGATCATCCGCTGCAATCCGTGACTAACAGCTTTCTTTCCTCTCCTCACCCGTTCCGTCTGGGTTGGCCTGTTCTCCGCCGCCCCTCTACTTGACTATTCTCATTATTGTTTTTTCTCCCCCCCCCCCCCCCCTTCCTTTAATT